AATATCTATAATAGAATATTTCTTTTTTAATATTTAACATATTATATGAATAAAACACAATAGTTTATAGATTTTTCAACAATTTATATGCGAGTTTAACATCGCACGTTTTTTTAGATCAATACAAATGCAATAAGTAGTATGTAACTAAATTCGCTTTAGTCAGAATTAATATGGTTTTGAACTTACGTATCAGCCTGTATTTAAGCTCAAAGTCAAAAGTTCTTTAAAATACCACTACTTAGTACTTACTGCATAGTGTATGTCCTTTACCAAGCTTAAAAGATAAGCCTTAGTTCTGAGAAGAATACGGACAAAAAAAATCGAACCTATTAAGAAACTAGACGCTACCCGTACATAATTTGAGCCTCTCTTCCTTACTCTACTCAGCATACTAATGAGTTCAAAGAAATAAAGTATGCTCTGAATACCTATAAGTATCTTTTAACCTCATTAGTAGAGCATCGATGTTGTGACAAATTCTTGTATACGAAGTTCTGGATAAAATACAATAGCGAATACGTAATTAAATGTAGATGGCATAAGCGTTAAAATTTGTATACAGTGAAGAGTTCACCTAGAATGTTCCTATATAATTGGCTTGAGTAACATTTTTTGTTTTGTAGGTTTTGTATATTGTTCAAAACTTTTGTTTTTTTTTTTATTAAATATAAACGCAAAAAGAATTGGGGAATGAAGGACAGTTCGTGGAATTTATAACATTCATCCGTCCATTACTGCAGGGCCGGGAACACCCCTCTCCATATCTCGCCGCAATCTATCCCACCAAGCTCAAACATGTACCTACGTCATATGTTCCTTCGCCTTATAAGCAATTGATAATCATATACTATTGTACCAAAGTATGTATTTATTTATATTTAAAATTAGTCACGAAAGCTATTCTCTTCAGATTGCAAGACTCAGGTTTGAACCCGCTTCATTAAGCTTTCCGAACTTTAGAACTTCGATATATGTACATGACACTAAAGGGCACGTATTTAGTTATAGTCAATGTCCCAACATTATACATTATAATTGTTAGTCATTATGATAGTCTTTAGGTACTTGTTTTGACGACACGTTTGGCTCAGTTTATAGTGGCCCTACTTTCTGTGCCGGCGGTCGCGGGTTCGAGTCCCGCTACATCGATTCCGAGTCCCGTTACATTCATTTGTGTGATGACGAAGGTTTGTACTCCAGTCATGGGTGTTTATATTTATAATATGTATGTATTTAAAGTTTTATATGTATAGTGTATCAACTATCTGGTATCCATAACACAAGCCTCGTAGCTTACCATGGAACTATATGGTGCTGTGTGTTACTGTCCCAACATATTTATTATTTACTTGTAAAAAAATTTTTTAATTCTTGATGGGATACTAAATTTTCATTGAGTGGACTTACAATAGGAAAAATTATAGGCATAGGTATAGAAAATAAACTCATGAAGTACTAAACGGATTCAAACATATATCAATAGTGGGAAGCTAGTCTTTCTCAGGTTAACTAGTACACTTATTTTTTTATTAATTTCTCATTTTTTTAAAGTACAAAAAATGCTTTCTTTCTAAAACTATTATTTTTTAGTTTTTGATAGCAAAATAAGAATAAGCCTCCTGTAAAATATATTGTTATAATCTAAGCTATGAAATCGTCTTATTGCCTTGTCGTATGTATTTACGAGTATATTGTATATGACAAAAATAAAATTACTATGTATTGAATCCATACTAATATTATAAATGCGAAATAACTCTGTCTGTTTGTCTGTTTATTTGTCTGTCTGTTACTTTTTCACGCCTAATACCCTGAACCGATTTAAATGTGATATGGAAATAATTTGAGGCCCTGGCAAGGATATAGAATAATTTTTATCCCGGAAATCATCCCTTAAGGGGGTGAAAAGATGGTGGAAGTTTATGTGGACAATCAATTATTAATTTCATTTAATTCGTAATAAGAAAAATGAACACAAATATACTCCTTAATCTAATAAAAAAACATGGGCAATGGAGTGCTGAGACACACGCACTAGGATACCCTATGTCGCAATCATTACTAAAATATTGAATATATTTTTTTTAAAGTACATTACCTATGCATGTACATGTATATAATCTATTCCACACTAACCGTTAAAAATTATCTAGGGACGAATCCGAGCAAAACGGGTATTAGTATGACATAATTGAGGATCTCCGTTCGCTTAACCACAAATATGTACTTCTAAGGACTTCATTAAGTAATCTTGCTGAAATTCCTAGCCACACCAATAATTTAATGGGACCTTTCCAGAAATGGGCGAAGACAAGACCGTCGAATTTACGCCGCAAGTAGTTAGGTTATAATAAACTTAATTGTTAGTAATAACTATCACGTAATTTTCTTCCAAAAACTTATATATCTTAATAATGTTAAAGAATTATTAAATAATCACTTAGATTTACGCGATATTTTGGTTTTTGGCGTTTTGAATGTTTTACAGCAAATGGTCATGTTTATCTTTCCCGTGACCATGATTGCTATAAAGACTTAGAAAGGTCGAAAACTGTTAATATAAAAGAATAAAACTATAAATATACTAATATTAAGGTATATAATATTAAGGTAGAGTTTATGATTTAGATGAAATTTGGGAAGAAGATAGTTTGAGATCCTGGGAAGTACATAGGATACATACATTTATATCCCATAAATCATCCCTTAAGGGGGTTTAAATGGGGATGAAAGTTTGTATGGAGAATGAAAATAAAATAAAACTACAAAAAAAACCGACAAGACAGTTTTATTTATAACTATTTAAACTGGGTTATTGTGAGTAATGAAATATAGTAAGAAGTAAACATCGTAATTCATCCTTCATACTTAATTAATAAGTTAACTGCATGCTATGTTAGATCGTTGTTAAGTATTCGCAGAAAAAACTAAATGAATCTTTTAGTGCGAAAAATGGGAGCTAAACCGACGTAAAATGTTAAGATTATGCTTAAAATAAACAAAGTCGAAGTAAAAGGTACTCTGTAATGTATGTTTATAACACGCGGTCTTGCCAATTTATTCATAAAGGCGTCATAAAATAGATATAACCCATGTCTCGAGCGGCGAAGGGCGAACCGGCTATTAATATCAAATTATGAGCTATTGAACTCTAAACACTTGAGATTTTGTTTATATATCACACTATCGACTCACCCTCGCGTCGATCAAGTTCATCCCTAGGTACGTATTAACGGTCAGAATGGAATAGATAGTCTATAGCCTTCCTCAATAAATGGGCTATCTAATTCAAAAAGAATTTTTGAAATCGGATTTGTAGGTCCTGAGATTAGTGAGTTCAACAAATAAACAAACAAACTCAGGCAGAGTTTGTTTTATAGTCTTTATAATATTAGTATAGATAAATGCTACTTCACCTCAAATACCTATATTTGTAAGACCTTTTAACGTTTCTATGGATAATACATCATTTTTCTTTCAAGAATATTGGGTGGAACAATTTGTCTCCACCCTACGTTTTTTCGTACCACTTGTATCAAAATATGTGTTGAAGTGCTCTTCAACATGTATTGGTTAAGGAAATACAGGTGTCCTGTAAGGAGTGGACTAACGAAATGTCGGTGATAGAGGGGGTTACTTAGTACACGTACGGAATAAGTGAATTTAGGCTTTGAAGGCCTTTTACTGATCATATCCATATGTATGATCATACACATATGTGTATAATTGACTGATTTTGTAACTTATACTTCTGAAGTATCATCGTAGATTATTAGAATGTTCTTTTAAAATTCATTTGATTTCATTAACCTAATAATTTATGAACGTTCAGACCAATGAAATGAAACCTTAGGGGTTGTAAAATTGAAATGTTTTTTCGACCAAATAATTATAGTGTTGACATAAAACCATCAAACTTTTTAGGGTTATCTACCCGAAGGGTGCCAACGGAACAATATTACTAAGCCTCTGCTGTCCGCCCGTCCATCCGTCTGTCAGAGGGCTGTATTTCAAGAACCGTAATAAATAGAGAGTTGAAATTTTCACAAAGCGCCTATTTCTTAACCACAAATAATAAAAATACAAGAAACATTTTTTTAATGTTCGTAATCGATCATCGAAGTTATTATACCTACTACATACATACAGTAAAAGTCATATTAATAAAAAGTACATGTACCATGGTACGGAACCCTTCATGTGCTAATTCGGCTTACACTTGACCGATTTCTATTTTAAATTATTGTATAAATGCCTATTAACTTTTTTAAACTAAAATAAGTAAAAATAAAATCAACAAATATTACTTAAATAAAACTATCTTTTCGGATTATTTCGCGGGTTTATTTTGATTTTTGGTTCCCAACGTTTCGAATGCTTTACAGCAATCATGGTCATGGGAGAGACTGGAGAGTCCGAAGATAGGTTTATTTAAAATGTCAAATATTCGCGTAAATCTAAGAAAGTATTAAACAAATATCACATTAGCCTCAGTTGTGTGGGTAAAAAGTTTTATATAAACTAACTTTATCAACAACTTGCGCGTATACAATATAGAGCCAACTTTACAGTGAGCTTTTAAACAAATATGAAATACTCTACCTGTCTGCTTAACCTTTCTATTAACGTACTCTTGACTTATTTGCTAGCAAAAGTGTTTTCCTAAAGCTATTAAAAACTAACTTTTATCTTAAATAACGGTTTTAGTCAGTTATAATTGTAATTGATAAATAAAATGGAAATAATATAAATATAATATAATAGATATGATAAATAATAATAATAATAATAATAATAAATGTTTTTATTTCAGACTTATTCGCCAATATAAAATGTCACAATATAGTTACAATAAAATTATGATAGAATATATACATAAAAACATCAAAATACTATTACCTACTTTTTATTTCTACATAATAATACTACATAATAATTTTTGTTTTAAACAATAGGTACACAAAATTTCTGAACTTTCTTCAATTTTTCAGGTCAAGATGAATACAACGGAAGGCGGCGAAGAGGCCGCTACAACACCTGCCAACCCGCCAGAAGGTCCTCTCATCCCCGTGCCAGTGCCCCCCCGCAAGCCTCCGCGGAGGGGGCCCAAAGTTCAACAAGAAAGGCCTAAACGAGCACTCTTCTGCCTCACGCTAAAGAACCCGCTAAGAAAACTGTGTATTGATATTGTTGAATGGAAGTATCCTTTTTATATACATATATTAAGCACGACCCGCGTCTATACCCGCGTTCAACCTACAAAAAAAACTCTTTGGCTTTATGTTATAAAGCAACTCATTCTCGCTTCGCTTATATATTATATTTATATAATATTTTTCATAAAAAAATACTAAAATCGCGATTAAGAAATGGAGAATGGGAGTAGGAGGGTGAAAAATACTTTACGACCTATACTTACCAAATATAGAGGTGTATAGTATAGGTGTGTAGGAGCTGTTTCAGGGGAGTGCGACCACAAACACCGTGACACGAGATATTTATATTTTAGATAAGAACAAAAAGTTATTAGCTAGTAGGTACACAATAACATACATATTTGCTTTATACTATTTATATGATGTATATTATAGGTTCACTCAGTTACAATATTACATATACAGACATATTGAGTTAAAAGTGCTGGTAGCATTCTCCCGCTTAAAAGCAATGGCCACTCTTTTCGCTTATTTTAGTGTCTCCCTCTCTCTCTCTCTCTCTGTGACTCACTTTTTTGCCAGAAGATAAATAAATACGTAATATATAAATATAATTCAAGTTTGTAATATTGAAAATCTCTCATCTTTGAGCTATTCCTATACTCCCTGTATAAAACGTTTTGAATTTCAGCGATATATAGCGTTATTGAAAGATTATAAATATGATATGCAACGTAATAAAAAGTAAAATTCACACGATATCACTTCCGAAACTGCCAGAGATAAAATCAGTAAAATGTCATTTGATTGTTATTTTCTTACTAATTCTAGTCTAAATGTTGTAGACATGGACGAATTAGTCTCTAATTCGTTCATGGGTGTAGATTTCTTCTAGTTTAAATTAACGCATCACTTTGTATTCATACAAGCTCGTTATTTTGAGAGGCTATTTTCTAATAAATAATTTACGAGTTGTACAGCGAACTGTAAAATACTAATATACATTTCATTACCAATTAGTATTTACTATTTCGCCCGATAATACTCAATGCTGTTTGTAACATCTCTCTTCAATAGAAACAAATATGACTCAGATTATTAGCTCACCCAAATATTTTAATGAATTCTATGTGTCAATAACGTCTAATACCGTCTTTGTATATTAAAGCCAATATACATCCAAATGTTATTGAAAAATGCAGTACCTGGTCCGATGGCACTCGGCCAACTAACCAAGCGTGATTCAAGCTCTTCAATCAAACTTCCGGATTGCCAATTTTGCAACAAACAGTCTCTAGGAAAACACATTTGTATTCTAAAATATTTTATTGAACTTCCCGTTTGAGCTTTGAAATTTCTGCATTTTTAAATATCAAGTTGACATCTGATCTGATATTTCTCGAGGTCACTAAAGTGCTGACAGTGTTGGGAACTGAGCACGAGGCAGCTACTTTTGCTTTTGCAAAATATGTCACGGAAATAAATGACTAATTTAAGATAACAGAACACATTTTAATTTCAAATTGTTTTATGTATTTATTTAAAATCGTTTCATATTCCGAATGTTTTTAAAAATTTCTTTGAAAATATATTTATTACTATTTATATCATCATCACAAGTTCAATGTTCGAGTAAATCTCAAAAAGTACTATAAAAATTTTCTTACGGATTTTACCGATAGACAAAAAGGATTATCTGAGACAGGTCCTTTTGAAAAAATAAATATTTTCCTTTCCTTTTGCATTTCCGGTAATACCGCGGCCGACGAATCTGAATTAAATAAAAAAAATCGTTCCTTCTAAAACTTTCTATAATACTCGTATTATAAATGCAAACGGCATATACGAGTATGATCACTAGTATTTTATACACACACGTGGCCCCATGGATTTAAGGTGTAATTTGCAATATAGATAGCATATACATATGTATACCTTTTGGTTTCCTACAATAATATTTTTCATCAACCTACCAACAATGCTTTTGGAGCTGCGGGGGGAACCTAATTCCTCAAAAAACGCTCCTCAAAAAAAAAAACAGAAAATCCTTGTTGTTTTTTTTTACCTAAGTAAGCCTTATGTAGATATGAAATCTTCGTAAATACTTTACAACGCCATTGCTCCCAGCCCACTGTAGAGATAAATGTAGCTCATTAACTAAAAGAGCCAATAACACTCAGTTAAACTAAGCATTGACAGATGGCTTGAGCATTCTACCACATCGGTCCGCTATTTAAAAATCAGTTCTAAGTAAATATCAACCCCAATGAAACTTCCGAAATGAAAAATACCTCCATATTCCTTTGATCGAAAACAAATTTCATATCGGTAAAACAGGGTCAAGTTAACATACAAAAGAATAAAACACTAATTTGAAAATAAATAAAATACAGTGAATTGGGTAACTGGCTGGCTTGACGCCAAACAATACGACTGGATGAATGGAAGAACAAATATTTGGAGATTGCCCTTCAGGAAATACCTTGCGCTTTCAATGGAACTGCGAATTTCAAACGAAATGACTATACTACTTGTTTTTTGTAGAACGAATTTCGTATCTAGAGAACTGATGTTTATAACGAACCTGAGCCATTTAAGATAAAACTTTCTGTTTAAAATATTTTAGTTTCTTAAATAATATTATCTTAAGACATTTTACTCAAAAATATACTTTAAATACGTACTAATATTAAAGTAGTGAAAGTTTGTGAAGATGGATGGATGTTTGTTACCCTTTACGCCTGAACGGCTTAACGGATCTGGATGAAATTAGACACGGAGATAGGAATAGTACTCAAAATACTGATATCCCAAAAAAACGCACAGTTCCCTTGGGATAGATTTGTTTTTGTCTAGAGACAAACGCGAAGGGAAGCGAGGGTGAGTCGCTAGTTTAAAATATATGCAATTCCTAATCAGCTTCTTTTTATAAGGTATTGTACACCTACTATCTAGTTAATTTAATGATAAAATAAATTTTTAACAGGTTGTTGATTGAGAAGACAAAGAAAAGAGTGTTAATATGTAACTAGATGGCTCATTTTCACAGAGTACTTAGCCCTGTGCGAAAAAGTAACTTATTATACCTCAAAAAAATAAAAAATACGCTTTTATCACCATTTAATATTTTAATAGGTATCAGTTAATTATTTAATTATCAGTTAAAAGTGGATTTTGTAGACAAAAATAAGGTATTAGAGTTGCCCACTACCCATCTCACTCTCTCTTCATCGTCAGATCCTCATCACTACCTGTAATGTATGGTACGCGTCAAAACGAATTAAATTCGTAAAAAGTCCCTACTCGGAACTTTTAGAAGCTTTCAATAGTTCCACTATGGTGATAGGTTAATACTATAACGATATTGTATTATCATCCAGAAACTTAAAAGCTTCAAATTGATGTGACAACTTAAAGGTTAAAATCGATTTCCAAGATGAGAGTCAAGTTAAAAATAAATCTAAAAAAGTCGTCTTAAAAAAAAGAAGCAATCATACTATAAGGCATTGACAAACAAAACTATGCTCAATTTTCATGTCTAAGAGGCATTAACAAAAAAAATGAATTGGAAAAAACCATACAGTTAAAAGCAGAGACAAACCCGTGGTATAAAGAAAAAGTAAAAGCCAAATTGAGTTAAGAATGTTCATTACATCGGCTAAATCGACGTTATTTACGCAAGTTTAAACGTTTTTTCAATATTACAGCCAATTGAGTCGCAATTTGCTGTTAATATAAACATACACACCCGAACTAATTAGATTAGTCACGGCAGCTTGGCATTCGACACGATATCGTGAGTTAACTTCAAAACAATGAATAAAAATATATAAATAGGCGACTTACTGAGTCACTTAAAATATTTAAGAAATTACAATTAATTAGTAATTTATTTAATTTATAACAATCCTGTAAAGCCGTATGTAAATCGTTGACACTGCTTAGAGTTGTAGATCGCGGGTTCGATTTCCACAATATGTATGGAACATTATTTTGTGTAACGTAAGATCTCCCCTAAAACTGTAGATTTTGTATCGACCGAAAATTTAGTCCGGTGATTTAGTAAAAACCGTAGCGCAATAAAATCGTGCACAATCGTACACTTCTTTTAGCACGCTTAGCCCAAATCATCCCACTGCTGGGCAAAGGGATGATTTGGGCTTAGTGTAACTGTATAATAAATACGCTTTACGTTTTCAGATTATTAGGGCTTGTGCAAAAGTGTCAATTGTAAAGGAATTTGTCTAGTCCATACTAAACTATTTAAGAAAAATAATAGCAAATCTGTAGTGTGCAGAGATGTTTAATGCTTTTGTTTTAGACTGACTTAAAAAACCGAGTTACACAATTCGAGTGTTGTTTTTATATTTCTTTTATGCGATATCTATTATAGTCGGTGTATTTTTTCGGTAATATATTGTGACGTCTGGTTGGCTGCTCTATATAATGGACATTATCAGTCATCGGAAAACGGAATAACAAATGGCAAAGTTGTTTATTTTCTCAAAATATTCTTTATCTATCTGCCAAAGGGAAATGAGAAACAACGCTCCTTTTATTGTACACTGTACAGCGTTATGGTACATAAACATACATATAAATATAAAATAAATAAATATGTTGTGACATTAACACACAACACCATCTAATTCCATGGTAAGCTACGAGGATTGTGTTATGGATACCAGATAGTTGATGCACTATACATATATAACTTTGTATACATACATATTATAAATATAAAAACCCTTGACTTTAGTACAAATATTCGTGCTCATCGCACAAATGAATGCTCCCAGCGGGACTCGAACCCGCGACCGCTAGCACAGCCAGTATAGTTAGCACTTTTTTTTTTTTTTTAACGTTGGGAAATGCATTTACGCACGAGGTGTGGGACTCACCGGCAAAGCCAGTACTACCCACTAAAACCCAACGAAACCTTCCCCCGTCTTAATGGGGCGTCGCAGGATCGCTTACGCATTCAACTACGACGCCCCGACGGCAGGTCTGCCGAAGCAGACCACAACAACCACGAGGTTGCTCCACAGTCCACTCTGCTATCAGAGAAGTACCAGGAGCAACCCGCATGGTACACTGCCCTCCGAAGAGGGCCACCTCCCACCGCCCACCGAAGTGGGCCACCTCCCTGTGCGTTTCTTGGTTTCGCGCCCGGGTAGGGTTGCCGGGCACTACTGAGCCCCCCCACCACGACAAGGTGAACGCACGTTGGGGGGGAGTATAGTTAGCACTACAAACTGAGCCAAACTTATCGTCATAATCAAAGAATTACATTAAATTAAAAATTAATGATTTTTTGCCAACAAACTTGATATTATATCAATTTAAAATTACATCTGACATCAAATTTTTGTGACTGCAAAAATAATTATTTATTAATGGATTGAAAAGTCATTATTACTGAAAGGTATAAATTACGTTTTACATAACCGCTTATTTTATATTAACAACTGATCGATCGGTGGTCTACTTAAAAGCTGTTATGATTTTGTTGTAAGTAGTTTTTGCTGTGACTGTTAAATGTGGCTTATAGAATAGGCCGTACATATGTCGGAAAAAGTAGCCGATTTGTATATACAAAATAAGAGATCCATTAACATTCTCTTTCCACTTATCATTCAAACTCGTGTTCATATAATCTTAAAAAAGAAACTTTAAAAAGTATTTTCATGGAAAGCTGTATGTCTATATATATAGGCTATCTTTTATAAATGAAAGGAGAGCAAGGTGAGACGACTAGTCAAAAATGTTATGTGTTAATATTATATTATTTTCAACTAATTTTACTTCCAAATCAGCCTAAAAGAAATACTTTGTTTAATGAATTATTCTTTATAAAAGGCGATAACTTCTAAAAATATATAAAGGTTTTTAGTTTAATGTTTATTTCCTCAAGAATCAACTTAGATAAATATTCATAGGTTTTCAATTCAATCCAATATAGCCATAACTCAGTATACAGACCATTCGAGTGGATGATCCTGACTACGATATTTGCCAACTGCATCGCGCTCGCCGTCTACACTCCCTACCCAGCGAGCGATTCGAACTACACCAACTGGGTTTTAGTATGTATTGGTTCTTATTGATTTGATATTCCACTTCCAGATATAGGCTAATATTTGAGTTTTAATAGTGATATAGGCATATTGGAAGGAAGAAATTATGGGGAAACCTATTATGTCTAAAAGAATTTAACTAGAGACATAGAAACCATTCTAAACTAATTGTATAGCAAACATTCTTAAAATTATATTGAAATGACATATTTAATTATTTGTAGAATATAATCTTATATAAGCCCGCGGTTTTAGAAAGACATGTGGATTAAGCCAATGTGTATTGGGCCAGCAGTCTTTGTCCTCCCCTTTGCAATAAAAGGTGGTTTGTGCAAACAATAGGACGTTAAAAGGGACTTCAAACAATAGTTATTGATTGCCTTTTCTAAAACAATCTGTCCTACGAGCATGTTGAATTAAATCGCGCTCATCATCTATATTTCCTAACCAACTAGCAAGCTGGCAATACAAATAATGCGAACTGCGATCTAGAATGTTATTGGTATTATTGGTTATTGATAATTGATATAAAAAAAATATTAAAAGCACGCTCAAATGTTCAGATGAGCGTTCATTTGTTTGTCGCTGATTGTGTATCTAGTACTACTTGTGTAGCTCTCATTCGTATATGTTACATTTGTATTTTAATCTCAATTCACAACTCGTGTAAAAGCCATCGATAATAATTCAATTGTTTAACAATTTATGTTTGCAGGAGAAAATCGAATATATCTTCCTGGTTATTTTTACGGGGGAGTGCGTGATGAAGATCATAGCGTACGGATTCGTGATGCACCCTGGCTCGTACCTCCGGAACGGGTGGAATTTACTCGATTTCACCATAGTAGTAATAGGGTATGTTTTATTTTTCCTTAATTATTATTATATTTATAAATTTATGTATTTTTGTCCCTATGGACTTCAAAACGACTGGAACGATTTTGATGAAATTTTCAGGTAATCTTCAGATTATCCCAATGAATAGGTGGTTCTATAAAGTTTGGTAGCGATCGGAAGTTTAAACGCGGGCAAAGCCGCGGCTAATGCTAGTGTTAGATAAATAGCTAACTCGACAGACGTAATCGTGTCCCAATTTTTTTTATAATATTTGAGATCTTACATACATTGTATAAAAAATACTTGTTTGTTTTTAAATGTTTTTCCCTAAAACCTTTTTAAGATTATTATGGAAATTAAAGAAAAATAGATAAATCGGTTCAGCCTTTCCACCAAGTTGGCAAGCATAATTTCATTTTTATTATTTAGAAGATTTTAATTAAAACGAATAAGTAATTTTATAAGAAGATTATGATTAATATCCAATCTTTACTTTGAATCTATACACAAAAATATTTTCTGAATATTTTATATTCATACTAATATTATAAATATGAAAGTGTGTTTGTTTGTTGACGGATTGACGTGATTTTTTGTATGGAGAAAGATGGAGGTCTAGAGAGTGACATAGCTACTTTTTACCGCAGTAGATTGTTTCATAGCCACGTGAAAACAGGTTATATAATACAACCTAAAAAATAATTTATGATCAGAATTACTTGAAACTTGGTATTAATTCTCTTCAATAAAATGAAACAAATACGTGTATTAGCATTTTTCGAAATTCATCCTATAAGAGTTTACCTTTTTAGAGTTTTTTTTAGTTTTAGCGCGAGCAAAGCCGCGGGTTCTACTAGTATAATATAAAAGAGTAGCAAAAAGGCTGACAACAAACATAGTAGCATGTATATTTCTACAAAGTAGGTTGCCTTTGAACGACCGTTTTGGGACGGCCTGAATAAGTTAGAAGCGTCACGTTGATATGTAACATCTGCCTGGAAGGAAAGCGTTGATTTTAAGACAGACAACTGTGGAAGTTTCAAATGAACATGTAGATTTTGATTGCTTAGGACTATGTTTAATGGAATAATTTATATTTGTTTCTCTTTGACAAATGAACCAATCCTTTCCCATAGTAATGAGGTTATTTATAAGGTGTTTTCATAGAAAGATTATATACCTAGAAACGGTATATGGGTTCTAACTCCGTTTGAGGTAATATATATGTTTCACCAAGAAGATTCGCCTTAAAACTGAATCCTGGCAATGGAAACCGTCTCTACCTTTCTATATCTCAACCACTCCGCTAAAGTGGTCGTACCTTACGACACTTAAAATAGAACTCTCTAACCAATCCTCCAAAAAATTAAATTATGGCAAATCACTACTTTTTGTGTATTAAGCGATTTCAAGCATAGTCACAATATTTTATGATTTTTACCATTAAATTCTTTTTAAGATATGAAATCTATACATATAATAAAATTGTAACTAATTCGAATCTGTACATTAAATATTTTTCGGAAAAACTAATTGAAATCGACGTTATTATCGATACAGAGTCCGAATCTAAAGTTTTTAGAATTTTTGTCTGTCTGTCTGTCTGTTACCGCATCACATGAAAACCACTGGACAGATTTTGATGAAATTTGGTATAATGATAGCTGGTTATTCGGGTCAACATATAGGATTTTATTGATGACTTTTTACCGCGAGAAAATATCTCATTTCTGAGAAAAAATACAAAAACTGCAATGTAAGAGTATACTAATATGTAAAACCTAAGAATTTGGTTTTTGGTCATCTGAACGCGGGCGGAGCCACGGGCAGTGCTAGTATAGTATAAAATTATATTAAATGATGAATAAGAAGAATGATAAATAAGTAATGTAATAATCACTTATTTATCATTCTTCTTCTCTTCCTTGTCCTTACTCCACGCTACATAAGGTAGGTACAACAAGTTTTCTTCTTCCACTTTCCTCTATTAGCCGCCCTCTTACACACACATCTTTCACACAGTCTATCTATATTTTTCTTAATCTACCTCTACCTCTTTATTTATTACTTCTATATTACAACGACAACATGTTTGGTTCAGTTTTTAATGACTCTACTTGCTGTGCCAGCGGTCGCGGGTTCGAATCTCGCTGGAAGCATTCATGGGTGTTTATGTTTATAATAAATAAATATATATATATATATTAAGTTATATATGTGTAGTGTATCAACTATCTGGTATCCATAACACCAGCCTCGTAGCATATCATGGAACTAGATGGTGCTATGTTAATGTCCTAACATATTTATTATATTATTTATATACGTTTAATTATCACAAATATGTTTACAGCATGGTGAGCACGGTACTGTCGAGTATATTTAAGGACGCGTTCGACGTGAAAGCTCTAAGGGCGTTCAGGGTGCTACGGCCCTTGAGACTCGTGTCCGGCGTGCCAAGTAAGTACTGAAATATATTTTAAAATATACTTAATCGATAATCTTTTTAATAAAAGATAGCACTTTTGCTTATTATAATATTTTACTATAGTTAAAGCTCACATCTTATATGTATTTATATCTAAAAGAATTGTTCTTTAACTGTTTTGTTTATGTCGATATTATTTTGTTTGCGTCGGTATCTATTGGAAATAGAAAACTTCGTTCAGTTATTTCTTACTGTTAGATGTCTGGAAGTCATTTTACATATTTTTATAAGTTTTTATAATTTACTTGTGTAAAAAAAACTATCTTAAGAACTATCTTTGAATTTTTGATAATTAATTAATTATTAATTATACATAATAATCGCATGATAAAAAAAAATTTATAATTTTTGTCTTCTTTTCCATTTTTATTCCAGAAATCAGCACATTTTTAAATAAAAATTGTACAAAATATATATTCAAGTAAAAATAGAATCAAAACTACAAAGTCAGGTTATGACCTTTTTTATTATCCTCATGACAATAAATTAAGCTGTATAGATTAGACAATATAACGACTTTCCCTCGAGTATTAAAATAAAGGTTAAAAACCTAAAGCACTCTTTCAGTCATAATAAACGAACTTTTAAATGATAATATATATTAATTTAAATAAGCCCCATGTGACATAAAAGCTGTATAAAGTTCCGGAAATAAAATTAGCTAACAGTCATTACGAGAAGGTCTAGAGCCTCTAAATTAATAAACTTTATTAAAATGCTACAATGAAATACACGAAAAAAGAGCTTTCGATTCATTTTAGAAATTGAACTGGTTAAATTATCAATTACCAATTTAAATTAAAAAAAAGTTTTCTTTCGCTACAATCGGGTACTTCCTGATATAATTTTGCAAAATCACAAGGGAATAACTTGATGTACTGAATCATAATAAGCCTACATCAAGGCTTCTGGACTCATAAGATATGGAAAAAATCACAAATAAGCTTCATGAAATAATAATAATGTCCTCTTAACTGATTTCGGTAACTGTGGCTCACTGAGAATAAAAATCTGCGCGGATAATATTACTGAATACTGACACTAAACAGATACAAGTGCAATCTCTATTCGTTTTAAGTTTATGTCACTATATATAAAAATAATAATATATATATAAATATAATAATATCACTATATATTAAAATAATGTTGGTACGCTTTTGCCATGGATAAGAGATTGTTGTATTTATTTTCGCGTGGAGAGATCAGACTTGGGAACGACACCTTGACGTACTCCCCAGACACGGGGGTGTAAACACTACCAACTTCCCAACTCCGGGCTGCTACTCAGTTTTCCTGACAGAAAGGCCAGCTATTTAAGCCTGACTTGGGAATTAAACCCATGACCTCTGGATCTTCAGTCAAACATGCTAAACACTAAAGCAACGAGGCAATAAAAAATAATATTAGGTTTCACAATACAATGTTAGTGAGCACAATATCTAATATCTATAAAGATATACTTTTCCACAGATAAATTGGTGGTCATTGATCTAATTCAGAGCTAATATTACAGTATAATAGAGTAATGTATTACATAAAGCGCATATTTGTATCGATTTACGAACGCAGCATCAATTGGTTTTCGATATTTATTATTGAGAATATATATAGTCTGTATAAATTCATGAGCAGCACAATATTGAATGGTTAAATTACCAAAATGAAATTGTTCTATCCGATGCATTAACACTATATCTAAAAATAATGTTAGTACGCTTTTGCCATCAATTAGAGATTATTATAATTGTTTTTTTAATTTTGATTTTGGCTAATAAATACTTATAACTAACTATAAGAGAGATCTGGTGCTGCTATACGAAATTCAGGTTTCCTAGATTAATTGCTATATTAACTCTATTGCTGAAATCGTGTTTTAATTATGTATATTATAGTAAAATAAAAGTAAACTTTTTGGTTAAATAAACTTTGTAACAGACATATTTTGTTTAATCGAAATTAAATACGCCATCTAACATGCATTTTACCAAAGCACTCAATTTTTTTTATCTGCGCATTATTAGGGAGAAAGTAAATCTTTACTTTGATCGAATGTCGAAGGCTTACGTGCGCATTTTGTAACGCGATAGACCAGCATCCCTACAATGAATCCATGGTATACTAAGAAGTTCATATCACTATCTTCTAAGTTTCATTAATATTATTGTACTTATTTTTACTATAATTCTTCCTAATCAAGTATTTTGTTCCAGGTTTGCAAATCGTCTTAAACTCCATTTTGAAGGCAATGGTGCCGTTGCTACACATCGCACTGCTCGTCATCTTTGTCATCATCATCTACGCGATCATCGGCCTCGAGCTGTTCTCGGGGAAGATGCATAAGTCGTGCTATAATAGGCTGACAGGTAAATATTTCAGTAATTTATTGTAGAGTTCGATTTTTTTGTTATGATAGTGTCACGGAGCTGCCATCAAGTTTGTAAGTACAAGTTAGTTTGAGGGTGAGCCGTGCTTTTATCTTTACTAATACTAAAACTGAAAAGATTCTTTTTTATTTGATTTTTTTACTTTAATAGGGAATATGCGTGTGATTTAAATATAGATAAAATATTTTTTTTATAATCTTTATTGCTTCTGAATTAAGCCTCTATCATTTATTTAATGTAATTTCTTTTTGATTAAGAAAAAGATTATTAAAAAGTGCAAATATAGAGTGGGAAATTCAAAGTAGTTGAAACGCACGCTATTGGTCAGACCGAATCAAAGTATTATCATAACAGAGCGATTGGCAATTTTGTCGCTACAGACTGAGTCATCATTTTTTTGTGTATATCGTACTGTGACATCACGGCAAGCGCGCAAAATGGCGGGTGTTTAAAGTATCTGTATTGGAATGATATTTTTAATTTATTTTAATATACTTTATACTAAATTTTAGTGTTTTAGAGCTGGATATTTTTTTACAATTATATAGCGATATTAGCTATTGTGTAAAAAATAAAAAAAATAACGCATATTCCTTATTCGGCATATTTTGATATTGTCAACAACACTCTTGAACATACAATAACTTAAACTATTCGTATTAAAATGTCAAAAATCTTTGCTCAAAGGTGAGATCATGGACAACCCCCACCCGTGTGATGTAGACAACGGCTTCAACTGCTCCAGCCTCGGGCAGGACATGGAGTGCCGCGAGGGCTGGATCGGACCTAACTTCGGCATCACCAACTTCGACAACTTCGGCCTCTCCATGCTCACCGTGTTCCAGTGCATCACGCTCGAGGGCTGGACCGATGTTATGTATAATGTGAGATGGGACTTTCTATTTCAGATTTTTGATTTGCTGCTGTCTTTCGAATATGAATCGATGGTTAATTTTTAATAATATCATTTTCTGCTATGGTTAAAGGTATTTGTATTCCTCTTAACAAACCATTTGATGACATAACATAATGATGATTAGCCTATTTTTTTTTTTCTATATACTTTTTAGATACTACATAATGCAAAATATTGATGCTATGTATATTTTTAGAAAATTTCAATTCTTTCGGGCAGAAACACACGAATCAAGTTATCATTTAATAAACTCGGGATTTTTTCATTTTGAGTATAGAACCTTCCTCAAAAACTTTTATTTCAACTTTACGTAACTAAAGTATAATAATAGTGGATCTATTAAAAATATAATTAATTTATTGTTGTAATTAAACTTTTAGATACAAGACGCGATGGGCAACAGTTGGGAGTGGATCTACTTTGTGTCGATGGTGATATTGGGTGCTTTTTTCGTTATGAACCTAATTCTCGGTGTGTTGTCCGGGTAAGTGCTCGCAATAAGAGAGATTTAAAAAATATTTATTAGATTTGTTTATATTTCTAGATTTATAATGAAACATAATTTCATAAAAAGTATTTGTAATTTTCAGATGTTTTAGTGACATTCAAAGAACTGCCTACTTTCATTTCAATCGTTATTATTTTAAAAAGTTAATGCTAGTTAATGATCTAACTAAACAAAGAACTATTTATTGCCTAATAACATTAAAGTCAAGATAAACTTTAAAGATCCTTTGTAAAATCTCTTTTCAGAGAGTTCTCAAAAGAAAGAGAAAAAGCGAAAAACAGAGGAGATTTCCAAAAGCTAAGAGAGAAACAGCAGTTAGAAGAAGATTTGAAAGGCTATCTGGACTGGATTACGCAGGCCGAGTACCTGGAGCCGCTGGCCGACCAACACGACGCGGTCGACCTCAAGGGGGACTACGGGATTGGAAATTTAATAGGTATTTAAATATTTCACTTATTGATTTGACACGTATGTATAGTAGTTACTTGCGCTAAATAGAATTATCACGATAATTTGGCTCCTTTGGTCACCAATAGGTTAGGTTTAAGTTTGACACATCCACTGACCCGATGGTTCTCGGCTGTCATGTGTCAGTCCCCTAACCCCGTGCACCCGAGACAATGCCACTACTACTGATTAAATACACAAACATTATAACACGCTTTAGAGTAAACGTGTCAGCTTTTGAGGATCTATGCAAACGAAGACGTTTACGTACGGTCGACGCGTACTTATTGTACCCCTGTATCCAAAATTTGTGTTTCTTAAGTTTATCAGCGCAAAATACGCATAGATCTATTATGAACGCATCTTCAGTGCATTTTTCATATGCATATGCATAGATATAATTTACATAGATATTAACAAAATATTTTTATATATTTGCTCTAAAGCTAAGAAAGTCCTACTTGTGTCTATATCACACTTCGATCAAGAATACTTGTTGATCGAAGCTATTACAGCAATTTACCTTATAAATCAAATGTACTACTTACAAATTACAGGACAAAATCAAAGCGACCACGACTCCACAGACCACCTCGGCATAGAGCCGGCAGAGCAACAGAAGGTACCCATCGGGAAAATGTGGAAGAAAGACTTCGATAAGGTGATTAAAATAACAGTTTATTAAGTACTTGAAAAATAAATCTCACTACTATCGTAGTATATATCATTCATATAATGAAAAGTTACAATACTATTTATTATAAGTAATTTATTTTATAAAAATAAAGTTTCACTATCATTTTGCTTTATTTTAAGAGCCTATATCCAAGATGTTTTAAAAACGCGCAGACTCATCTGCGCATATTCTGCGAAGATAAACTTAAAAATGCTTAATGAACGTGTGTCAAGTACGAGTCTACTGTGCGTTAAAAAGTGTTCATATCTATAAGTTGAGATACTATTTTCTTGATAATAACTTGTAAATAATATAGCTCTTTAAACTCTCATGGTCAGTGACGGTTATTTCCTTTTAAGAGTTCCCGATATTTCGGCACTATTTCAAGCGCCATGGTTACGGTATACTGATGATTTAGTGGGTGGATATTAAACTTTTTATTAACAGGCATATCTACCCTCTTTCAATTTTGTTATGTACGTCCGTACGTAACAATACCTATGTAACAATGGTAGTGGTAGCGGACTTACAAAACGAACTAGTCTAGAATAAAAGAAGATACTCTGGCAAAAAAAAAATGAAAATTTCTATCAATAATTTTTTTTCATTTTTCAGCATTATTGAAGATCAATAATGTTAGAACTTATATGTAACTCAATAACTGAGTCCGCCAACATACATCATATAGGTAATATCACTAATCTGTAAATTTTTTATATAGTACGATAGCGGGATCCGCGATTATATTCCATATATACATAAAAGTTATATTTATACATACATACAAAAAAATGAGTTCTACTTTCTTAGGAAATACTCGTAGTACTAAGTGGCATAAATTAATGACCGGTCGTGTCTCCGGCAGGTGAACCGGCGCATGAAGCGCGCGTGTCGCCGCGCCGTCAAGTCGCAGACCTTCTACTGGCTCATCATCGTGCTCGTGTTCCTCAACACCGTCGTGCTCGCCAGCGAACACTACCAGTCAGTATTAAACATTTACTAGCTATTTTTATGCCTAACTTATAGCCTATGTGTTACTCCAGATCTTATACTATCTATTAATATTATATAAATAAACTAGCGGACCCGACAGACGTTGTCCTGTCTACACGTCTTTAATTTGAAAATTTCAAACTTTTTTTAATAATTTTTTTGATGAAAATTATTATTCAAATTGTGAATCTAAACCATTCCCAGATCCCCTTGAACACACACAAAAAATTTCATCAAAATCGGTCCAGTCGTTTGAGAGAAGTTCAGTGACATACACACTCACAGAAGAATTATATATATAAAGATTTCATCCAAATTCGTTCAGTCGTTTCAGCGTGAATGAGTGATAAACATACACATACATATATATACATATTCAATGTCGGCTTTAGGGGGGGTCGACCCGGCTGTCCAGGGCACCAGGTTATACAGGGCGCCGCGCGTTCCGGCTCAACTTAACCAGTTAATTTGAATACTTATTTTTATCGATCTAAAGGAAAACTAGACTCGGCGTTTTATCGTATCTCTCACTAAATAATTCTACATACACGATTTTTTTAATTGTAATGAAATAAGTATACCTAAAAGGGCGCCAAAGGCATGACTCGCCCGGGGCGCCCAGATGGCTAAGGCCGACCCTGTACATATTTACGTATTTATAATGATAGTAAGTTTATTATGCTACACAAGAGTTCAGATAAGATCTATCTGTAATGATAAGATCTATCTATGATTTGATTCTACATATCTGTAATGATCTAAATATGATCAAAAGTCCACATTCAGTTCTTTTTTTTACTAATACTACTATTTTGCGAATTTCAATGTAATTTATAAATTATTTTAAAGTTTGTCTGTCTATATCCGCTCACATCACGTGGATGTGGTACAAATATACAAAATATACGTTTCCGGATCTTGGAAAAAAACTGTATAGCTAATTTTGCTTGTAATAGTACATATTTGAGATGAACTAAGATTAGCTATGAAAAAAAAAACTATATAAAATAAATTTTAATGTATTTATTTATCTTTTTATATGGTTTTTATTTTCTTATAAGATAAATACATTTTATTCCTGATTAGGAGTTATTTGTAGACTTTACCTTTTAGAATTATAGAACTTCTGCCCCATTTCCGCAGACAGCCGACGTGGCTCGACCACTTCCAAGAGTACGGTAACGCGATCTTCGTGGCGCTCTTCACGCTCGAGATGTTGGTCAAGATGTACAGTTTAGGGTTACAGGTGAGACATATAATAAGTAAAAAATACAAAATGTTTGTCTCATTTGGACACTAGAGGTATATATGTCGGCGCGTCGCCTACAATTATTGCAGATTCCTGACATAGATCGGACCACACAACCTTACAAAATCAATTATAAACTGTAAATTATATTTAACTAGCGTTAGCTTGCATCCCCATACAAACTTTCATCTCCATTCTCACTCCCTTAAGTAATGATTTTCGGGATAAACACTTTTTCACTCACTCACTTTTCATATCATGAGATTTAAAAAAAACGAATTTTCGTAAACTTTTTTTTTAATTTTCTTTTATAATAAACTTTGACAATAACAAACAAAACAAGAATTATCCAATTTGGTGAAGTCGATCGGAAGCTATGTGCGTACATACATTTCAGTGATTTATTTTTATTTATATAGATTTTACTATTCTATCTTACTGACTAATTTTACAATAAGATGCTGTTTTAGAATCAGAAAATATTGATATAATTTGTTACCAATATTTTAAAATAGATGGCAGGATAATCACGCCATATACATTTTCAGGATAGTCGCATTGGATTTGAGAAGAACTACTCCGGGAAGACTAATACTTTTTTTATTTTGTGTTTAGGGTTCTGTATATTCGAAAAAAGGATTTTTTATAAGATCATAAGTCTATTTCTCTATCTGTATATCACAACTTTCATATATTTGGAAAAATATCTCGAATCTACTTAATCCAATCACTGACGTGTAGCGTGAATACTTCCAATAATATTTTGTCGAAAAACAAGCCAACTAATTTATGACGACTAAAATGACAAATCTATGGAATATAGTCTCAAACATAGGCAATAATAGAAAAAAAAAACTATATTCCATAAAGTATGAAATCTTCTTCCACAAGGGCCCAAGACCGTTATAAATGGCTTAAACTAATAAATTTTTACATGGTCACCAATATCTGGTCAGGGCTACTTCGTGTCGCTGTTCAACCGCTTCGACTGCTTCGTAGTGGTGGGCTCAATCAGCGAGATGGTGCTGACGAAGACGGAGCTGATGCCGCCGTTGGGCGTGTCGGTGCTGCGCTGCGTGCGGCTGCTGCGCGTCTTCAAGGTTACCAAGTACGTACAAAACTATCTACCCTCGATCAAGACTCTTAGCTCAAATTACTCAACTCATCAACACAACCAGAAATCATTAGTTCTTTGAGCTGGAGTGTTAAAACTGCGTCAAATATAATATATCTCATCTTATTGTCTACACCAGCGAGAATAGAATGTTTTACCCAACGAATAATTGTACAGAAATATTTTTTCAGTTGCGAGAACTGTATCGCGCCCTGGGCGCAATTGGGGTGGGGAACAAATCGATAAAATATGTAAATTATTTTAATCATTAATTTTTTCCTTTGTTTTAATAGTTATTCTGCTATGTTATAGTTATGGAGCGGATACAAATCCGACAAATCAACGATCATAAAAATCGATCCAGCCTTTTTTGAGTTATAAATGATGTAACTAACCCGGCATTGTTATATATATATATATATATATATATATATATATATATATATATATAAAGTTACGTTACATGTTGCGTTTATTTGAATATAATCAGTTTTTGACATGCTACATTAACTTAAATTAATTTAAACGCCCAAAATTTTAAAAACAATTCTTTTGAAATTTAAAATATTTGTGCACTACCAGGTACTGGCGGTCGCTGTCCAACCTGGTGGCGTCGTTATTGAACTCGATCCAGTCCATCGCCTCGCTGCTGCTGCTGCTGTTCCTCTTCATCATGATCTTCGCCTTGTTAGGGATGCAGGTTTGTTATAAAAGATAAACACCAAGCTAATATAAATAATCTATGATTATGTATATATCAAAAGTTCATCCACCCGAAATATGATACTATGCAACAAAAAATAATGGATGGAGAATATCTTTAAAATGATGATAAAATTATAGTTTTAGACGAAATATGAACTTCTAATCGCAAAAGCTTTTATATGTGTCTTTTTTAATTTGACAATTATTGAAAAGTATTATTCAATTCTCTTGTTAATGGCTTCAAAACGTGCCAGTTGAGCACAGATTACTTCGCCAATGTTACGGAGAGTGGGGAAGACACCAGAAAGATTTAAAGTAGTCTAACTCATAATTTTAATGTTGGACCAACTTTAGAAAATAAGGTAATCAATCTATCTCTAATAGAATAAGCTTAAAGTGATTTTCAAGTCAGTGTACCTTTTTGAAATTACCAAAAATGTAATGTTTTAATATGCAAATTACATTTTATTGGTGGTAGGTGTTCGGTGGCAAGTTCAACTACGACCCTGAAGAGGAGAAGGATCGGCACAACTTCGATTGTTTTTGGCAAGCGTTGCTTACTGTATTTCAGGTATTATTTACATTTCTCATCTTAAAAATAATAAACAAAAATAAATGTACTTAGACCAATAAGGAAAACAACGCAAAACACTGCATGATTGGAATTATAAAAAATACTAGTTACACCCTACGTACACACTAGCCTATATATTACTTTAGGTTTTGCCAAAATATTTAATTTTGCTACAAGTGTTCAATTATTGTTTTCATATGTTTAATGTCCACTAGTTTCTAAATGTATTTTTTTCTGTAATTACGGAATAATTTCAATTCAATTATTAACGCCCTCTAGCTGAGTGGAGAATTGCGGCACGGCTTATTAACTTCTGTAATTATTATCGTTTATATTTGTTTTAACTATTTACGTACAAAATCTTAATAAATCTTTTAAATCATAAATCTATATATGACTAGCTACTACTACTGAATCGGAGGCTCAGTAATAGTTTATCTGTATACTAAATGTATCATTTATGTCATCATTTCCATGCCCATTTCTCAATTCCTTGGTGTCGGTGCAGTACATCTTCTGTACTGCTGATGGGATTTGGCAAAAGTTTTACGACCGGCCGCCTGCCTGACGTAAACCCTCCTTGGGAATAAATGTATCATTTATATTGTATTATCTATATTCCGAGTCGTGTCCAGATCCTGACGGGCGAGGACTGGAACGCGGTGATGTACGAGGGCATCAAGGCATACGGCGGCGTCGGCACCTTCGGTATCCTCGCCTGCATCTACTTCATCATACTATTCATCTGCGGCAACTGTATCCTTAGCAAGCAATGCTAATGCTTCTTACTTCTATTACTTAAACAAGACATAAATTCAGCCGAAAGCATTCATAGAGCTTAATTGAAAGTTTTGATTTCAAATCTTACTTTAAATTATGTCTGAAAAATATTTTTTTTTATTTTTTTTATAAAAGCGTATCTGTTTGTTGGTATGTCTTTTTTCACGCAAACGTAATGACTAAATATTTTTTATAGAGAATAGAGATATTTGCAAAGAGAGTAAAACTGAGATTAGTAATAAGACTAAGATTTACTCCGTATGTCTAGTCTTATAGATCACGTGGAATTCTAGGACAATTAAAAAAGTTTCTAAATAACGTAGCCTGGCCTTTAGTTAAAAATAACACTATCCCATCACATACCATATATTTCTTTAGTCGCGAACCAGATATTCTTCTGAACGTGTTCTTGGCCATCGCCGTCGACAACTTGGCTGATGCTGAATCTTTGACCAATATAGAGAAGGAAGAAGGAGTGAGTATTGATGCGAAGACTGTTTGATTTCAATAACTTTACCGGTACTACATTATCTCTTCATTTATTTGTCTACATCTCACGCATTGAGAATTTCAAATTTTAAACAGAAATAAAATTAAAAAAAAATAGTTACAAAATGTTTGACACTAATAATTTTTGAGTATTTTCTTAAAATATTATAATTATTAATTTGTTACTGTCCATGTTATTTTAGAAAAACATGTTATTGTGTATTTTGAAACTATTTAAAAATACAATAATTAATTTAACAAAAAAACATATATATATATATATATATATATATATATATATATATATATATAATGTGTTCAGCAAGCTGCAGAAGAGAAGGAAGGAGAGGAACAAGGGGAAGTTGAAGGCGCGCTCGCCGACACCGACGACGAGTATATCCACGACGATGATGTTTACACTAGTGATAAGTACGCAATGAATGTCTTATTTGAAGGATCTTCTCATATTTTCAAAATAAGTTTTTATACTTAGTTTGAAGAATATAATGTAATGTTATTAGGGTTCTACAGTTTTAAATAACTTTTCGGATTTTTTTGCGGATCTGTTTTGATTTTTGGTTCTCGATCATCATCATCGATCATCAAAGGTTATTTTATAGTTGTCGGTAACAACTGTGTTTTATAACATCTAAAACCTTATTCTGTCCCGTGACTGTGATTACTGTAAAACATTCAAAACGTCGGTAACCAAAACTCAAAATAAATCCGCGAAAAAATTTGATAAAATAGTTTTATTTAAAATTTCGAACATTTATGTCAACCTAAGAGAATATTATGAAAGTATTAGGGTTCTATAATTCAAAGGCAAAAATAGACCCCACATAATTTGATCATGTTTTATGCTCTCCGTAGCAGTTCGAGCTCCTACTCTAGACATGCGAATCACACTCGTTACTGTTTTTATTTCTTATGGATGTTAAACATAACTTTCAAATTTTTCTGTAATGACTTCGATTAAAATTACATACTGTCATAAATAAAATTGGTTGTAGGTTAGCTTGTTTATGATTAAATCTCAAATAATGAATATTTCCAATGTTTTAAGACAAAAAATAATGTCATTGTATAATTAGTAAGCGTTTAAATAATTAATTAATATAGTTCTGAAAGAGAATATGAAGGAGAAGAGACTGGATCAGAAGGGGAGCAACGAGAAGAAATAGATGAAGAAATAGAAGAACCAGGTATTGATGAAGAAAACGAGGAAAGAATTGAAGAAGAACAAGAGAGAGATGAAATGGAGAATCATCAGAGAAATCATATTGGTGAGACTAATATAAAGTATTCTATGAAATTTGCACTATATCTTAATTATTATTATTATTTATACTTAATACGGAATTGAAATAAAAAATGTGCTTGTTGCGTTATAAATGTAATTTTACATTGAATAACTTTAAGAGATGATTATAGTCACAACACATTGACGCAAAAATGACATATTTTTATTATAAAGAGCAATTTCTGCGTGAATGTATGTATGCGTAATCATTTTGAATTAAGTTATATTTAGTGAATCAACTAAAGTATCATACTTGGGGCGAAACAATTCCGATAAATTTTAAAAATAACAGGAATCCATTGCTCAAATTATTTTGTACTAATCAAATAGAGATGAGTGTAGAATAATTGTGCGATCGGAGAGAAAGCAATAAGCTAACAAAACCAAACAGTGAACACAGAGTTCGAGGACGAGCCGCGCTTGAGACGCAAGCCGACGACGTCCTCGGCGCGGCCGCGGCGCCTCTCGGAGGTGGACATACGGGACTCGGCCAAGCCGATCCCCGATGCTTCCTCCTTCTTCATATTTTCCAAAGACAACAGGTTAGGGACCGTCGCGGACCGGCGCTTCGATTAGATGTTTTCTTACCTGCCTCTTTTTTTTTGTTTCTAATCGCTCCGGTGACCACCGTTTTTTTAAAACGTCTGTGGTTTGGCCGGAGCACTTTCTTTTCAGTATTTATGCCTTTAACTTAAATAATTTTAATACTTACAGCTGTTCATTTTATGTTATATTGTACTTAATTTACTCTCACATTTTTAGCTAATCACTTCCGTTATTTGCATTTAATTTTGAAACGTAGGCGTTAGGGATGTCACGATTCGGCATGAACACGTATTGTTATATATAGGTGCGAAGGTTATTTTTAAGTAATTGTAGATAGAATTGAATGAAAGGAATGTCATATCTTTCTATCACAAAGATGGCGGCGAGTTAGAAGAAGAGGGAACGCTCGTAACCGCTAGACCGAGGCGGATCTCTGAACTGAATATGCCAAATCAGACGCCGCCAATACCGAACGCTAGTAGTTTCTTCATATTCTCACCAACCAACAGGTGATCGGTCGCTCGGTACCCGTGACTCATTGTGCTATTGGCGTGTCCCGATTGGTTCACCTCCGCTCATTTTGTCTATGTCTATATGTATCATTTCATCTTCTCTGCACGAGTGTTGTCCTCGATCCTTTCAAAATTAGTTCCAATTATTAAAAAAAATACAATGAGATTACAGGGTACCTTTAAATTCCGATGTTAGAGGTTAGGTATGTTTGTAGCATTCAGCTTTCTTGACTAGAAGCATGTAAATAGAGGACAGTGACCATAGAAGTAAAGTTTAGAAGATTTAGATTTTTGATATTTCCATATTTGGACATGCCGAAACTTAGAGAATGTTTTTAGTTCATAGGTGCTGTTATAAAAGCATGGGCTCATTTTAAAACTTTTATTTAAAATATACTTTTTAATATTGCATGAACTAGCTTATGTTTGTGTTAGTTTCTAAACAATAAAATAGAAATATATAAATTGGTGTGTAATAAATGTATAATTTCTGTCGCTTTGTGTTGATTTCTTATTAGTTTTTTGTATGTTTCTTAAAAATAAAAGTTAATTTCAGTGTTAAAAAAAATCAAATATATGAATATTGCCTATTTTACTTTATCATAAACAAGTAAAAGTGAAATCTATAGTTTTTCTAATATATTAGGTTTCGGGTATTCTGCTACAAGATGTCATCGTCGTCAACTTTCGGGAACATCATCCTGGTGTGCATCATGTTTTCGTCTGCTATGTTAGCGGCTGAGGATCCACTGGATGCTGCCCAAAAAGGCTTTCGAAATTGGGTGAATATTATTTTCTTTACAAATTCTTTACATTATTTCATTTAACTGGACTGGGCTGTGAAGAAGACTGACGAAAGAAGATTGAATGCAACAGAGATAAAAATGTTGTGATGGATGTGTGGAGTGAAGAGAATGGATAAAATAAGTGATGAGTGCATTAGAGGAGGAGGGGTGAAAGTAACGCCAGTGACAAAAAAGTCCTCAAGAAATCGTCTGAGTTTGCATGGACATGTGATGAGGAGGACTGAGATGCATGTGAGGAGAAGAATGATGGATATAATTATAGATGAATGTAAAATAAGAGGAAGACCAAAGAAAAGATGGATAGAATGTGTAAGATGGGATATAAAAGTGAAAGTAGTGAATGATGAGGTTATGAAAAATAAGGAAATTGGAAGAGGAAGATATACTGCACCGTCCCCATGTGTTTTGGAAAATGGGCAGGAAGATGGAGATAATTAAATTCTGATATTAATTTCATTATAGATTTGTCTCCCTAATCAGACTATTATTATAAATGCTGAAGTTTGTAAGTGTGTATGTTGGTTACTTCACGTTAAAGCGGCTGGACGTATTTATATAAAATTGAGTATACTGATAGACTATTAACTAGAGTAATATATAGGTTGTTTGGCAGCTAAGGATGTAAATTTTACTGAATTTAATTGTTTCTTAATGGATATTTCTTAATATCTATTAAAGAAAAAAATTCAACAATCTTCTTTTTGCAAACTCGTCAGCTACTTAGCCAGTTTGACATGTTCTTCACGGGTATCTTCACGCTGGAGCTGTTTCTGAAGCTGGTGACGTACGGGCTGGTGCTGCACCGCGGCGCCTTCCTGCGCTCCGCCTTCAACGTGCTCGATATGCTCGTTGTTTGCGTCTCACTCATATCTATGAGCTTTAAGTACGTGCCTTTATTTCTTATTGTATCTTATCATCAACTATAATATTATATATAACTAAAATATTATGTTGACTTTAAAACAATATTAGGGTTTGAAAAAACAATCATCTTATTATGTCTCAATAGGTGTGAAGATAACACGTAAAGTAACCCGAATTAATTAATAAACCTCCTCTATCGGAAAAATGCATTTTGCCTTAAAAATGTACTATAACGAAGCAATTTAAAGATGTATTGCAAAGGTGGATTTATCTAATAGACGTTGTCCAGTTGACTTATGGGCACACATTTTTTTATTCACTAATATATTTTAACTTCAGTATCTGAATAATTAAATTCAGATTTGCAAATTATTCCAGTCACTGGGTAGGTTCTGACTTACAAAAAGTGAAAGAGAGTTAATTTGTCAGAATGTTACACAGTATACAGTACAGTATAATCTAAATATTCAGCATTTGCGACCTTGAGCGACTGCTCCATCCATCATATTAAAAAAAAGGTTCCAAAAACCTGTTTTCCTACAATATCTTCTTTTCAGCATCATCTAGGCTATAACAAAAAATATAGCGCATGAAATTTTCTGCAACTTTTGTCAGAAATGTTTTTCGATTTTTTTTATAGTCTCAAAGTTCGTAAAAAATTTAACAAACAAAACATTTTACTTCATAATTTGCGATAACCACTTGTTAAATGTTTTCAAATAGGTCTGGGAGTATATCTGTTGTGAAAATATTGCGAGTATTCAGGGTTCTGAGGCCTCTCAGGGCTATCAACAGGGCCAAAGGCCTTAAGGTCAGTTATATAATTTATTCATCTTAAATATATTTAACTATATAAACTTATTATAATTATAAGTATAAAGAGATATTTAAATAAAACTATCTTTCGGATATTTTCGCTGATATTGGTAGGTTTCTGAATTCTAAAGTTTCCAATACTTTACAGCAATCATTTCTCCAAGAGAGACATGTCTCTCCAAAAAGATAATTTTATTTAAAAAGTCAAATATTCGCGTAAATCTAAGAAAATATTAAAATAATGATAAATACAGGTGGATATTGAAAGTAATTTTTCCCTGATTATAGCACGTTGTTCAATGCGTGATCGTTGCAATCAAAACGATCGGCAACATTTTGTTGGTAACGTCCTTGCTACAATTCATGTTCGCGGTGATGGGAGTGCAAATGTTCAAGGTAGGGGGCTCCGCATCAGCACGCCACCGCGTGGAGTGTCACACAAACTTTAAACTCTTTTAAACTTACACCTTTGGGTAATTTATTAAGTCTTGACTCTCAATCTGATTCCTCTCTCTTCTCACTCATTTCTCATGATTATATTTTTCTTTTCTTATTTATATATGTATATTGTATATTTAATTAAGCTTTGCTTTGTGCTTTGTTTTCTTCGCGCTATCACTTGCTTACACGCCTTGTATATGTAACACTTTCTAACCTTCCTTCTTTAATTATTTGTTTATTATGTTCTATACTTCCACTATCGCTATGGAGAACCAAAATTGGACAACTAAAAATTCTTAGAGAAATAGTATACCATTAATTGGCATGAGTCTTTAGGTAGGCAAAGCGTAAGAAATAGGCTTTCATTTGACAAATGTTGTATTATAATAGTTACAATACAATGTTACTGTATCACTAACATCAATGGAGCATGAGTAGATCGACCCAAAGGTGTAGATTATAATCCAGATCATCTAGAGGACTAATGTCATAGATAACCATACCCCCTACCTTGGCGTTGTCGTCAACCCCATGTGGAAACGTCTAACAATATACAATATATTCTTAACAAAGTACGTAGAACCTATCCCCGTGTTAAATAGCCCCATTATTAAAGATTGTTTGCTTTTCCCCGTATGTCCCGACGCTGCGTGAACCGGACCGGACCCTGGTAACGTATACACTGCACTAACTCGCACGATCCTTCATCTTATAGTATGTAGTGAAATGTGTGATAGTAGCCATTAAGACAATAGGAAACATAATGCTAGTTACGTATTTGTTACAATTTATGTTCGCTGTCGTCGGTGTACAGTTGTTTAAGGTGAGCTACTGATACTTATATATATACAAATGTACGATCATGAACGATCATGTTGGTTTGCTATTTAAAGTTGTATTAACAGTCGATTTCTGCTAACAGTGAGAGGTACGCTGATATTAAGTTGGCAATTTTTTTGTAATTGTATGTACTGAGTCTGTGATATATTTTCATTGTATCACTTATAACTTAATGCTGTAATGTGACATCATGGTATATGCAAATTGTTAAAGTGAGCAATGTTTTTATTTGTGATTATATGAACAATAATAAATTAAATAATGATCAATGACAATTTTTGTCTTGAATTTCGAATAAAAGTTAGGGCGGAGTAATAGGTATACTAGACATTGTTGAAAAAGAAAAACACTTTCAATAATATCGATTACATTACTTCGCTATATATCTTTATTATATGTTAGATGAATATATTTTTATTAAGGAACTTAATGACTTAATTTCTATTTAATATTTGTGTCTTTAATTTTATTAATAAAAATTCATTTCTGACTGAGTACATTCAATACTAAAAATAGTCAAATGAATTCCAAACAGTACAGCACGCAGTTTGAAACAAATAACATAAAAATAACTGATCAAAATAATTGTAAATATACTAAAATTTGAAATTGCTAAGATGATACCGCTTGTGACAGATCATGAGAAATGGGTTACAGTAACAGCTTCAGCAACCTGTTAATTGTCATACAGATTAACTGCTTTTTTTACGTCTAAAATTTGTTTTTTCTTGTCTAATCACCTAAGTTTTGTTCCAGGGTAAATTTTTTAGGTGTAATGATATTTCAAAAATGACAAAAGACGAGTGTCAGTAAGTATTGTTTTTTAAATAAAATAAATCTATCTTTTTGGATTTTTTCGCGGATTTATTTTATTTTTGGCCCCCGACGTTTAGAATGCTTTACAGCAATCACAGTCACTGGAGAGACTAAGGTTTAAGATATCTCAAAGTCATTACATAGTTGTTACAGACGGCCTACCCACAAAAAAAAACAAAATAAATAAAAAAAAACAAAAAAAAAGAAAAATCCGAAATGATACTTTTATGTTATTTTATTTAAAATGTATTTTTATTTTATTAAATTCTAATATTCGCGTAAATCTAAGAAAGTATAATATTATTTTATTAATACTCCTCTGAAAGATATACTTAAAATCGATTTTTATTCCAGGGGGACTTATTTAGTGTTTGAAAATCCTAATTATGTAGTTAGAGATAGAGTTTGGAAGAGGAATGACTTCCATTTCGATAATGTTATGAAAGGGATGCTTACGCTCTTCACTGTATCTACCTTTGAAGGGTGGCCAGGGTGAGTTTGATTTTTAGCTGTACATTTATCTTATATACATTTTCGGAAACCTCGGTCAGAAACACCTCTATAAAGATATATTAAAAGAAGCTCTTAGAAGGGGTGAATTGTATCCTGAAACTGACGAAATCGAAAGGTAGGGTATACTTATATTGGATGAAATATTTGCCACTCGTATTTATACAAAATAGATATTAGTTAAAATATGACTTCTGTATTTCCCGGAAACAAATCAACGCGTAACCGGAGCTTGGAGAAGTATAGTTCATACTGATTACAATGAAATGCATACTAATATAATAAATGTTAAAGTAACTCTGTGTGTCTGTTAGTTTTTTATTCTTAAACTGCTAAACCGATTACGATGAAATTTATCCATAGATAGCAGCATAGGGCATAGATATATCGAGCGACAGCGGTAGAGCCTCGAGCAAAAATCAGTAAACATACAAGTATAAATTTAAAAATAATTTGCAGGTTATTGTACGTGTCTATAGACTCGAACGCCGAGGATCGTGGTCCCATCACTAACTTCCGTCCAATCGTAGCAGCCTACTATATTATTTATATAATTATAATTGCCTTCTTTATGGTAAGTCGTTCCTCATATATTTAAAATGCTATAAAATAATCAAATATAGAGTAAAAAGATACAAATGAAGTTTCGATTCGTTATTCTGATCTTCTAAAATTTATCTTTTGACTGATCTGAGATTTTTGCCAAATGTAAGAAAACATTTTGTTTGTAACTCGATTTTCGTGATTGTATTTTTAATGAATAGATTAATAATAATATTTCAGGGTGGTTCCTAAAAAAATCTACATAATTTTCTTTGATTTAATATGACGTTATGTTTTAGGTAAATATATTCGTCGGTTTCGTCATAGTGACATTCCAGAACGAGGGCGAGCAGGAATACAAGAACTGTGAACTGGACAAGAACCAAAGGAATTGTATAGAGTTTGCTCTTAAAGCTAAACCTATTAGAAGGTATTTTTAACAGATTTTATTAAAATGAGAAAATATGTAATTTAGATATACGTATTCTTTGTTCGTGTATATTACGCTGTACCTTCACCAATGATGAATTCAATATTCGGTTAAATGATCTAATTAATGGTCAAATTCAACATTATGTCTCATCTCTATTTTTTTAATAATTTAAAAAAGGCTCTATATTTTTTGGCAAACGGTTAAGATGTCGGTATACGGTCAAAATATAAATGATAAAAAATTAACCAATGTATGATTGTTATTTATTTTTACAAATTATTTTTTTACGTTGGTAAAGTAACCCTCACTCATCCTCTACTGTGCAGGTACATCCCAAAGCACCGCATCCAGTACAAGGTGTGGTGGTTCGTGACGTCGCAGCCCTTCGAGTACGCCATCTTCGTGCTGATCATGATCAATACCATCACGCTCGCCATGAAGTACCACAACCAGTCACCGGAGTACAGCAAGGCGCTGGACATGCTCAACATGATCTTCACGGCGGTGTTCGCTCTCGAGTTCATATTCAAACTTGCCGCTTTTAGGTTTAAGGTAATGCTTCGTTTGGATTTTAATCTAGAATTTATGATGGACTTTTTTGTTTTGTTTTTTTTTATTAAAACAGTTTTTTTAGGTATTTTTCGTGTTTTTTTTTTTTTTGAGTTTTGTACGGATGTTTTGGACACTTTGGGTGAACATGTTCTGAGGCTCTAAGGTGTTTTGGGTGCAATCTCTCTTTTTCAAATTATTGTATTATTTTGTAAATAAACTCTCTCTATAATAACTACAACAGACATTTAGCATGTTAGTCCCTCCCGTGAAGTGATCGAGAATAAAAAGATCAAATAAATTAATATAAAATTAATCTTATTTCATATTTTACAATATTTTATTGCAACGAAAGTTACAAAGATCTAAACCGTACAATATAAGTTTTTAAGCTTTCATTAATATGACTTTTATATTTAAGATATCTAAGCATCAAATATTTTCATACCAATGTGTGCAAGTGCCATGAATTTGTGTCTTAGGATACTCTAAATCACTACTAAAATCATATTCATATTTTAACATATGACAGACAATAGATTCCCTATATTCCAGAACTATTTCGGTGACGCGTGGAACACCTTCGACTTCATCATCGTGCTGGGGAGCATCATCGACATCGTTGTCTCACAAGTAAACGAACTCAAGAATCAGGTAAAATCACTCTGCACGCTTCCAGCGATATTATATTATATTTAGTTAACCACTCACTTCTTACACTGCCTAAGTTTAAGAATCCATCTGATTGAATCGTAATGTTTAAATCGTTTAATTGAAAAGTTAGTTTTTATCTTCATTGCTTATTTAGACTATTATTTGGACAACATTTGATGTTTTTTTTTTCTTATTAAGCATTTGAGTCTAGTTATGTAAAATAATAATAATAAAGTTAGGTAAACATTTAAATTACAGGGTCCTAGTTTTAGGATATTTAAATCTAGGCAGTGTAGTTACTGTCCCGAGCATGGACATAGATGTTGTAATAACAGCAAGCTCTCACATAGCATCTATTCGTAGATCATTGAAGCCTACTGTTTCTTTCAGGGAAGTGGTCTGCAAAGAGCCCACGTTGTGAAGGTAAGTGCACGCTTATGCGATAAGAGAAAACATCAATACCTACTCTTTGTTAGTGTAAATTAATGTTCAACATTTATATAAGCCCTTAATAATTTACCTATTATTTAAAATAATATTATCAAAGATATTATATGCGTACGTATTTACATATGTATGTTTCTACAACTCAGTATTGTCCATTTAGGTGATAAGTTAACAATGAGACACTATATGGCTAAATTGCCTCTATTTAGCAAGCAAAAGAGATTATAATGTAAAAACATTTTCATGTACTTTTACGCCATTTAGATAGATGTAAGGTCCATATTGTTATTTTTATATAATGTGAGCACTATAATGAATATTACTTAACATAATAGATAATAGATAGATTTAGCATTTATAATAAAATCATAATTTATTAGTTTTTTATAGAATTAAGAACTAAGAAACCAAACAATAAAATAGAAATTAGTACATTTGTTAATTTCTCTCGATCTAAACTCGATGAAAACCAATAGATCATCAACGTAAAAATTCAAAGTATACTTCAACAATTGGTGTCACTAATATTATAGCTTTAGATGTTGTCGAGCAAATTAATGATAAGGTTAGCTTTCGATGTAAAGTACTGCATCTGGGACAGTAACCTGCAATAGATCTATCTATATGTATATGTATCCAAGAAAACAATATAGAGCAAGAAGCACACAGCACGTTACACTTAATACCTACTCGTACATGAGAGCTATAGAATGTTGATTTTTGTATATTAGAAACTGTACATACACATAAGTTAAAGAAATAGTCAGCACTTTCAAATATCATATCATTAAAATATAATTTAAATTTAAAGAAACAGCTACTAATGTTGAATAAAAATAATTATAACATATTAAATTTATATAAGGTCATATAGGTATATACAACACTAATTCTGCGTTAAATATATATAACATACAGGTTATCAAAATCACACAATTCAAAAATAACTACTAAATAAAAAAAAGACTTAAAATTTAGTACAAATTTTACAATATCTTTTAATTTTACAATACTTAAATATAATATCGACATTAACTGATACAGGAAAGTTCGATTCCTTCCATCAATTTCTTCCGACTGTTCCGTGTGATGAGGCTCGTGAAGTTGCTGTCCCGAGGGGAAGGCATCCGCACCCTTCTGTGGACCTTCATCAAGTCCTTCCAAGCCTTGCCTTACGTCGCGCTGCTCATTTTGATGCTGTTTTTTATTTATGCAGTGGTTGGAATGCAAGTGAGTATATTATTATCACTTCTATACATATAAAGCTATTGATATTGTATACTAATCTTTTTAAAATAATACTAAAATAAATAATAAATATTTTTACATTATATTTTTGCAACATTTTAAGTTATGTATATGAAATATGTTTTTTTTGTTTTTTATTATAGGTATTTGGAAAAATAGCGATAGATGACGATACCCCCATCACAAGAAACAATCATTTTCAGACGTTTCCACAAGCTATTTTAGTGTTATTTCGTTCAGCAACCGGTAAGTTTTTTAACAGCCCACTACTGAGTAAGAGCCTCATTTCAATGGCCATATGCGGGTTGGCGGACTTTACACGTATTTCGATGAAATATGGTATATTCTCTAAAACTGCAGGTTCCTTCGCCATGTTTTTTTTCGCATACGTATATGTAAGAGGTAATCGTGTTGAAAATGATTAGCACATGAAAATCTCAAAGGTCAACACCCTGGTTGATTTGAATGGACTACTATCGTTTTTTATTATAATTTTAATTTTAGGTTAATTTTACTTGTTAACTTAATAACTATTTTTCTATCAAACTGAACAACAGTTTTATGATTAGTTGAATTTTAAAGGTCCAAAATAAAATCCAGAAATCTAACGGGAAATGAGGTTTCAGTATCTTTTAAGTTAGTTTTTAAGTCAAAATAGACCCTTTTCGTATTATTTTATCAGATTACTAATACTAATAAGCTGAAAAGTTTATTTTTTAGAACGCACTTGTCTCTAGGACTGCCAGTTCGTTTTTATTATTATTTTTATTTTATATAATTGAGAAAACCTATAGCTATCTGACACCATGCTTCGCTTACTATTATGAACCAAATGAGTGGCGCTACAGACAAAGATAGTCTAATTATAATTGTCAACATCTGCAGGTGAAGCGTGGCAGGACATAATGATGGGCGTGTCGCCGGAGCCGGAGGTGCGCTGCGACCGCAACTACGACGAGGAGGGCGAGGACGACAGCAGCGGCTCCTGCGGCAGCGTGCTCGCATTCCCTTACTTTATCTCCTTCTACGTGCTCTGCTCCTTTCTCGTTAGTGCTTTTTACTACTTTTTTTGTATAGTAAAAGGGACAAATATACAAAATACAAACAAACGATCTATCTGATGGTAAGTGGCTATCGTTGCTCATAAACATCTGCAACATAAGAAATGTTGCAAATGCGTTTCCGGCCTTTAAGCGACCTGAAGATACAACTTTTGAAAAGCCCTATGTTATAGCGCTCGTTCCACAATTTACACGTACGTGGCAGAAATGAACGTTATGTCCATTTACTTAAGGTGATATATTTGTAGGATGCAAAGCATTTAGGACGTGTGGATGACACCTCAACGGCGAAGAGTGCGATGATAGACAATCTATGGTAGTACCAAATCAAAAAAATCATTAGAACACACTCCATTGTACAGACGATAGAAGACACACAAAAAGTGAACATCTACAGGAGAAGTTGTAAATCGACTAATATAAGTGTTTGCTAGTATTCTATAAATAAACTGGCACGGTGGTTCAGTCTAATTTCTGTTATGTCTGGTTCGAGCCTCGGGCCAGACCAAGTTTACGTAGTTCTGGAGTTTTTCTGTCAAGAAATACTTATAATAATGGCTCGGAGTTGGCAAGTTATCGTTGTTGGTGTGTCGAATTGTCATGGATTGCCAATGGAGTATGATAGTGAGAGGAATAAAAAGTGCGCTAAAGTAACACTTCGTTTTAATTTAAAAGTGACAGATACAATATACATCTATAGTTGATATTTATGGATATGCTTGGACAATTAGTACTTACTGTTTCTGTCTTCTTTCAGATCATTAATCTTTTTGTCGCTGTCATTATGGATAACTTCGACTACTTAACCAGAGACTGGTCAATATTGGGACCACACCACTTAGATGAATTTATAAGGTGACATGTTTGTTCTAATAAGGAAATATTTAGCATGCAGACCTTATTATTATTTTAAATATTCTAAGAGTAATGGAAAATGTGTAAAACTTAAATAATATAAAAAAAAAAAAAATATTTATATGTTTGAATTTTGTAGTTGAAGTGTATTGATAGAAAGAACAGTTATTTTGAATGATATTTAATGCCGTTCAATCCAAGGTACGCACCCGAGCAAAACAAGGGTATGTCGCTAGTTCAAAATAAGATTTCCCCATTTTGAAAGTATTGCCTTCCGAAAGTTAATTTATACTCGTATTGTAGTTTAATACACAATATACTTTTCCAGATTATGGAGTGAATATGATCCAGACGCAAAGGGACGAATAAAACACTTAGATGTAGTTACTTTGTTAAGAAAAATTAGCCCACCGTTAGGTAAGATATTATTTTGACCTTTATATAATGTTATCTACGAGTCAGAAATCAGCAGAATCATGAAAATTTTAAATGGATTTATTATATTAAAATTAACTTTTATTATATGGTTAACAAACGTGTTACATCAGGTCATAATATACTCGTATGTACCTATCTGTGTATTAAATTGCATCCAAACTAGTCCATCTATTACAGCGTGAAGAAGTAACGCAACACATACAAATTTTCGCATTTATATTAGTATATTTGATTGCGAAATGTACATATATGTGTGTCTGCACGTCTGGTGTGTATGAGGGTTTGGCCAAGTTTACTTATTAAGTATTTAAGTACAACCCGGTAACAACCCGGAGTTGGGAAGTTGGCGATATGTCATCCCCGAGCCGAGGTGGAACATATAATGACGCCGTCCTGCGCCTTAACTCTCACCGCGAGTGTCGAGAGTGCACGTTGCGTTTGCGTGCATATTTGTACACTACAATATCCCCTGCAGTTGACTATGACTCAGTAAGATTGGCCATCAGGAGAACCTTATTGTTATCACAGATGACTTAATTTTGAATTATTAATTAATAAATGACTTTAGTAGTTTGAATTACTAAAATCATTAATTATTTTCCCTCAATATGCTATAATTTTTTATTTCATGTATATTTTTTTTATTGTAATTAATTGTCAATTGTACTCATTATTTCTTATTTTGCTGTATTATTTCTATGTATTATTTAATTGTGGTAAGTTGATTGGTCGATGTTTTATATTTTGTTTTGTTTTTTAATTGTATTATTTTGTACTGTTTGTTTCCCAAATAAAATAACTTAAAGCCCGACGAAACGTTTGGCTCAGTTTATTCTGACCATACTTGCTGTGCCAGCGGTCGCAGGTTCGAGTCCCGCTGGGGCATTCATTTTTGTGATGAGCACTAATGTTTGTACTTCAGTAATGGGTGTTTATATTTTTTTACTTTATAATAATATGTATGTATTTAAAGTTATATATGTGTAGTGTATCAACTATCTGGTATCCGTAACACGAGCCTCGTGATTACCATGGAACTAGATGGTTCTGTGTGTTAATGTCCCAACATATTTATTTATTTATACTTACGATGCGTCAGGGTTCGGCAAGCTGTGCCCGCACCGCGTGGCGTGCAAGCGGCTGGTGTCCATGAACATGCCGCTCAACTCGGACGGGACGGTGCTCTTCAACGCGACGCTCTTCGCCGTCGTGCGCACCTCGCTCAAGATCAAAACCGACGGTGACTCATAAATATATATGTAGCTACTACTTGTCATTGTCAACATTTGTTTGATGTAGATTACCAGGTCAGGTTTGAATTATGGACTGAATGGAGGTAATTTTGTTTTCGTCGGACTATGAGAGTTAAGATATTCACTTAATGTATGAGGTATATTTAATCAATCTAGACTTAAAAACTGGAATATGTTTAATATGTTTTATGAAATAAATTGTTGTCATTATAGGCAGTGGTAGCCCAGTGGTAGCACGCTCGCTTGGAAAACTGAGTTACGCGGGTTTAATCCCGGGTCTCGTACCTCGGATATTTTCATGTGCGAATCACTTTCCAACATGATTATCATTTGTCCAACCGAAATCCCCAACCAACTAACCAACCCAAATCACCGATTAATTATCTCAAAAAATGATCAAATTTAATCTTTATTATTAATCTACCTCCACAGGTAATATTGACGACTGCAATACAGAACTGAGAGCAGTCATCAAAAAGATCTGGAAGCGCACGTCGCCCAAGCTGCTGGATCAGGTGGTGCCGCCGCCCGGCGACCCCAACGAGATCACCGTCGGCAAGTTCTACGCCACCTTCCTCATACAGGACTACTTCAGGAGGTATGGCACCATAGAGTATTTTCAATACAAAATGATTTATAAATTGAAACATATACTTTATTTAGTACTATTGCAACAGTTTTTGTTTCTAATATTTATGAAAATAATATAGCTTCATATAAAATATAGGGAGTCGAATCTTAATCATGTATTTAAGGATTTCAGTAGAATTTCATTAATAAAGAGTTAATTTTATAGTTGCACTATTTTTTGTTTGTTATATAATTTTAAAATGCTTTAATAAATACTATTTAATTACATTCTAATGGTATCTGACAGGTAGATTAACAGATCTGCAGGTAAAGTGACAGAATTAGTCTATGACCATTTGGTCTATGAACTTACAATTTTATGAAAAATATTATGTTGAGAGTAATTTTGTAAAGATTGCTTTCCTTATGTAAACTATGTTTTATTTTTATATTTAACCTTAATTGTTTATATATATTAGTTCGGTGTAACACTGACACTATGTTTTTGTTCCATAGGAATCACGCGTAAGTAACACATCTCAGAAAAACGTATGTTGTTTAGGAGAGAGAATGTTGCCCTTTAGTGTTTTATCAAAGCTCAAAGATAGATAGTGATCGAATCAAAAGATAGCAGGTTCAATTCTAGCTGTTTTCGGTTGTACCCCGCATGGTCCTTCGAGGCTTAATATTCCATAAGCATTAAACGGTTTGAAATACTCTTTCAAAGTACCCACATCACAGTCTAATCACGACATTGAGCATGCATTGACAAACGAGAGCTCATTTAATCGTCTTGACCCACCCAATATCCGAAGATTAATGTTGTGTTTTTGTGTTTTGTCCGCGTTTATATACAGATACACATAAAATTCGATACATAGCCACATTGAACAGTTTGGAGAGTTTTGAAGTTTTACTAAACACTTAGAAGACGCTAGAACAAGATTCAAGTAGCTTTAAATGATACAATAGAATAGATATCACTTGGATACAAATTAGAATAAATTTTAAAAATAATAATCAATTTTAGTACATCGCAATAGAATAGCTATAAAAAATAGTTGCACTTACAAAACATTGAATTCGAAACTGTGGCTCCAAAATTTCACTTATATTAAAACCATAGATACTAATGTAATATATCATATTCTATATATAGAAATATATCTAGACGAGAACTAGGACGAAGTAGTAATCTGCCATCATAATAAAGAAGGCCCTAACTAACAATTTGGTCAAAAATGACTTAAATACAGATTCGGAATCAGCAAAAAAATACTACTCGATAGTCTTACTCATAAACCTCTAAGTCTTATGAATCCGGGGATACCATAAACATTTTCATCGTAACTACGTCAAAACTAGTAGTAATTTTGACGTAGTAGTAATAAGAAAAAACTTCAAATATCTCGAAATCAACTTTGACGAAGTTGCGGTCTTCTTTTATATGATGGCAGTTATGACGGGTCGTGTATTAAACTGTCGATTTGGCGCGAAGGTTCAAAAAGAGAAAGGAGCAGGAGATGAGGCAGAGCGACGAGCAGAGCCACCAGATGACGCTGCAGGCGGGCCTGCGCACGCTGCACGAGGCCGGGCCCGAGCTCAAGCGCGCCATCTCCGGCGCGCTGGACGAGGCGCTGCCCGACAACGACGTGCCCATGCACAGGGTCTGTGCGACATCTGTCATCATCATTATAATCTACTTATACATACTTATATTACAAATAGAAAAAAAATGTTTTTTTTATATGGTTGTTGGTAGTGAGTAAACTAAAATCCGCTGAACCGATTTAGATGAAATTTGATATGAAGATAGTTGTAGAAGAGACCCTAGAAAGGATGTCTTGAATTTAAAATGAGTTTTTTTAATAATAATTAAACCATAATTCATAGCACTCACTTTGCTCAGGCCCGTGATTATTGATATTCCGGTACTAAGTACCATGGCTTATGAATAAATAAAAACAATAATATTATTTATTGCTCGCCAAAAAAGAAACATAAGACACAAAAAACAAATGCACAGCAGGCAGCCTTGTAGCCGGAAATGATCTCTTACAGGCAACCTCGACGAGGTGGAGGAGTAAGTTTTCATAAAACGGTAGGCGATAAATTGTTACATATATAAACCATATATAGATACATACATATAAACATACCTACTTATATACATACATAAGTTTCTATATAGGTTTCTAGGGTAATAGGTAATATACCGTGTACTATTTTAACAGCTAGGTTAAATATTACGTTTTCTTCGATAATTACTGTAAGCGGGCTTAAATAGATTTTTTAAATGTTTATTGTTTTTACAGAGAAATCACTCATTATTCGGTGGTGTATGGTCCAGCATCCGTAGACACGGTCCCAATAGACACTTTCACAGGCCTCGGAAACATGGTGAAGGCCCACCAGGTAAATTTAATCTATCTCTAAAGTAGAGTGCTTCATGAGTAGTTTATTAAAAAATATTAATTAATATAACAATTAATTTTTCTTCCTTAGAAGCTGTCGGTAATCATTTAAGTTCGATGATGCAGCGCGAGTACGGAGTGGGACCATTACCGATGGCTCCAATGGCTGCCAATTTGTAAGTGCGCTTTAAATATGACTAATTTAGAATGTAACAAAGAAGCAAACTTTCATTATATAAACTTTATCTATACCTACTAATATTATAAAGAGGTAAAGTTTGTGAGTTTGTGAGATTGTAAGGGGTACTCTCTGGATCTACTGAATCGATTTAGATGAAATTTGGTGAGAAGATAGTTTGAGACCCTGGAAAGGACATAGGATAGTTTTTATCCCTTAAGGTGGTGAGATGGGCATGAAAGTTTGTGTGGGGAAATAAGCTAGGGACGAATACCCCTAACCCAAGCGAAGCGAGACTGAGTCGCTTGTAAGTGATAAATCAAATAATCTATCTGAATATGCTATTACGAAGATCTCTAATAATACGACCGTGGACATCATATTTTTGAAGAATTTACGGTTAATATAAACTTCGTCTTTTGTAGAGCCAACGGTCAGCCGAAAGAGCAAATACCACTAAGACCTCTAATATTCAATGGGGAGTCGGAAAAAATATACCAAGTTCTAGAGTAAGTATTACCGTACACTATTGACAATTATATAATACTCATAGTAGCTTAATGTTTAATACATTCATAATATTACCGTACTGAATAGTCAATAAACGTGTATCGCCTTATTGCAGAGCAACAACAAATGATCTAAAGAACGCTATTTACAAAGGTAGCTAAAAAGTGTGAACGAGTGGTTTTACAAATACACATTCATCCCAATAACTTCACTCACCCTTACTTACTTTGCATTGCGTGACTAACACTAACTTTATCCTCACGCCGCCTCGGACGGACAGTAACCAAAAGTCCAACTACCCGGAAATGCTCGGTCAGATCGGGCTCGCGTTCGGCTGCGTCAACTACCTCTCCACGCCGGAGACGTCGGGGGTAAAGTCCACGTCGCCGTCGCGGCAGAGGGTGCACCCGGAGGGCTCGGAGCTGACGATACGGAAGGCGTCGCCCGAGGAGAAGACGCCGTCGCCGGGCGAGACGATAACGCCCAAGATCTCGGCGTTCCTCGCGCGGGAGTGCGCGCCGGCGGAGTCGCGGCCGATGACGCTGTACGGGTACAACGCGGCGGCGCGCCTGCCCTTCGCGTTCTCGCACGCGCGCGAGCGCCGCAGCCTGCGCGCGCCGCGCCCGCCCGCAGGTCGGATGGTCCGCAGCGCGTCGTCGGGCGCCGCCCCCGCGCCCGCGCCCGCGCCCCGCACCGCGCATGCGCCCGCACCCGCCGCCCAGCTTGTAGAAGGTCTGCACGCAGGAAGTTTCCTTCTTATTGGCTATACCGGTTTTACGTTTATGATAATTATTCAGATTCAATTATTATCTATATTTAATTGTTTTTATAATTCTTTATATTTGATTGTTAATTTTGTGTAATTTAAAGAGTTCCAAGTTAAAAAGTTTTGGATTTATTGTTTTAATTATTGTTAGACTTTATATCGTGTGTGTTAATAGATTTTGGAAATATCAGTTGTGATTGATATATTTAATAGTGTTGATAGTTACTATATATTAGAACATTTGTATAAGCAAAATAATATACTTTTACTGAGTTATATTAGGTGACGAGGGATATATGAAGGAAACTTTCTTATAACGAGCATCACGCACTAACGACTTTCAAGCTTTTCAGAGATTAAGTGAAAATAAAAGGATATGACGTTCCAAATGGTATAAAACACAAATCGAACAAGATTCTCACATCGCAAACAGCATTTCATTTACCATTGACACGAAACACTTCTACACCAGTTTTTGCACATTTTGATGATAATAATCACATCTATGAACCTTAAGCTTTCAACAAAATAAGCAAAACAAACTCAAAAATCACATGCAATCGAAAATTCTATCAAAATAAGCATAGTAAATTAAAACGGCATGAACTAACGCATCATTCGAGCGGCTAAAAAGTGTTGCATTTAGTTTAGAATAACTAATAGTAGCTTATATAGATAATGTTGAGGAATAACTAAATATGTAAACGCTTGCATTGAAAACTTGCACGAATGTCAAATATCACACATTTTCACGAGAACCCATCGATAATTTAGTCCAACGTGTAGATTTGCAACCGCTTAAGATTACAGAATTCATAGCTAATACGAGCTTAACAAATTTAGTATTAACTGTATATATAATGTATAGGAATAGTACGTAGTGCCTGAAATAGATGGGTCTGTTAAAGACAAATGTTAAATGTAAATAGAAAAGATTTTAGTATATAATCAAGCTTTGTTCAGAAAAACGGTCGATATTATAAGTTGTGCGTTAATTTTTTTAATATTCAGTCTATTTGAGTATTTAAAGACATATTTTATTTACTTCATTTAATGAAACTGCTAGTACAAGACCATTTTAACAAAAAAAAATATTTTCCGATATATTGGTAGATTTATTTAAATTTTTGGTTCCCGACGTTTCGAATACTTTACAGCAAACATGGTCAAAGGAGAGACTAAGGTTTTAGACGCCTTAAAGATGATCTCAAATTTTAATCTCTCCCCCGACCATGATTGCTGTATAGCATTCGAAACGTCAGGAACCAAAGATCAAAAGGAATCCGCGAATAAATCCAGAAAGTTTTATTTAAAATATCAAATATTTGCGTAAATCAGAAAGTATTAGTAAAAGACCTATTTAATAGCAACAAAGCTAGGTACTGAGAGTAACATTGTGGCAGGCGGCGATAGTTGTCGCGGCGTGGTGTCGCTGCCCGGGAGTCCCCGCAACAGCGCAGTGCCGGTGGTCGGCTCCGCAGAGAGTCTCGTCACAAGGGTATGCGGTTTGATTTACTTATTATAATTTAATATTATCATTGCTTTTAGCTACAGACTAGATTTTTTTATCTTTTTTCTTGATATTATTAACAAAAAAATATTAACTAAAAAAACCATAATTGCTAAATGTTTGAGATAATCTCAATTAAATTTGGCATATTGAAATTGTTTACGTAATAACAATAAAAGATTTCCTAGAAAAAGGATTAAAAATTTCAGGAAAACTCCTAATATGTATGATTGAATTTTTTTTTAAATCCCCATATCTTAAATTATTGAAATGGTATACGCAATGTCATGAAATGTAACAAATGAAATATTTCAATTTTTTTGGCAAAGAATATTTATTATTTTTATTAAATTTTTCTTTTTTATTAACAGGTACTAGCTGAACAAGGCTTGGCAGAATATTGTGATCCGGAATTCGTGAGGAATACTTCAAGGGAAATGCAGGAGGCTCTTGACATGACTCAAGAGCAGATGGACAGGTAGCGAGGAGATATTTACCGATAGAATAAAATATCTATAATTATGCAATGGCCAAAATATTTTTTAAATAATGACTCTCGAAATTATAAAGTTTCAATATTTTGGACTATCAAAGTCTTGATAATATTTTCTGATTTGATATTACTTATTATATTATTAATTAAGACCCCATGGCCAATGATATAAATACACACAAGACAAAGTTAAAAAGCTGTTAACGCCACAAAATAAGTAACGTAGGTACTCTTAGTAGACTTAGTAAGACCTATAAATAAAATGTAGAACTTATGTACCCATATTTGAGGCTTTTATTGGAGGCGTTTTCTTCAATACTAAGCGTATCTACTTATCATAAATGTCAACAAATCGGGCAGACTTCCATAAATTATTATAAAACTGATATTTATAATAAACCAAATTGAAAGCGGGTGAAATCGCGGGGCACAGCTAGTGATATTATAAAGAGACAGAATTTGTTTGTTTGAACGCGCTAATCTCAGAAACTATTAATCCGATTTGAAAAAATCTTTTTGCATTAGATAGCCCGTTTATTGAAGTAGGCTTATAGGTTATAATTTCGGAAAAATGTACGGGTACCGTGCGGTAGATGTTTTTAGAACCCGAAGCGAAGTAAGGGTGATCCGCTAGTAAATACTAATGACACATCATTTTAAAAAATTAAACCATGGCTAATAATTTATAGTAATAAAATTGGATATTCCAGAGCGGCGCACCAACTTATGATAAAGGAGAGGAACTTGAAGCAAGTTCAAAATCAACAACCCCCCGTGGTAAGTATTTAATTTGAGTAGAAAGGTTAATTTCACCACCTCAACGTGAGAAATAGATATTTGATATTTATATATAAAATTCTGGCGCGCGTGTGTTTGTAATTATTGACCTCCTAAACGGCTTGAATGATTGAAATTTAAAAAAAGTGTGTGTGTGTACTCATGTATGCACGAAAGAAGTTATACTTCTTTGGCGTAACAGAATAAAAATAGCTAATTATTTCATCCCGTATGTCACAATTCTGTTAATTGTTAAAGGAATGCAGCTAACTTCACCGTGTTGCTTTTAGCTAACTTCATCACGTCTCTTTTTGGCTGTCGGTGTGAGCGCGCATCGTAAAAATTTTATTTTCATATTTTTTCCAATCGTGCAAAAAGAAGTTTAACTTCAAAAATGTGTGTACTGGATGGTTCTTAGGTATGGACCCGGTACGTGGCGTTGTTGTCCAGATCGAGTTTTTTTTTTTCCAACCGAATGAAATCTAAGCAGGACAACGTCTGCCTACCGGGTCTACCTAACCCAATATTAATAAAATTTGTAGTATTAATGAAGGGCGTCTGGTGTATTACTGCTGTCATAAGAAAGAAGGCCGTAACTGTGTCAAAGTTGATTTCGAGATATTTGAAGTTTTGTCTTACTACTACGTAGTTATGATGAATATGGTTATGGTTAGGTTAGGTTTCTCCGGATTCATAAGACTTAGAGGTTTATGAGTAAGACTATCAAGTAGCATTTTATTTTGCTGATTGCGAATCTGCTTATAAATCATTTTTGACCAAATAGTTACGGCCTTCTTTCTTATGACGACAGATTAGTTGAAACATTTTTCTCTACACCAGGGTCATGGGTTCGAGTCCCACTCAGCATAACAGTGATTTAAATTTGTTGATTTATTATGTTTCGTGTACGTTTCACGCCGATTGGGACTTAATATGTATGATTATTCATTTATTTACATAACGCTAATCAAATTACTTATACATACAAAATGGAAATCAAAACGAACACAATATTTTTAAGATCATTGGTAAAAATTGGTATTTAAAATAACCTATTGCGAATTGCTAACAAAATTCCAACAATTAAACGGGTGGTGAAATTAACTAGAAAACTACCGTAGTGCAAACACACACCGATCAAGAGAATATAATGGAGGTATAGGGTAATATTTGGGATTATATAGGGCGAGATGATGTCGTTCGGGGCGCGCCGCGGCCGGTTATAGCAGCGCCCGCGCGCGCGCGCCGCCGCCGCACCCCCGTGCTTGTTTAGACACTTTAGATTACGCGTACTCGATTTTACACTTTGATAAAATGCTCAAATGCCGCCTTTTTGGCGAATACGACCACACAACTAGTTAGATAACCCGACTTATATGATATGCTGCTTCGAATGTGCAGTTTTCTATTATTTTTTTTCATTATTTATTAGTAAATTGTGATTTTTTTAATGGCAATAATCCAATTCGTGACAGCACTTCATACTCGGTCGGTTAATTTCAACGACTGTCACGGTCACAAGTGAGATCAGTAGTTCTATAGGTATTTTATAGTTATATAGATAGTTAGTGTTCGTCTTCAAATATAGTCTTCTGTTTATTGTATTTCGGAAATGTTATACGATTGTATGTTTAATTCTTAATATTTCATTACAATTTTGCTGATTAAATAAATTTAAACAATTATCTATATGGAATTCGAAATTTTGAGAGAGACCTAGTTTTTCGTACAAATATTAGTGATAGTTTTTAATTTCTTGTTTATTCAAAGAAAGAAATGTTTTAAATAAATTACTGTTTCACAATATGTATTGGTAATATGACATTTTATGAATTATGATTTATGATATTTTATAGCTACCTATGTTTTATTTTTGACTAATATTCGAGTCCACGTTGACAAGATACCGATAAAAGTTATAAACTCTTACTTATTTGATATTTCCATATAGATTTGCCACGGCGTTGGTGACTTTATCGGTATTTTGCTTGTCGGCCGAAATTGTAATAATTAAAAAAAAAGTTTGTTCGAGCTTTAAGAATGTACCTACCTACTTTAAATGTAAAAAATTGTGTGAAAGTTTATTAAAATTCCAGTATTAATAGTAATTACTAGTTCGTAAGTAGACGATTCCTTTGTGAAAATGGACCATTTGAAATACTTTCTATTTATTTGGCATTGAAACCTGACTGAACAAATCGCTAGTTTTCGTGATAGAGTATCTAATTTTACTCGTAAAATTTTCTACCAATTATATTCAACACAATTTTTGCATTTACACTCACGTATCTTTAATGAAACAGGTTTAATTACATGAGAGTGACAATACAGCACTTTTAAAGACTTGACAAACTTTACAATTAAGTATACTTATTCTAAAAGGTCGGCGGACTTTCAGGAATTGATATAAGTAGGTTTGACACAATCAATGGATTTTAATTCATCATAAGAACATCATAAAATGCCTACTTCATTCGCATTCGAAAACATACCTACCTAATGAACGCGTAGCGACATCGCTATTTCATCGACTATCACAAGTAATTTTCTTAAAAGACAGTAGATAAATAGTACCTATCTATATATTTGATAGGAAACAGCATTTATGACGAGACACGAGACGAATTTCAACAGTTTCGATTGCTTATTTCATCGTCATTTTATCAAGAGAGATCGGTACCAAAGACGAATAGACATTTTTTACCGTACATTTATTTATTCTACCTAAGCTTACAATAAAATTATTGTCCGTAGGCTGAAATTTTTTTTGTATTGCGGGGTTAATACGTTCTAAAACATCATAAATACAATAAAAGAAAAATTCAGACCAAACATTTGTCAATACAATATTATATGTAATATTTTGTTTATATTCACTAACCAGCACAGATGACCCAGCACTACATCTTACTAGTGTTCGTTTTTGGTACTCAATGGACATTTCGTAACGTAGCGTAGGGATTCCCCGAGTAAGTGCCCTTTTACTCTCAGTGTACTTAGAATAGATGTGAGTCCTTCCCGAACAATCACAAACCACATTCCTCTAGGATTAAGAAACGGTCGAAAAATATTTTACTGCATATTCTTGCAGCTCTCATTTTTCTACTCTATGGTTCTATCCGTTGTCTACGGAAATTATCGTGATTTAAAATTCTAAATATCGTAACCTCGCCAATGAAACAAACGTGTATCATCAACCTTTTATTGTTTATTTCACTTTTTTTATTGTCAAGAGAAAATAGTTACTCTTCCAGAATCCTACTTCTTATTCTATTTAGTGCCAATTCTAGTTTTTTAAATTTTACTAGGTTTTTTAATAAAAAAAATTCGAAATAACTATATATTTTCTTCCTATGTATGTTGTCGTGTCTTTGCATATAGTTTATGTTACTCATATAGCTTAAAAGCATTGAAAATTCTAAATATTGTTACAGCTCAGTTATTATTTAATGAAAACAAAGAAATATAAATCATTGTAAAATGTTTAAATGTTCGAAATAAATGTAAATATTGTACAAATTAAATCTGTATTCAAATTTTTGTCTTTTTAAGTAAATTTTTTATATTCTAGCTCGCTAGTCGCAGCTAGTCGTAATGGACTTTTGACTGTACATAATTATGTAAATAAAAATTATAAATAAAAAATATATTTATTCCGTCAGTCATAAAATTGAGGCATTAATTATATTATCTATATTTATTGTTTAAAAAACATTGTAAAATTGTTTTCATATAAATTAAAAATGTGAAAATTATAGAGCGTTTTATTTCTTTTTTAGAGTTCCGTAGCTAAATGGCTAAAACAGAACCCTTATAATTTCGTCATGCCCGTCTGCCCGACAACCACACAGCCGAACAGCATTGGAGTTAAATTAGCTACTGAAATTTAGTGAGTGGATGTTTCACGTCAGCCGCAATACAATTCTGTAGTCAAATAACAAAAAATAATAAATAAATATATTATAAAAATAAAAAACCCGACTGCATAAATGCGAACTAAAAAGATGTAAACAAGTTCACGAAGGAATATAGTAGGTATTATGCAGTCGGAGACATACATACGAGTATGTAAAAATATACTTATATAATAGCTACATAATCCATACTGTTATATAATTTTTAATAATAAATATTATAAATACGAAAGTTACTCTGTCTGTTACATTTTTACGCTTAAACGCTGAACCAATTTGGAGGAATTTTGCTATAAAGATAGATGGGACCTTAGAGAAGGACTTGGCTACTTTTTAAGAATGAAACTTGAAGGGAGTGAACTATTTCAATCCCTTATTTGATTGAAAGTTTGTATTAGGAACAAATCATTTCCCAAGAACAAAATATCGTTATATCCTATAATTTTGGTAAGTATTAAAGAATGTTTCAGTGTCTTTATCCAATCGAGATAAAACAGGGGATAATTTCAAGTTTTTTCAAAGTACTTTTGCACATATCGCATAAATACGTATATTAAGTCTATACTAATTACTAACCGTTAAAACGTACCTTTGGACGCAAGTAATACGCTAGTAAGTATATTGTAAATTTAGAGATTATAGAAGAAAATGCAAGTTTATTCCTGTTTTTCTAATAAAGAATACATTATGTTTTTAAACAAACTTTTAATAAGTAACAATACCTTACTTTACTAAATTTTACTATCAAGAATCATTTTAATTTGGGGTGTCATACATGTATTGGTAGTTAACCTGTCAAAGCACATGGAGCCACAGGTGGCTCGGTTAACAATTAATTTCTTAGAATTTAACCACAAGGTGTTAAGGATTAAACATAAAAAAGTAAAAAAAAAAAGAAATATTAGTGAACTTCACTTGAAGTAAATAAATAAATCAGATTTTATGTCTTAAAATGTTTTTCAACAAAAATAATTTTTCACTAATTAATGATTAAACCACCAATTAATACTCCTCGAATACCTCCTTTGCTCTTATAATAAAACACAAATAAAATAACATTTATATTTATTTAACAAATATTTATTTATTTATCTATTAGAGTTCCCCTTACTCGTTTTTCTGCAACATTCTGAGCTGGTGTTTCAGCTTGTCTCTTATTCATACCCTTCCTTTCTAGTTGCTTTTCGATGATCCTAGCATTGTTTGCATAACTGTCTGCAACCTCTCTAGCCTCAATCTCGTCCTCTTCTTCATCAATCGTGGACACTGTCACTGAACTGAATTTACCCATATTTTTCGTATGTTTCGTCACCATAATTTTTTTAGGTTGTGATAATGCCACTTGTTTAGAAATATCAGCCAGTGAACCCTCAGCAGACTGCACCAGTGCCCCGTTCATAATAAAAACCACATTGCTGCTCTGATCGTGTTTGTAATATAAAGGTATACCACACTTTCTACACTTCTGTCGAAATTGTCTTTCAATACCTTTCTCGCGTTTTAAATGGACTGTTTCATCTTGATCTGATGTAAGTTTATGTGCGTGTTTAGAACCATCTATTACTCTGGCCCCGTCTGTTGGTCTTAGCGGTAATCTGTCTAAAGTGCAATCTAAAATAAGGGACATTTGACCGCAAATGCAATAATAAATATGGAGAGGCTTCGTCTCATTGTATTCTTCTTGATCCTTTGTGTCGGAGCACACAATACTTCTTGACACTACTTTCGGCATTGTAAAAACTGATGTATTAATTAAAATTAGAACTGGTGTTTTAGGAGAATACAAAATTGAAAATACGATAAAATTAAAGTCTGATTTTATTTATTGTTTGTCAACGAAAAATGACATTTTATTTGTCATCCATGAATAACATTACTAGTCAACACTTCGTGACTCCACAGAGTCATTAGTATTTTGATGATTTATCATTTAATGTTGCCAACAGGCAGGAATTTCAGATGATAAATATTTGTATTCGTCAAAGTCTTCAAACATGTACATTAAAAGTGGTTGGCATGCCAACAGATTTAGAATATTTGATTTTTTCCATGCATCACATTGCGTACAAACTACTTTAAAGCTTTACGATTTGATAGCATGTGTATTCCCACCTTTAAAGCCACAAACGGTGGAGGGATAATATATGGTTCTATAGTCTATGATAAGTATCATTTTCTGTCAACTTCACATCGATTGTCTTTTATTCTGCCGATTTGTGTTTCACTGCACATGTTCATCGATTTTCGTGAAAGTTTAAAAAAATAGTGTTTATTTTTAACTAAAATGGGCGCTATAGCCAGTAGGTACCGTGTCTCGAATACAGCTCTCAGTAGCACCGATGTACAAAATATAGAAAATGCAAGCAAACGTGAAAATCCCGGGACATTGGATGAACTGCACAAAAAGACCAAAGGTAAGCTTCACAAAGGCTTAATAATATTAAATAAATTCGCACAATGTAAAACGTCTCCAACGACATGTTTATAAAACGTTTTTTTTATTTCTTCATTCAGAAATACTTACAAATATTTATATAGGCTAACTGAAAAAGTTTGGTTAACTGTGATGTAATATAGTGATTTTCTTGAGAATAGTGCCCAGTTTGTATGTTAAAGTTATAGTATATAATATGGCAATTGATATTTAGTTAAGAATCGCAAGTAACTAGAATATGATAAATATATATAAACCTCAAATAAATTTGAGTAGTAAATGTTTTGCCCAACCTAGAATTGGCTTGTGTTCCGATAAGATAATTTAAACCAGGTCTTTAGTCAAGAGACTAGAGTACTATAACTTAGTTATTTTTTTTGTACTTTTTATATATTTTTTAACTATTTTAAAACTTGTTGGATTCCTTAATTATTTCTATTATTATTTTTCATTATTAAATATGTTTTTTTTTAAATAGAATTTATTATAATCAACTATTTGATCATTTTTCAGAGGTGATGCCAGTGAACTTTGAAGGTGGGAAGCTTATGGTCAACAAAGGAATTTCAAATCATTTCCAGGTAATTAAATTGATTATTTTATTATTTTAAAAATTTTATTCTTTATTATTAATCTAGTCAGAGATAATTCATGTTATATTATCACAAGTTTATAATAGTTAATAATACATTATATCACATATCGTAAATTTAAATTAACATTTTGATTTATTATTTACTAATGGGAAAGTTATGTTTAAATTTGTATTCATAATAAATTAAATCTGCAATTTTTTAGATGTCCCACACACTAACAATGAGTTCAATGCAAAATGGCTATAAACTAGGAGCAACTTACATCGGCACAAAACAAATATCTCCAACAGAGGCATTCCCAGTTGTTTTGGGAGATGTGGATCCCGCTGGAAATGTTAATTTTAATCTTATACACCAACTCACACCAGAAATTAGAGTTAAAGGAGCTGCACAGGTTTGTTATTCATTATGTATACTGTTATATGTATATAAATAAAATTGAAGTGTCTGTTTGTAATGTCAAAATAAGAGCTTCTTACTAAAAGTGCATATGAAAGTATAAATGGTACTTATAAGAACAAAACAATTTTTACAATTTTTAAATTTGGTAATAAATCAATGATTCAATATGAAATCCAAAGGTTAGCATTTGCTTTTATTCTAAAATATGCTATTTAAGTTTTATTTTGAACAATTTATAAAAGTTTTATTTTTCAAAAAAAATGGGCTTTCTTACATATACCTATTTGTCTTTTTAGGTTCAAGAATGCAAATTGACAGCATCACAAGGCACAGTTGAATACAAAGGTTCTGACTACACACTAGCTTTAGCCGTCGGAAAGCCTGACTGCAGTGAAAAGTCCTCAGTCTTTGTTGGACATTACCTACAGGTAAATTAACCAGTTTTTCATTCGTTTAATAAAAATAGTTATTCAAAATATTTCAATATTTTATGCTATCAATAAAAATGTATATTATGTATCATACAACTATCTTTCCCTAATCTAAAGTAAATCTCCATTAACTGCTACTAAGAAATTATATATGTTATAACCATTAAGGAAAATCCTTGATTTCATCCACTATGATAGTCAAAAGCAGATTTCCTTAGACTTTAAAAATAAATACATAAAATAACATATTATCTGTGATATTATCTAACAATAATGTCTATGGCATGTTCCCAGGCAGTTACCCGGAGACTGACATTGGGAGCGGAGTTGGTGTACCAGTCCAGCCCGCGCATCGCCGGTGGAGAGGTGGCCGTGGCGTCCGCCGCCGCACGGTACACCATGGACGGTATGAGTTAAATATATAATTGTTTATTTATTACTATTTAATGATAATTTAAAACATTTTGCGGGAAATTGAAAAACACATATAGCCTTGAAGTTATATGTTATAAATGATAATGTATCTATCTCCATACATAATTCAATTTAAACCTGATTTTAGTCAAATTTGGTAACAACCCACACAAACACATGTTTACTCATGAGTTCACTTTTAATAATGTTGTACAAAAATACTTAATATATACAGAATACACAAACTTACATAATTATAAATAAATCCTTAAATCATAAGTAGCTCCATTAAAATTAGGTAAATGAGAACAATTAGATTAAATTGGATAAGTTTGTAGAAGATAAAGGTGTTTCAGGTTATAGCTGTACCATGGATATTTTATTGTGACTAAAGTTTAAAACAATGGCAAAATGAAAACAAAAAAAAATCTTTTTTTAAAAAAAAAGTTTTATCATATCAATTAGTATGATAGTGTGTTTGAAACATTCATGACACACATTCACACTGAAGATGCATGAAAAGAAAATTTCAAACCTAAATGGCTCTTTACTCTAGCTAGGGCCTAGTCTTTGCGGATGCAAATTATAATATCCTGCATTTGAAGTCATGGTCAGACCAAAATTTTGACTTGCATATGATTTAGTATTTTAATTGGTAAAATGACTTCCACTAATACCATATAATTGTTTGATAAATGAAGGCTATTCCTTAAAAGTTTCTTTCTCATCTTCCAGATTCTGAAGTGTCAGCGACGTTGGGTGCGGCCAGCTTCCATGTGTGCTACTTCAAACAAGCAAGCGAACAATTACAGGTTATTTTATTTTATGTAATATATCCTTTTTTAACATACCACTGCTGGGCACAGGCCTCCCTTCTATATGAGGAGTTCCATAGTCCACCACACTGGCCTAGTGCAGGTTGGTGAACTGAACATGTCTTTCCAAAACTTGATAGATTCTCTCAGACATGCAGGTTTCCTCACGATGCTTTCCTTCACTGTAAGACAAGTAGTAATCATGTTGGAAATAATGCTACAAGCAAACTCATCGACTAGATTATCTTATTTTTCTCTCTCTTATCTGTGTTATTATCTTATTTTCATTTATATATTATTAATACAAAAATTTGTAAGTGCGTGTGTTTGTTATGTTTTAGAGATAGCTTATAAGAAATCAGTCTCATGTCAGGAAAAAATAAGTATAGTGTAATCATGTAATGTTTATTCCAGGTGGTAGCGGAGATGGAGACATCTTTCCGAGGAATGGAGTCAACAGGCACTATCGGCTACCAAGTAACTATTCCAAAGGCAGAACTTGTGTTCAGAGGTATCTATATACATTTATTTTTTAATACTTACTAATTAATATTTTATGCGAATGTGTTTGTTGATTTATCATTCTGTCACAAATTAATGCTGAAACAGATCTGTCCTTGATGGAATGGATGGTCATTCTCTTATTTTAACGTTTTTATTATTTTAACCAGCAATATTTATAATATCTATCTCCTAAATGGCTACTACTAAAACCTTTGAGTTTGGGCTCACTTAATTTTTGCCGAGTCCTGTTACAGTTGGTCTAAAGGTATTCATTTTTCATATAACGCTTCTAGTGTTTTCCGTGCCGTATTAGAATAGTGAATGAATTTTTAATTAATGACACTTTAATAATAATTATTATTTTTAATCATTTTACAGGTATGGTTGACTCCAATTGGAATATTGGAGCTGTTTTAGAGAAGAAATTACAGCCCTTGCCATTCACATTTGCACTCTCGGGCATGGCCAACCAGGCCAAGCAACAGTTCAAGTTTGGCTGTGGACTCATCATCGGCTAGTCACAGTGATAGTGTTTGTACAGTGTAGTGATGCAAGGTGATATAGTGAATTCAAGATTAAAGGCAAAATAACGGTATATTTTCTTTATTTCTTACATGTTATTTACACTAATATTTGCTAAGTGGCAGTTTCCTTTAAAATAATGGCACTTTTTGAACATTGGGAGTCGTTGCATTGGTTTGTGAACAACAGCAATTGCAACTGGTATTGTGAAAGAATATAAACTTTGGTGAAATCTATTACTTATTGTATCTTGTGCATAGTGGAGCATTATTTTTTATATATAGTGTAAAGTTTGCATGTCCGTTATTTCAAATTGTATATGTACAGTTCATTTAGAAACATATTTAATTCATAGGTGAAATTAGTGTACACAAAATGAATACTAAAAACCTTGTCTCGAACTCAGAATATACTCAGAAATAATTTCTTTATTTTTGGTGATACATATTTCAATGGTTGGGCGCTAAGAGACCGACATCTTCCATTAAATTAAATATACAATATTAAAATATAGTAAATGTTAACGATTGTAATTAAGAAGTAATTAAACAATAATGATTGTGCAATTGATAAAGAGTTCTGATGAATCTAATAGTGGGTTTTAAAATTTTATGAGCATTTGATACTGCATTTTGTACTAAATAAAGAAATTTTCTAATGGTTTTGCTTTAAATTAAATTAAGGCAGTGGTAGCCCAGTGGTAACGCGCTCGCTTGGGAATCAGAGGGGTTCGATTCCCGGGTCTAGCACCTCTGATATTTTCATATGAGAATCATTTCCAACATGACTACCACTTGTCTTACAGTGAAGGAAAATATCATGAGGAAACCTGCATGTCTGATAGAACCTAGCAAGTTGTCTTGTCCAGCGTGGTGGACTATGGTCTGATCTCCCTCATATTAAACAGAGAGGCCCGTACCCAGTAGTGCGATGTTAAAAAAGTGTTGAATACATACATGCACATTTTTATAAGTTATGTACAATAAATAATAAATATTAATTTGTCCTTCTGCTTATTATATAAAATATTAATTATTCTTTGATTATGTAACTGCTAAGGTACCAAAGATATGTAATTTTCAACAACATTACCGACCATGTCCTCGGCAGAGTTGACAATTTTTTCTATTTCTGCTTATTATATGACAATAAAAGTTTTATTTTAAAGTTTATCAGAGCTTTTTTTTAAATAGATTGTAAAAAAACAAGTAAATTTAGAAATTATATCCTATTGCTTTTTTTCTTGTTATTCCTAATATCTCATGATGCATCGCTGCACTAAGTTAGGCAATAATGTATGGAATGAGTGTTTAGTTACTTGTATTTTGAATTCACTTTCAAGTTTTGGCAAATATTTGTATTAAAATAGATCAAAGTGTATGACCTGTGGTAATAAAAATATATAATATAGAGTTATGTACTCAAATTATTAATATTATTTCAGTTATATAATGCAAGCAATATACTGAAGTAGGAATGACTTGGCTTATTATTGCCAAGGCTCGCTGACAATTGAAAGTAAAAGGTTTCATATTGAATCTAATTATTATAAATTTAAAATACAAATTACTATATTTATTATGTACTGTTGAATTATAAATATCACAAAGGGCACGAATGTGATAGCTGCCGCTTTCACAGTTTTCAATTTTTGTTGTTTAACCTTTTATTTGAATTTCAGAAAATTATTAAAATTGCTTTATTTATGGATAAAAGGTTATTGAATTAATACTAAATTTGATATCTTGTATAGAAAATAAAAATATGAAAGAGATTCGTAATAGACATGAGACACTTTTTGAAACAGGTAACACTTATACATATGTATGAGTAAGATATAAAAAAATAGCCTTTAAAAAAACTTGTGTATATTAATTATGAAAAAACCGTGTGGTGTTTTAAATTTATTACAAACTGCCTCGTTGGTCTAGTGGTTGCTATGATCGCTTATAAATCCTGAGACCCTGGGTTCAAGCTATTGGTTTTTTTTGTCTTAAACACCGTCTTTAAGTCGTATTACTGTAAGAGTAAAAGGTATGAGGAGTGCACTATGTACGCACATACTGACTAGCCTGCACAATAATTATAATTATCTATGCAGATGGCTGATTTCAGTGAGACAGATGAACGAGAATAAATTAAAAACAGCTATATAAATGGGAAAATGTGAAAATGGTAGCTTCATGTTGTTTGATATGTATTTTTTTTACATAATATTTTTTGCTACTTCGACCAGAATAGCATTTATGATTGACACTTAGGGCTTTTGCATCTGCATTTTAAATACCATTTTAATGTAATACAATGTAGTAAAACATATTTTTTTATTCTATCAATATATTTCATATGTATAGTAATTTTTAATTGAAATAAAAAATTTGGTAACTCTTTCCTCTTTAAATAAAGAATATTATGTATTTAGTCCTTATCAGTTTTAAATGTGAAAGTGTGTTTGTTGGTATGACCTTTAACGCAGCAACGGATTGATGTATTTTTTTCCATAGCTTAACTGGATTGACATTATTTTTTATTCTTATATATCCAGTTTATTAACACTGTTTATTTTGAATGTGGAAGTTATATTAAAATACTATAAAAAAGTATATTTTATATAATTTACATCTGGCTTCTAGGTTTTATAATTTATTATGCTCACTGGTAAGGGGGAAGGTCATTGCTTCAACTTTATGTATACTATAAGTATTAGGTACGTCCCCTGGAGTGCAGTCTGCATGAGACGTCCCGCAGTGTATGAATGTAGATAGATGTACTGTACATAGCTTGTTGTTGAACTGTTTATTTTTAATAGAGTTATGTTAAATAATCATGTGGCCTTTTATTTTTCACCCTTTCTTTCCTTACTTTTATTTTGATGTACATATTTGTTTGTTGACGTAAATGATTGCTCAGCTCTTTTTTTGTTACACAATAAATCTATACATATAATAAAATTGTAACTAAACCGAATCTGTATATTCAATATTTTTTGGAAAATCTTATTGAATAGTTATTATTATCGATACAGAGGCCAAATCTATAGTTTTTAGAATTTTTGTCTGTCTGTCTGTTACCGCATCACAGAAAAAGCACTGGAGGGATTTTGATGAAATTTGGTATGGTGATAGCAGGTTATCCGGGTCAGCATATAGGATACTCTTTACCGCGGGACAATATCTCATTTCTGGGAAAAAATACAAAAACTGCAATGTAAGAGTATACTAATATGTAAAACCTAAGAATTTGGTTTTTGGTCATCTGAACGCGGGCGGAGCCGCGGGCAATGCTAGTAGGCTATAAGTAAATAAAGAATTTTCTAATCTTTGTGCCTTTATTATACATTGCTTTTTAACATACAATTAACCCTTAGGGGCCCATCCATAAATTACGTCACACGTTGAGGGAGGGGGTGGAGGGTCATTAAATTCGTGTGACTTAATTTATGGATGGCCCGTTGAAAAATGATTGATTCCTTATATAACCCTTCATCCCCCTTTTCACCCCCTTAAGGGATGATTTCCGAGTTAAAAACTATCTTATGTCCTTCCCAAGGTCTCAAACTATCTTCTTAGCAAATTTCATCTAAATCGGCCCAGTAGATTTTGAGTTTATTCATTCCAAACATACAAAAATACAAATCCTTCCTCTTTATAATAATAGTGTAAATTTTAAAAGGATATCATCAGCTATCATATTGTTATCTTTTTAGTTTGTTAATTATGGAAATTAAAGGAGCGTACGTTCAGAAAAACAGAAAAAATAAAAAAACAAGTATAGTTTAAAAATAACGTAAGTTTATTACATGTAATGAAATAAAAATATACTATAAACTTTTATTCTTTTACATGTAACTGATTTCACATCTGCAGCCATAAACATTCTTATCAGAATCAATTTGGTACAACCGATTGACGATTCGAGTAACAATAGTGATGGGACATCGATTATTCGTCCCATCTCTATTGTTTTGGCTAACACTCTCGCACGTGGCACGTAGCACGTGGATTGGGAAATATTATCAGATTAAAAAAGTGAGTCAACGGATAAAAACAATTTACAATGCATTTGAAAATTTTCACCACGATTCAAACACTAAACATTAACAACGATGTGCGATTATGAATGCTTATACAGTACAGATAATAAAGGGTAGGCGAAGTTGTGACAAAATCGATTATTCGTACTAGTTTAGAATGTGGGTATCAATATTAATAATCATTCATAATAGCTCATCGGCACGCGATACCCGAAGCTGGGTGGACTTGTAAAAGCTCGAATAAATCCATGAAATACTCCAAAAAAAAAACAACCCAACTTTATAACTAAGAAATTTAACCGTTAATTCCTTATACCAAAATATATTATTATGGCTTGTTATCATTTCGAAGATACATATAGGTTCTATATTAATATATTTTTCGTGTTAATTCTATAGTAACCTAGCCTTAACTATACGACGATTGCAACACTTTTAGGATCGCAAAATGTCATTTTTTAGAGATCTGAATCTTATTCGTTTTTAATGCTGTTATCTGAAGAAAAATCTAAAGTTTAAACACAAACCATAATTAAACATGTAATACACTTAGTTTTCTAAATTATTAGAAGAACTATTAAAAAGGGAGCCAAAACTAACGTAAGCTGGTATATCAAAACGTTGCCTCAGAGTCATCAAAAATAAAATAAAAATGCTAAATATTTGGTAAAACGGACTGCTATTAGCTGATAATGCTTTTAGAACATCATATTATAAGCGAAGAGAAACTTATATCGTATTATTGTCAATATATAAAAAAAAATCATTTTAATCGATTTTAAAATATCAAGAAATGTACGAATTCATAATAAACAAGTCCGAAGAATAAAACGATTGTGCTAAAGCAGATTGTCTGCAATTATACTAAGTACAGATAACATTACTCTCAACGTTTCAAAACAAATTGACGTTATTCTCTTGTAGAGTGATTGATCACAGTATGAGATGAACAACAGATATGTTAGGACAAACGATTATTGATAATTATAAAAAAAATACATATGGGTCTAAAATAATACCGCGATAAATTGCCTTTTTTTATTTTAAATACTTATTTGGGTATGAAAACTTTAATTTACAATTGAAATTAACTTTTTAATTAATCTTTATATTATTAAATTATGAACGACGGTGTTAATTACAAACCAATTTCTTGGTTATTTAAAATTATTAATAATAATCGTTCAATCCTAATCATTATCACATAATTTCCATTCCCAAATCATCTATAATGTTGCCATATAAAAACTACAAAGCATGTAGTTAGAGGGAGATGGACAAACAGACATGACACATTCATAAAAAAAATTAACACTAATAAAAAAAATACCTATGAGATATAGTGATGACTGTAGTCCGACAACGGGCTCATAAGTTGGTTTATGCTATGGGGACAGATTAAAAAAATATTTACAAAATCACTCATCCGCTGTGTTGCCAGTACAATAATAATAGTGTAAAATATTTAAGTTACTTTTTTTAATATTAAAATATATTTAAGCAATTTTATTATATTACTCAGAATATTTCAAATATAGATAATAAATGTCCTTACAATGAACCTACATTAATTTTCCATCGAGCTTCCCAACACGTTAATCATCGTCACTCTTACAATATTGCTTAAGCGTAAACTAACGGACTTTACACATCACTTTAAAAAGTATTAAAAAAGAAGAAAATACAGCACATTATATTAATCTTTACGGCAGTGACGTGGAGTCCAATCACACAAGCCATAGACAATTTGAAGACTTTCCAATACATTTTTTTAATTTTAAAGCACTTTCGCCTTTGTTGTATTCTGAGCATTTTCGATCTAGAAATCCTAAAGTTGGCATATTATGGTCCATAGATTAAACAGATGTATACAGCGGACAGTAGACTACATAACTGGCTTACACTCTGTGATACGACATTATGTTACTACCTCGTTTTAATTTTCCCACGATACAAATTAAAATTTTTAAAACTTATCAATCTAACGTCTGAAAGGTAAAAACTAATAAACTCATTTCTAAAGATATGTAAAGGTTTGTTAAATTTTTACGTTACGCTTTTGAAATCTTTTAGTTTTTTTTTAATATAACTGAGGTAGTAAGATAATTTCTCTATGTTTATGGGCGCCCTGCCTTAATAGCGATGTAAGAAATAGAGTTAAATTATTTTACATTGAGGGTATCCATGTTTTTATATTATAACAATGTCTAGGACAAATTCTTACATGTTAACATTTCAATCCACATATAATTAATATTATGTTAATGGGGACTTTTACGAAAATTTACGATCGAAAATATAAAAAATATATTTATCACGCGAAAAGTGAACGCACAACCGTAACTGGATACAGTACCAATTAAAAATAATTATAAAATTTAATTTTGGCCGATATTTAAGCAAAATTTCAGTTTTAAAACTTTACATTGTCTAATGGAGAATCTTGCTATACTTTTTAATTAAATCCATGAAAATTAAACAATCATTTATGAAAGACAAACTTAAAAAAAATTGAAAACAAAATCGTAACTTAAAAAAATTAGTTTGACGTGAACGAAAAAAAGTTAAACCCACCAACACAACCAAAAAAAAGTACAGCAGACAAACATCCATACACAACGCCCAGATAAAAAAAGACATCAACCCTCAATCAACCGAAACAAAAACACAGTGACAGTGACAGAAACCAAAACGATATAAAAAAACCAACGAAACCCGATGCAAACGTCCAGGGCGCCCCAAAATTTGACAAAACGTTTAGCACACGTATTCCGTGCGTTATAACTCCATATCGTGCGCTTCGTCGTCACTGAACTCGGACATGGACGATTCTGTGTCGGAATTGGCGCCATTTTGTTTTGACGCGGCGCCGACGCCCGTAATGGCGTCCTTTTCTAGCAGAGCCTCTTCCGTTGCGAATCGGCGGACGTAGTCTGGAACAGAGAGGGTAGTTTCTAATTATTGTTGAAATTATCTTGATAGTTGTCTTACAGTAGCCTTTAAGTGTTGCTCCAAGTCATAGTCTACTTATGTATTCAATTTCTTGCAAATACGTTCAGATATTTCAGTATGCAAGAGGAACAGACACACATACGAATTTTCGCATTTTATCAGCTAAAAAATATATATATATATATATATATATATATATATATATATATATATATATATATATATATATATATATATACATATATATTATTTTTTAGCTGATCAACGCCGGCCCTGGGGTAGAGCGAGATAAGCGAACGTCATAGGCACCAGATGGTGAGGGGTGCGAAAATGAATGTCGAGCAAAAAATAAAATTTTAATAATGCTATTCAGTGTAGTAATTAGAGCTACGCCTTTTGAGTGTTATAAAAATAGCTAATTAATTTGAAAGTATTTATTTTAGAAAATATGGTATTTATTTAAAATAAACTAAAATATACTTTAGGATGACCTAATATGAATGAAAGCTTCGACCAAAGGGCACTAAAAGACAATCTCGCTCGACCGTGAAAGACCAGCGCTGAGTCCGATTTACTTATTAATATGATAGAAGCTTTATATTATTTAATTCATTAAGATCTGAACTAAACTGGTCTATTTCAAATACAACTATGATGATAAATATACAATGCACCAATATTTTTTTTCAGTATTTCAGTTTAAGTTATTATATAGATGATATTGTTAAAAAGAAAACAGTTCTATAAATATCATTCAACTGATGCGCTGATACATATTTTTAAAAGCTATCGCTTTAGGTCTATACAAATTTTATTGTAAAAATTATAAATTAACAAAAAATATTTGAAAAAAAAAACAATAGTAGGTACAAACAAGCTTAAGATCACATAATATCATAAATTAACACTTTTAAAATAAAATAAAAAACAGCACAAAAATCCCAAAAATATCATGCAGATAACAAAAAGAAAAAGTAAAAAAAACATCTTGTGTGTACTCATCTGGCAGAAATTGGTTATTTTCGAATCAAAGTAAATCCAAAATTTTGACTAACATCAAAAAAAGGAAGTTACAACTCAAGGAAATTCTAATACAAATATTACGAACTATATTATTAGCCAACCTATAAAGATGAAACACCAAAGAAACAACATTTATATTTTAAAAAATTTACGTTCACACAAATCCCATCAAAAACACAGAATAACCATATAACACCTACGAAGCATTTGAACTCACCTGAAACCTTCTTCTTGTACTCCTCCGGCTTGTGCAGGTACATGGCGGCCGCGTCGCCGTTGAGCGGGTCGATGGGGTTGGGGTACGTGAGCAACTGGGGCAGGAACGACTCGAATATGTTCGATAAGTCTGTAATTATATTATAATACTATATACTAATAGCTTATGTAAAGTAACGACTAACGCATATTTTGTGCTCTGTTGCCAGGGATTGGTAAATTTTAAACCCTCAGTTCTAATCAATACAGATAAATAAAACTGAAGTGTCCTTTTTAATGTCCAAATAACAGCTTTTTACTAAATTCATATGATATTATATATGGTACTTATAAGAAAAACACAACTTTTAAAATTTTCATCTGTCTATTTATTCCGGCTAATCTCCGAAACGGCTGGACTAATTTTAACGGGACTTCCACTGGCAGATAGCTGATGTTACGAGGAGTAACTTAGGTTGTTTTTATTTTAGAAAAACAATTAGGGTTCCGCTCAAAAAATTAAAACGTAACGGTAAGTGGCCAGTGTGTTTTTTTATAGACTGTGCTCGACAAAAAATGTTAAAGTCAAAATTAGTAGCGTGATTTTACGCTACTTCTACATTTTACCAACTCGTTTACTTTATTTAAAGAATAATCGAAATTTATAAAAGAAAACTATATCGTTCTGCATTTTTTAACATTAGTTCTCTTCTATATCTTCCTCTTGAAAAAGAAATATCATAATAATAGTAGCTTATTGAATATTTATTTATTTATAATATAATAATATAAAAATATAGATAATAAAATCCGTCAGCTATTTTAATTTGTATTCAGCCCTATTTTTTAAGGTCCCACTGCTGGGCACGGGCCTCCCTTCAGTACGAGGGGGATCAGGCCATAGTCCACCACGCTGGCCAAGTGCAGGCGGACTGCACATGTCTTTCGAAAACTTGCCAGATCCTGTCAAACACATAGGTTTCCTCACGATGTTTTCCTTCACCGTAAGGCGAGTGGTAATCACGTTAGAAATGATTCGCACATGAAAATGTCAGAGATTCGCATCTCCCGGACCAGACGGGAATTTGAACCCGCTTCACTTGGTTTCCCAAGCGAGCGCGTTACCACTGGGTTACCATTGCTATTTTAATCGATTAACATAATAATATTTACATACTTATCAAAGGACAAAATGAGTATTCTATTAATATTTGTATGTTGTTTTAAAACATTGTTTGGTTTCATGTTTAGTTCTATGACACTCTGTCTATATTATTTCTTAGTCTGAGATTATGCAATATAACATTTTTTTTTAGCTAGGCTCTATATAAACACAACGCTACGCAAGACAAAAGTCATATTTACCGTATAAGGCAGTCCAAGCCTGGTTGATAACGTCGAGACACACAGTGCCGGAGACCTCGTCGATGTTGGGATGATATACTTTGTTCATGAAGCCAATGGACGGCGACTTGAAAGGGTAGTGGTCAGGCAAGTGCACTCGCACACGCCACACACCACCCTCGTAAGGGGCTGGAAACATTAATAAATAGATTTGCATATTTATAATGATTGCTATTTATATACCTGTTGAGCTTTATTTAACTTTAAGGTTATATTATCAATTATAATATGTCGTTTACTGACTACTTTTTTTTTAAATCCTTAACGAAGTAGGCACAGAATAATTATAATCTATACAAATAAATAAAATTGAAGTGCCTGTTTGTAATGTAGACAAAAAAAGCTTTCTACTAAATTGCATATAAAATTATATACGGTACTTATAAATAAACACAATTTTTGAAATTTTTGTCTGTGTGTCTGTTCCGGCTTATCTCCAAAACGGCTGTACTGATTTTGACGGGATTTTCGCTGGCAGGTAGCTGATGTTATAAGGAATAATTCAGGCTACTTTTATTATAGAAAAAGAATTAGGGTTCTGCTCAAAAAAATTAAACTTACCTAGGGACGCACCCGAGCGAAGCGAGGGTAAGTCGCTAGTTAATTAATAATAATGAAAAAGTATTTAATTACTATAATTCACTGTAAATAATTAATGAATTAGGTGAGCTAATGTCGAAGTAGTTTCTATGAATAGAGAGAGAATGCCGCAGTAGCGTAGCTAACATTAGAGACACCCGGAGCAATAATCGATGGTGTCACGCCTAAGAATACCACCTCATCTAAAATGCATATAAAATCCAATTAAACTACTAGAAATAACATCAATAGACTACAAATAAATAGCACTCGTAAAGCAAGAAAGGAAGCTCTTATGAATTTTTTGTGTGCATAGGTATTGCAAGTAGGGTATCACCCGCCATCGGGCGAAACCCGGGGTGGACTCCCTCTCCCCCTAGCTACGCCACTGGCTGGATGTCGTAGGTTCGATACCCGGATCAACGACCTCTGTCTATAGGTTTGTTTCGATTTTGCCGAGAGTAAAGAACAGAATGTGTTATCACTGTTCTTTCTGAATAAAGGTCAAAGATTGAACAACATGATCAGTTTTTTTATTGTTTTTTTTTTATATAAAATTCCGAGGTTAATGTGTTGGAAATTCTGCCCCATCTAAACGTCTTCACCAATTTTGATGAATTTATATTTGTATACTTATGTACAATTGGTTCTTAGCTTAATTGGACCCCGCTTTTGTCTAGATCCAGAATTTTATAAGGTAGCAACATTGAAAATCCTTGATCTATATGACCATTATATTTATATTTATGAAATTTATATTTATGAAACGTTAACATTCGCCAGCAACCCACGACCTCGTAAGCATATATTCCTTGACCGCGGAAATCGAATCCACGGCCTCCAGTGAAGCAGGCGATATCAACTGGATAGTAGTAAAATTTTTATTTTGTCCATTTAAAGTAATTAGAGTAAGAAAGTATCGTCACAACCCATTATGAAGCATTCTTCCGGTAAGAAAAGCACATTTTAATTTATTTGATTATTTGGTAAAGACTTACAGTGAATGCCATTTGCCTATCTGTGGTTTTACATACTAGAGATAGAAACTGAATCTAATTTTTATGGAGCTTATGTAAACGGCTATCTCTGGTAAGGAAAACCACGGATAGATAAGTTATTGGGGACCGCAGTTATTGATATAAATAGATACTATCGAGCAAAAAGGTTTATATTTATTTTTGGTTTTCAGTTTCATTTTCGTCAGCTGATTTTTTAGTTGGCCCGTAAAGTTTTTATATATTTGTATGACTAGTACTCTTTTTTTATCTACTTTTTTAAAAAAAATCAATGAACGAAATATATACCTTGAGTTTAAAACCTTTTTTTTCCATGGGGAATATTTAAATTATAAATTAATATAACTATATAATAAATACAATTAATCTGTAAAAAATATGATAAAATACAAGGTATATCTTGACCTACAATAACGATTGTGCAAGTCTGAATTAATGGCTAGACTAAATAGGATGATAACAATCAAAAAGTTTTAAATCATTTATAAAATTTGCACATTATATAAGTACACTTCTACACTTTATATCAACTTTAATTTTCAACAAATTATCATATTAATGTTTTCCCGGCCGATTTCGGTCACGGCGGCCAACCTCAGTAAATAAATAAGTTGGGACATTAACATTTAACACACAGCACCGTCTAGTTCCATGGTAAGCTACGAGGCTTATGTTATGGATACCAGATAGTTGATACACTACACATATATAATTTTAAACACATCTATACTATAATTATAATTATATTAATATTATAAAGAGGTAAGGTTTGTGAGTTTGTGACGTTGTAGGGGGTAATCTCTGGATCTACAGAACCGATTTAGATGAAATTTGGTAAGAAGATAGTTTGACAATCTGGGAAGAACATAGGATACTTTTTATACCGGAGATTATCCTTTAAGTAGGCGAAAATGGGGATGAAAGTTTGTATTGGAAAGCAATATATATAAGTACGTAACTTTTTTTGAACGGAACCCTAATTCTTTTTGTAAAATAAAAGTAGCCTAAGTTACTCCTTATAACATTACATATGTGCCAGTAAAATCGAGTTAAATCAGTCCAACTTTTGGAGATTAGCCGGAACTAACGGACCGACAGGTAAAAAAAAAAGTATTTTTCTAATAAGTACCGTATTTAATTTCATATGCATTTAGTAAAAAGCTGTTATTTTGACATTACATACAGACACTTCAATTTTATTTATCTGTATAGATTATGGACAAGTAATTTAATAATAAAAGATGGTAGCTAATCATAAACAAATAAATACCTTATCAACGAACAGACAACAGAATAGATTAAAACTAATGGATTGATCTTTAACGTTTTGCTAAAATTCTTTTTAATTAGTGTGACCCCGGAAACAAGATAATAAAACACGACGGTACGTATTGTACTTAAATTATATAAAATATATGTATACTAGCATGCAGAACGCGCGACTTCGCCCGCGTTGAAACTACAAAAAAACCCTTTGACTTTATGTTATACAGTGACTACTACGACTATTACTATGTATTTATGTAATATTGTTTATACAAAAATACTAAAAAAAATAAAAAATGGGGGATGGGGGTAGATGGGTGAAAAATACTTTACGACCTATTCTCACACCTACCAAATATACAAAAAAAATATCTTTAAAGTCGGTCGAGACACGAGATATTCATATATTAGAAAAATATATGAAAAATATATAAATTAATATACGAAATCAAAATATATTTCATTGAAACACACTTCAACAAGCATTTTTTAATCGTCATTTTTTTATTTAAGGAAGGCAGTTTTGCTGAGAAAAGCCGCCGAAAAACTCAACATTTGCTCTTTTAATAATAATATTTTTAACAATATGGCAATACAATAATTAAGTACATACATATCTTACGAGAATTTTAATAAGAAATTAGTTCCACAAGTTAAAAAAATAAATATCGGTACTCGTAGGTATAGTTTTTTAATCAAAACAAATATTTTCAATTAAGTTTTATGAATAAGAATGAATGTTCATGTTAAAAAAAAACTTGTTTATGGAATTAACGTGTTTACAAATACCTTCGAACTACGCAATTCAGATATTTGGGTAATATTTAATAAAACATTTTTAAATATATTAGCCAGAAATATCTATGTTTACTTTAAGCCCTAGAACTTTGTGTATTTAGCCCTTTTTAATATCCCACTGCTCGATGTGGGCCTCCTTTCAACACGAGGGGGATCAGGCCATAGTCCACCACGCTGGCCAAGTGCGAGTTGGCGGACTGCACATGTCTTTTGAAAACTTGGTAGGTTCGTTAGTTTTGTTGATGTTACGTGATGTATTTGGCAATCGCGAACCGATTTTCATGATACTTTGTACAATAAATGGGTTGCACAGGATCAATAGCGCTCTCTCCACATAACCACCCTGGGGGGAAGTCGGGTGGTATCCGTAATAGGATTTCCCAACTATAAAAAAAAAAAAAAAAAAAAGGATCAATAGCGCTCCCCCCAACGTGCGTTCACCTTGTCGTGGTGGGGGGCTCAGTAGTAGTAGCGAAGCTAAGAAACGCACAGGGAGGTTGCCCACTTCGGTGGGCGGTGGGAGGTGGCCCTCTTCGGGGGGCGGTGTACCTTGCGGGTTGCTCCTGGTACTTCTCTGATAGCAGAGTGGACCTTGGAGCAACCCCATGGTTGTGGTGGTCTGCTTTGGCAGACCTGCCGTCGGGGCGTCGTAGTTGCATGCGTAAGCGATCCTGCGACGCCCCATTAAGACGGGGGAAGGTTTTGTTGGGTTTTAGTGGGTAGTACTGGCTGTATTACGCCGGTGAGTCCCACACGTCGTGCGTAAATGCATTTCCCAACGTTAAAAAAAAAAGGTTCAATAGCACTCGCTCAAATATAAAAAAACCGTATTAAAGGGTGAAGTAATTAATTTCAAAGAAATGACAGTGTGCCTAATTAGTTAATAGGTAGAAATAGAAACATTTAATTTATGACGACCACAGCTACAAATAAATAAAAAAAAAACATACAAAAAGAACAACACCAAAAAAATATCTATACATATACAGACATACCTATACCTTATAGAAGTGTAATTGATCGCTATCTGTACATGGAAGATATTTAAGTAAAACTATTATTGGGGGTCTTTGTTAACACAATAGAACCCAAAACAATGATTTTTAGATTTTTTTTGTCTGTTTGTCGGTACGTTTGCGTGCGCTAATCTTAGAAACGAGGTAACCGATTTGGGTGCGGTTTCCACGAATGTATTGCAGTAAGCTTCACTTAACATTTACTACTTGTTTTATATCAATCGGTTCATAAATAAAAAAAGTTGTCAATTTAAAGAATCACCTAGGGAGACGAACCCGAACGAAACGAGGATGAGTCGCCAGTATGAATAAAAGTGCAGGTCTACGGTTCCTACGGCGCCACGATTTGAAGGCAGATTCGCATAGATCTCAACGAGTTCGTGTTCGAAGTGTTAATTTTCGATTTACTTTTCGAAAATATATTTAAATACCGTCAAAAAAAGTCAAAAAATAATAATTCATTTTTCGATTTTTGAGTGTCAATATCTCGGAAACTAAGTTCTAACTATATCGACAAATTTCATTCTAACTTTTCGGCGTATCTCGTCGAGATCTATACGAATCAGCCTTCAAAAATCAAATCATTTCATTCATCATTCGCCGTAGGAACCATAGAATCCCCAATAAAAGTAAACAATACAACAAAAATTACAACAATAATTTACATTAAAACATTATGAGTTATATATTTTTTTATTTATTATTATGTAAAACCTCCGGGAAAGCACGTAACAATCCCAAAGGCTGAACGCTGATTTTCAATAATTATAAAAAAAAAACTTTTTTGTTCAAGGTATTGTTAAAGGCTATGCTATATTAAATAAAAAAAACGCATATGTACTCACTACCAGGAGGTCCGAAGAACTTCACGCAGAACTCGTTCAGGCCGCCAAGGATTGTGACCTCATGCTTACTTTCAATGCTGATTGTACAGGTTAGGAACATTACGCTTTAATTATGTTATAAAGAAACAAGACTTTACTTATACCATTAATATTATAAATGCGAAAGTTTGGATGGATGTATGTTTGTTACTCAATTACGCCAGAACGGATGAACGGCTCTGGATGAAATTTGGCACAGGGATAGATTGTAGTCTGGAATAACACGAAGGTTACTTTACTTTTTATCCCAGAAAAATGTACGATTCCCGTGGGATAAATTTGTTTTTGTTTTTCACTAGGGACGAACCCGAGGGTAGAGAGTGTGCGTTGCTAGTTTGTTATAAACAAAAAACTTAGAATATTTATATTTTAACCAATTCCAGACTGCAACAAATATATCACGACAGAAAACCCAGTAACGCTTATGGCCCGACCCGAACTCAGGACCTCAAGTATCTACAACTGTATATGCTAGCCACTAGACCAATGAGGCATAGTGAAATAAGCTCATGATATGATCAATAGCCCAATATTTCGTCCCACCAGAGTATGAGAGTGACAGGAATAGAGTGCACGTTGTGTCTGCGTGTACACTTGTGCACTATAATATCTCCTGCGCAGTTGGCTAGTCTCAATGAGATTGGCCGCCGTGGCCGGAATCGGTCAGGAGAACATCAGCCCAATATCCGTCCAGCTGTTCTCAAGAGCTAAAAGGTCATAAAAACTGACAAAAACAATGAAAACTGTTGATTTGGTTTCTATTTCATTTGATTATATGATGAGGAAAGCACTCTGAAATTATTAGTATGATAAAACTATGAACTTGACGTACGCAGACGTTACGACAGACACTATATCGCGTGAAATGTAGATAGCAACACAAAGCAAAGAAAATTTTCATAAATGTCTTGAAAATAACTAAGTTAAGACTAAAATTACGTACCTACGTGTTACATTTCGGAATTATGGCATTATAATCTACACTTCTACACTAATATTATAAAGAGAAAAGATTATATTTTTGTATGTTTGTAACATATATACTCAGAAATTACTGGACCGATTTATATAAAATTTGGTAAGAAGATAGTTAGACCCTGGGAAGGACATTTTTTATTTCGGAAAACATCCCTTAAGAGGGTGAAAATGGGGATGAAAGTTTGTATGAGGAATCAACCTAGGGACTAGGTGTGAATCATTAGTTTACAAAGTAATGTTTTACAATATAATATGGGCCCATGAAAACGTAAACTTATAGTTAGAACCATCATCCTCCATATTTTTCTACTATTTTTGTACAAAATATTTTTTTTTACAACAACTCTTAAAATCACTTATCGGCACTCAATTACATATTTGCCAAAATAATGATATTGATATTGTTGGACATATTTGGATATACTTATGTATTTAACTCCGAAAAACATTTTTAATTGATCATTATTGCTAGAAAAACAACCGTCTGCCAGAATATTTTACATCCATAATATTATTATAAAAGTGAAAGTTTGTGAGGATGGACAGATGGGGATGTTTGTTGCTCTTTCACGTCAGAACGGCTGGAAGGAACTGGATGAAATTTGACACAAACATAGATTGCAGTCTATGGTATGGCACTTTTTATCCTAGAAAAATGTACAGTTCCCGTGGGATAGATTCGTTTTATCTAGGGACGAACCCGAAGCAATGGGAGAGTGATTCTAGTTCTTAATAATATAATAATACCTTATATGAAATCTCAACTTAACATATAAAAGATAATAATTTCTACTCTAATAGAAGTCTTTCTTGCCAATAAAATTATTATTATTATATATATACTAAACTAAAATGATTTGAAAAACAGTCATCAACAGTCAGTGAGAATTTCTCTTTTGTGAAGACATTCTCTAATGTAAGTTTGATTAAGGTAAACATAAAGCTAGCTCATGATTGAAAATTACATAGCTACAAGCTGGCTTCACATATTGTGAGATTATAGACATCACACCCATAAAACAAATGCACAATTATACTATTTTTATTCCAATTTTATATTTATTCCTAAACACTTAATATTTATCGAAATTAAATACTTATGGGCGTCTTTTAATTTGAGTTACTTGTACTGCTACTTTAATGACTATGATATTAGTCAATTCAGCCCTTTTTTTTTAAATGTCCTACTGCTGGGCTTTTTTGGACTTTACATATCTTTTGAAAACTTGCTAGGTTTTCTTTCAATAAAAGACATCTGATAATCATATTGGAAAATGATTCACACATGAAAATATCAGACATGCTAAGCCTGGGATTTGAACCCGCTTCACTTGGTTTCCCATGTGAGTGCATTACCACTGGGCTACCACTGCTTATTATTATAGTTTATATGTAATACTATAATGATAAGGATAAGACCATCAGTATAAGCATGTATAGTAAGAAGCCACTTTTATAAATTAAAGTTTCATAAGCACATGGATTTCTCAGTCTAAATTTGTAGTATTTTATCTTCTAACTCAATGAAAATATTTTTAAACTCATGCTAGACTGTGGATTGCCCTATTTGTGATAAAACTTCTTATCAAAATGTGTTGACACAGCGTGAGGCATGTGTGTTTTACACTATTCATTTAATTTTTTTATGACTTAGCATGTATTAAATAAATATAATTTCAGGATTATAAAAAAATAGGAAATGGTGTAAACTCTAAATGAACGAAATAAAATTTAGCATCACCCAAACTTCATTTTTTTCTTTTTTAATTGTAATTATTAATATGAAATAAAATAAAAATAAATAAATTTTATATCATGTTAATTAATTAATATTTGATATAACAAAGTATCTGTATAATAGGTGCTTATTTGTAAACTTGTAAATTATGTAAAATTTGAAAACTACTAAGTATATGAGTCATAGATAATATTATCTAGAATAGTCTGATGTTGTTAAAACTATTTTACATGCTTGAGTAAATTGTTACTTTAATCATTTTAATGTCTATACAATATGCAATAATTAAGACTATCAATTGTACTAAGTGTACATGATGCAAATCTATCAAATAATTACTAATGAATTAACAATATATCACTATATTAAATCGAATAATTAATGAAATTATGTTTAATTATTTTGGTAATTATTTTTGTTTATCTCTTAAATGAATTATGAAGCTTTGCTATTTATGTCTGTTGAAGTTACTAGCATTTGGCAAAACACCAAAAGTACCATGAACTTCATTTCAACTGAAATCAACTCAATATTGAATTATGCATATGTATCTCATAATTGTTTTTGTGTTTTTGACGTCATAAAGGACCTCATTAACAATGGAACAATAACATGCAACCTTTGCATACTAATAAAAAAAACATGTATTGATTATTATATCACATCTGTTTGTTCTTTTATCAAAAAAAATAAATCATGGATAACTCAGTTAATAGCTAATACCGACGGAGTGAGAAAAATGCGCAATTGAGACCGTGGCCTACATACAAATTACGAAATATTACAATCTAAATAAGTACACGGAAGAACACCGTTCGCTAACGTATCGTGCTTTATCTACGTGTTATATATAGATACATTGGCCCACGGACCTACACAAAGCAACGTTGATCAGCCCTTCAAAACTTATTTTCTAAATAAAAATACATCCTATGTTTAAACGAGACCTCATTATCGTCGATAAAGTAAAGCATTCATACACAAATGGCCTGTATCGATTTTGTATTGAGTCGTGACAATCAGCTGATGGCCCTTCAGCTACCTACTTATTTACATGGAGGCCCAACGCAGTACCTGCTTTGTATGGAATATGACAAAGGATACAGTTTTATGACGTCCGTGTCCATGCGACGTTTCCCAGCGCTCGGTGACGACATCTTCGTGATCTATTTCTAATAAATCACTGTATCGAACACGAACACTAGCACAAACCCACACTGGACGCAGCGAGATAAATTTTTCGTCCACCAGCAGCAGTCAGAAAAATAACATTGTAGAAAAACAATGGACACACACCATAGACTAAAATTTCGAAGGTGATGTGTAATGAAGTCTGTGTTGTCATTTAAAAATACATAAATATCAATAATATTGTAATAAAAAAAATTCTAGCACATTCCTAAATTTTATGTGCATAAAAATATTTAGAAAAAATATTTGCTTAGTGTTTTGCTTTATACCTGTTTAAATATAATTAATAAAGCTAATAAAGGTAATGTTCATAAAAATATCAAAATCAGAATAATTTAGGTATTTTTATAATTTCCAGTATATATATTGAAATTGTAAATTAGTGTAACTTTATTATAATTTAATTTTTAAATTTAAATGACCACAAACAATAGCTCATTAGGAAAGTATTATGCGTCAAAAATCAAAATAAAAAAAACCAGACTTTGTCTACGCCCTATCGTATGAAACTTCGCGTGTGTGACCCGTGGAACATTATTTATAATTTGATCTAATTATAGATTTATTTTACTTATTGCATCCCAAAGTTAGTTAGAAAAGTGCGCGTATGTGCGGTGAATCTGTATCCGTGCATGAGAATAGCAAAAACATGTGTTTCGATGTGAATATACCTTGGTGATTTACCAGAAGATAGTTGTCAACAAATTGAAATTATTTCTTGCAACGAATGGCAAAGTATTGTTAGATTACTGCAGGAATTTGCGAAAACGTTGTTGAGATTTATAAATTGTGTGCATGAGTCTGGGAGCTGTGATATCGACAGTGTAATGAACTTGATTCCACTTCCGGTGTTTTCGTGATGGTGTATCGGTAATCGTGATCAGTCTCGTACATTAAACGGCGGGATGGCGAACCCTACTATCGGGGCCTCGTTTGATCATAATGATATGACCAGGTAAATAGTGTTGTACAAATATTTTCTGCTTTTGACTAATAAGAAAATTTACCAATATGTTAATAGGTAGTATTCATTCATAGTCAGGTTTTAATAGTTTTATATAAATCAATGTTTAAATCACTTATATTTTATGAGGTAATATTCCATCAAGGCCCATAATTACAGTATTCCATTAAAACCAAAAACATAGTACATTCATATTATAAATAATTTGTTTTATAAATAAACTGGATACATCTTAGTATAGCAGAGCAAAGTTTCTCAAATTTTGCAATAGTCATTAGAATTATATTTTATTCTTTAACATTCAACAAAATAATTTATGTAAATAAAAACAAAAATAATATGTTTCATTGTTTTTGCTTTGTAAAAAAACTCATTTTATATATTGATCATTTTAATCTCTTGAAAATCATAACAAAAAGTGATTAGTATTTTTTAGATACATACTGCAAAGCTATCTATGTATGAATTGGTAGTTACAAACATGAGATGAATTTTAATTACAATTTTGTTCTTGATACTAGACTTGTGAGTAAGTTGTTAGATATTGGAAATGAATGCCTTGAATATTTTTTACTAAATATCTATAAGCAAAATCTTTATTTCATGTTATTTAAACATTATTGCCATTTTATAAATAAAATAATTTTAAAATTTATAACATTGACTTACTAAAGTTACTACTAGGTACTGGTAAATATATAAATTTAATGTAAGCCAGTAAGGATATCCACAGATATGTAAAAATATAAAATACTAACTTAAACACTATGTAATTTTAATATATTTATTGTTGTATTTTTTTACTCTTAAATTTTCATTCAATTTTTCCTTTCCCCATTATATGAAAGAAAATAACAAAACAGCAGTAGGTATGTGAGTAATTATGTTTCTGTTTATTGTAATTCTAATAACAGATTGTAGTTTCAGTTATGTTTTATGACTGTCCTGATTTTGAAAGGTGGGTTAACTGCCTTGTTATACTGACACAAACTTCATACAATTTGTTATTCATCATTTATTTTACTATAAAGAGTCTACATTTGTGTAATAGTATGGTTTAAAAACCATTTGATTTATTGTAGTCAAGCCAAATTTGTTACTTAAGAATGTAAATTCAATATTATTTAAAGGATTTTTGAGTACGGACTTATTAAATTAATAATTGATTTTTTTCAAGTTTGATATACTTAACTTTTACAACTTTTATTTTATAACATTAGTGTAAAATTAGACAAGATTTTCTTGTATCTGTTAAGAATATACATAGAATTGAGCTACCTATATTTTTTCTACAAGTCTAAATTTTGTTAAATCTCTGCTATTATGGATGACAATCAAAGGTAATGTTTTTGCATGTCCTTGAAAGTATAATAAAATTGACTTAGGTGTTTGGCAAAAATCCAAATAGATGTTCTGTTTGGCTTTTTAAAATAAATTTACCAATAGAACAATTTTTTATTTTATTATCTACAAGCTTCTCACCCTTGCTTTGCTTGGATTCATCCCTAGTGAAAAACAAAAACAAATTAGCCTACAGAATCCGTACATTGTTCCGGAATAAAAAGTAGCCTATGTGCTATTTCAGACTACAATCTATCTCTATGTCAAATGTCATCCTGATCCTTTCAGCCGTTCTGGTGTGACCGAGTAACAAACATCCAAACTTTCGCATTTATAATATTGATAGGATGGGACGTTCGAGTATTAATTTATAAACAATTTCTTTTCAGCTGGTATTTCGGCGGTCTATCTAGAGCTGAGGCATCTAAATTGCTGCTCAATGAGACTGAAAGTGGTGTATTCCTTGTGCGAGACTCGAAGACTATACATGGCGATTATGTGTTATGTGTCAGGTTTGTTTTATATTTTAAATTATATCCATACTAGCTACTCGCCCTCGCTTCGCTCGGGTTCGTCCCTAGGTACGTTTTGACGCTTAGTATAGAATATGATGAGTTTTATATGCCCTACTTGAGAAATGATTGATTCCCCATACAAACTTCCAACCCCATTACACCCTCTTAAGGGATGATTTCCGGGGTGAAAACTATTCTATGTCCTTCCCAGGGTCTCAAACTATCTCCATACCAAATTTCATCTAAATTAATACAGCAGATTAAGCGTGAAAAGGTAACAGACAGAGTTACTTTCGCATTTATAATAGGTATTAGTATGGATTAATTAATTAATATCCTCCTGAACTACACATCATATGTGACTACTGTAAGATTCCCTGGTTGTCTTTTTTGTTATTACCTATTGAGAAAATAAGGTATGCTTATCGGTCGGTCTGAAAATTGCTTGTCGACAACATGTAGGCGTTACGAGTTGTTAACAACCCTAAGGAAAAAATTAAAAATTAATATTTCCTAAGTTCTGCGGTTGTAGCATCTGTTTTTGAAGTAAAACTTCTTTACGCACGCTTGACTTGGGGAGTAAGCTGGTGAATGCGTGACGAGAGCGTTACGTAAAGTGTGATCGGACGAGGCGAACGTTTGTTGCCATGGTAACCGTTGTTATTGTCTGAGAAATGATATATAATATAAAATATTCTTTCCTTAAATGATATTCTATAAATATATGATTGTAATTTGTCTAATATGCGTTATTTAATTATTTTTATTAAAATTTATCATTCCTTTTACAAACAGAGAGTTGTGACATACGGGATGACAATTTCATCCTATCGGTACACGGTTTTTTAGTATCTCACCTATCCTAATTATTTAAAACAAATTGAATTTCATAAAGAGTACCGATAACCTACAGAAATTTTACTTCTTGCGCGTGTACAGATTCATACACACACTCTTTATTTTATTTTTTTCTTAATGACAAAAACAGTTTTTTTAACTTAAAACTGCGCAATGTTAGTTTTTTTTTGTTGCTTTATACCTTTAGTACAAACATTTTAATTTACAATAAGTTTTATGAAAAATATATATTCAGGAAGGAGATAATATATTTTTCTGGTTTCTATGGACTTTTCTCGATTTTCTTAATAGTTCAGTTTTAAGGAGGTAATTTAATTCAGGTGTTTGTTTTAATGATATTTATCCAATAAAAGTATAAATCGAGGATGTCCGAAATTAAGGTAAAATATGTGTGACGGTGAGCTGTATTATAAATAGACATATTAAGGCTATATATGTAATTAATTTGTTTATCCGTAAGGAAAAGAGTAAAGTATTAGTCCTATTGTGTAAATTAAGCTAACTTTCCATACTATTTATAACATCCTGTTTACACGAAATTTTGTGTTAATATGAAATAGTAATAATTATAAATTATTTTTCGTATTCGTTTAGAGTAAATAAATATAAATATGTTGGGACATTAACACACAGCACCATCTAGTTCCATGGTAAGCTACGAGGCTTGTGTTATGGATACCAGATAGTTGATACACTACATATATATAACTTTGAATACTTACATACATATTATAAATATAAACACCAATGACTGGAGTACAAACATTCGTGCTCATCACACAAATGAATGCCCCCAGCAGGACTCGAATCCGCGACCGCTAGCACAGCAAGTAGGGTCACTACAAACTGAGCAAAACGTGTCGTTATGAATTTAGTTTAGAATCTGTAAATGCGGCTGTACAAATTATTATTAAATAAAGCTTTGAAGCAACACCTTGTGCTGTGGATTAAAAATTCCTGTGCGCAATCATAAGGTTAACTAGAAAATGTTATGTAGGTAGTCTCTTTGTATGTCGAAAGAACGATGAGGCACAAATGTATTTCATCTTTCTTTTTTTCAATTAACTTATGAGGTGTATGTTTTAAATCTTATTTATGAAGGTACTATTTTATAAGATTCGAGCGATTCTAAAGTTTTGATATTTTAAAAGGAACTGTTTTTTTACAGTTTTATTTAGATTTTACGTGTCCGATATTACGATTTACGAACGCTTTACAAAAAACATAGTTATGGGAGATATTATATAAGTATATCCTTTTTCTTTAAACGTTGGGAAATGCATTTAGGCACGAGGCGTGGGACTGATATTTTGTAAAATATATTATATTTTGTTGTTTTCATTTGCAGAGAAGACGATCGAGTATCCCACTACATAATCAACCGTGTGGTGTCAGCAGACGGAACTACCAGATTCAGGATTGGCACCCAATTGTTTGCTGATATGCCAGCACTTTTAGCCTTCTACAGACTGCACTATTTGGATACGACGCCGTTGGTGAGGCCGTTGTCGCAGGCGAGCGCGCAGGCGACGCCGGCCGCTACGCCTCACTTGTACCACGTGTTGGAAGTCGTTATAGCCAAATTTGATTTTGTTGGCAGTGTAAGTATCGCGTCTTTTTACTTTCTTACTGATATTTAAAGTGCTTAAGTGTTTGTTCCTTTGTTTGTTTGATCGATGTGATGTAAACATATTAGTTGATTTGGGAACTGGAGGGTAGTATCCAAGACAATCTTTTTTTTATTTTTCTTTTTACCGTTACAAAAGTAGTAGCATCCCTATATCTTCACGAAAGCTTCCAGAAGGGACGACATTCTTCGACTTAATTTACTAATAACGTAATACTGGTAGCTCATTTTCGATTCATTAAAGTATTTAAATACTAGCGACTCGTACTAGATACGTTTTAACGCTTAGTATGGAATAGATAGACTATGTATACATAGGTATGATGAGTTCTATATACCTTACTTGAGAAATTATTGATTCCCCATACAAACTTTCCACCCATTTTTCTCCCTTTTAAGGGTTGATTTATTTATCATGTCCTTCCCAGGGTTTCAAACTAACTCCATACCAAATCATCTAATTCTGTTCAGCTGTTTAAGCGTGTAAAGGCTACAGAAAGTGTTACTTCCGCATTTATAAAATTAGCAGAATATATTTTAATTTTGAACCTTCCTAGATAATCGCTCTCTTCATTCGTGAAAACCATATGAGAACCGTACAGTAGTTTCTGAGGACTTTAATTTACTATTAATTAATTTTATTGATTAACGGAGGCGTTACTTAAAGTTATAAAGAATTTAAATGAAGAAAATATCTGTGTCATGAGTTGGTGAAACATGTACTCAGATTGAGCCAATTACCTACTTGTATGACCAATACAAATATTTGTCTCTAGCGGTATTCGAATCCGCTACTTTTGGCTTCGAGCCAACTGCTCTATGTACGTTAGATAACTGTCATGTTTAATGCTTTTTTCTCTCACAAAAATTGGCTCAGTTATATATTAACGAAATCATGTTTGACCGACTTTAAAATGTAGGCAGTGCTTAATTTGTCTGTATATTTTTGATACCTTCGGCTTTTCTCAGTTTTCGGCTTAGAATTATTGTGAATATATTTTTCTAATTTTGTTTTAATGAATTCACTCGCGTGAAAAATAGTGAAGTGGATTCAGACTTAGTCTCACACTTTGAGGACTCCACTTGGTTTACTATGAAAGAAATCATCGTGACGAAACCACGTGAAAGAATTTAAATAGTTTTCTTCAGATATGTGGAGTCTGCTTATTTTTTGGCCAGAAAAGAGGCCCGAGTCCATTATTATATTGTAGAATGTCTTAATCCTTTCGGACTTTCGGATTTGTCTAAACTAAACTAGGGCGTATCATTAGTCAATATAATGTTTCCAAATACCCATTATATGATCTAGTTTCCTTTGAGGAAGTGAACTCATAACTCCCAAAATAGATTCCCTTAACTATGGCACTGGGTTGATGGCGATGACTAAATATCTAATCGGCGCATTCCTTGATTATAAATAAATTTTAAACGAGTTGCTATACCGTTGTAATTTAGTAACAAGCTAATGGATTGCAGTCCCTAATGGGTTTTTTAATGATCAATAACAAGCTAAAACTACACGAGTAGCCTTGTTTTGATGAGATGCCCAACTTTTCTTTCTACGAAATTTGATAGTGGTTGATACAATTGTGGAACGGCACACCCTGAGAGAGGCCTATGTCCAACAGTGGACTGAAAAGGTCTGATGATATAATGATGATGATGTCGAAATAGTGATTGTCTCAAATCTCAAATAAATTTTAACCAATATTATTGGTTGGATGTTGTTCTACAATACAGATGGTTTGGATCAAATCGTCTCCCTCACCGAACTTGTTAAAATAACAACGTCATAAAATTTATTAGTAATCGGCTGATCTTCATAGTTTTTATAATTAAAAATATGCATAATTGAATGATCGAATCGTTCTACAAGTAAAATGGTAGGATATCTCAGTCCTACATTCGAATATTGTCTTCTGCATGGTGATACTAACTGTAGACTATAATATTAATATAGTAATATATATATATACGTTAAAGATTATAAAGTAACAAAAACAGGCATACCGAGTTCAAAACCACTTAAACACTTATTCCTTAAAAATGAAATTATGAAAATCAATTTTCAATCAATTGCCGAAGATATCGTAAAAACGGCCTTCTCCTTTTATATGTCGGCCAAAAAGAAACAAAATACTTTATATGCTACATACATTTTCCTGCAACTTTTAATACTCCTGTGTTAGTTGATCTCATCGATAATTTAAAAAAATGTGTGCATATAGGTAACCTTTACGCGCGGTTGAAGTAAAACTTATTTGGCAAATATCGAAATTAAATTAAAACAAATCAATCTTTATATATATAATTCTTCTGTGAGTGTGTATGTCACTGAACTTCTCTCAAACGACTGGACCGATTTTGATGAAATTTTTTGTGTGTGTTCAAGGGGATCTGAGAATGGTTTAGATTCACAATTTGAATAATAATTTTCATCAAAATGGTCCCGAATGTTTTAGCTTATTAAAAAAAGTTTGAAATTTTCAAATTAAAGACGTGTAGACAGGACAACGTCTGTCGGGTCAGCTAGTAATTAAATAAACCATATTAGGCATATTACAATCATACTCGCATACATATTTACAGAATATCATACACGGAAAGAATATAATATTATATATTTGTCAGACAATAACAACGGTTACCATGGCAACATGGCAATGTATTTTATCTCATTCTCTCGCCGATTTAATCCTATATATATATATATATATATATATATATGTGTGTGTGTGTGTGTGTACAGTGTGCTTTCGATAGTCTGTTCTGTTGGAACGATTTGTTTATGAAGTTTCTTTTAGATTAAAGCTCGTGGGATGTTTAGTCTCGCATTGTAATAGAATTTTGATATATATATATATATATATATATATATATCGCTTTGTCACTTTTCAGTGTCGCATTTCCCTTTTATCAAGTTTCAAATCACGATTTGTTGCTCCAAGGTCCACTCTGCTATCAGAGAAGTAGCAACTCGTATGGTAGGTACACCGCCCACCGAAGAGGGCCACCTCCCACCGAAGTGGTCCACCTCCCTGTGTGTTTTTTGGCTTCGCGCCCGGCTGAATTGCTGGGCACTACTGAGCCTTATTTATTTGATACTTATGTAATTACATTAACAAAAAAATTTTTGCTCACGTTTTTTTTTGTGGATAAGACATCTTTAAAAGTCGTTTGTGCATTGAAATAATGCAAAATGAAATATGTTTTTTAAAAGTAAGTATTATTTTTTGTACCTAATAATAAATTATATAGTGCTTTCGATAGTCTGTTCTGTTGGAACGATTTGTTTATGAAGTTTCTTTTAGATTAAAGCTCGTGGGATGTTTAGTCTCGCATTGTAATAGAATTTTGTTCTCTAAATAATGCATGTATAACGAGTGTAGACACGTGGCATCGCTCGTGTTTTTTGGACGAAAAAATATACACAGTATATATATATTAAACAATAGGTATCCCTGGTCTCACACCTCTGATATTTTCATATGCGAATCATTTCCAACGTGATTACACTTATCTTACTGTGAAGGAAAACACCATGAGGAAATCTGCTGATAATGTCTGTGAGTACCTAGTAAGTTTTCTAAAGATATGCTCTGACCGCCCGACTTGGCCAGCGTGCTGCGTGGTGGACTATGGCCTGATCCCCCTCGTATTAAAGCGAAGCCCACCCTCAACAGTGGGATGTTAAAAAGGGCTGAATACATAACTAGCGTAGACACATGACGTCGCTCGTATGAAACTCATATTTTTTACCAATTTCAAAAAAAAGGGATGTTATTTCGTCTACGCATTATCTTTTCGTTTGTGAATAGATTGTAGCTTTTTTTTTAATAACTGATAATTCCATTCGTAATGTTGGTTGAGTTTTTAGTTTAAATGTACTTACATAAAGGGATTTTAAGGACATATTTTAGTTGTTTACTTATTTATTATTCATAATAATTTTAAATGTTTATGACCTCACGTTTTCTACGTCATTGTGGTTTTTGAACAAAGTTTTCAGAAATGTATGATTCGTATAAACCTCATGTATGTCTTCTTATTCTTATCCTATGATAATACTATATCGTGAAAGTTTGTGAAATTGCTTAGCAATATTAAATAATTCAGTCCACATATTATAGATGATGTACTTTTTTCTAATGTTAGAAAATGTCCCCATCTTAATGGGGTGCCAAAGGATTACGTATGTATTCTTACTAAGGGGTCGTTCATAAAATACGTCACGCTAAAATCAGCTTCTTTGACCCCCTTCTCCCCTATTGTCACGCTGGGTTGTGACACTTTCTGCGACCCACCTTGAAATATTTCGTCACAAAAACTATAACAGACAATCACTAAACAAATTTTGTGAATTAAAAATATTTATTTAGTTATTATAATAAAATTTAAATAAATCAATAAATATCTTTTATAACAAACATAAATAATAAATAATATTTCTATCGCGCTCATGTCGAAAAATAATGAACGGCGAACGTCACGTTGCTGTAGACCCCCCGTCCCTCCTTGTCACACTCAGCAACACAACTATAAATATATGTTTGTAAGTATGCCTAATATGCCTCATTTAATTATTTATTTGGTTTAATTTAATTGCGATATTTGCCAAAGAATTTTTACTTCAACCGCGCGTAAAGGTTACACGCACCCATTTTTTTTAATGAATATGTTGAACAAAATTCCACCCTTAAGGGTGGAATTATAACTTTTTGAGTGTTTTAAAATCCGTTGTTTGTTTTTTTAGTTCAAAAGTATAGTTTTACATTTCCAGGACGCAGACGACCTGCCCTTCTGTCGCGGGGAGAAGCTGATGGTGATTAACCGGGACGAGGAGCAGTGGTGGACCGCCAGGAACGCGCAGGGCAGGATCGGCTCCATCCCGGTACCGTATGTGCAGAGGGTACGTCACTTACGTGTTTTGTATACATGTTGTTTATTTATTTATTTTTAATACATTCACACACCAGCAAAGTTTCCACCTATAAATATATCACAGCCAGAGTAAACATGATATGTATTAAAATTAGTTTAAACTTTAAAAACATAAAAAATTAAAAAAACACAATTATTTAAAAACATAAATTAACAAAATAAAATAAAAATTGTAACAAAAACTGCTGCAAAATAAAAACACTATAAAAGGACAACAAAAAATGACTTAACTGAAAATTATATAGATAAAAAAAAACTAAATATAAAATGAAAAAAAGTCAAACCTAAACTCTAACAGAACATAATAAAATTTGTTTTACACTAGTGACTTACCGTTGCTTTGTTTCAATGCGTTTAGATTTGTATTATTATGTAATAGCGGCTAACCCTCGCTTTGCTCGAATTCGCCTCTAGAAAAACAAAAATAAATCTATCCCTTGGGAACCGTATATTTTTCCGGGATAAAACGTAGCCTATGTGTTATTCCATACTATAATCTGTCTCTGTGCCAAATTTCATCCAGATCCGTTCAGCCGTTCTGGCGTGAAAGAGAAACAAACATACATCCATACATAAATTCTTACAAATTTTCGGGTTTATAATATTAGTAGGATGTATATGTACAGGAAACGTCACCTTTTGACATTTTTTTAAATCTGACATAGGCTTAGTTTTGTATCATAGTCTATCTGTTTGTCATGTTTCATCCGAATTTGTTCAGCCGTGTGTGTAGTAGTTTATTGCTTAAATTAAGTGATTTGTAACTTATATTTAGATGGTTTTAGTTTACTAGTGGCTAGCACACAGATCCGGAGTTCCTGAGTTCGAGTCTTGGGTGGGGCCAATTATGATTATAAACATACAAATATACGTGATAATAATCACATTATTGCAGGAGTAACCTCGACATAATAACTTTTTCTCTTAGACGGAAATCGAAGTAGTGATATCGCTCAAAGCAGTGACATATAAAAAATGTTTTTATTCCAGTTGCTAGACCCGTCGGGCGTGCCGTACCCGCCCACGGAGGCGCTCGGCCAGCTCGACCCGCCCAGCCCGCCTAGCAACAAGCAGCCGCAGAAGGGGACTAACATGCAGGTATTCATATTAATGTTGCTCGGGTTACTTGTTATTCATTAGTTATCTATTAATTTAAAATAAAATACATTTATTTACTTTTTTCGCGATTTTATTTTCATTATTTGAAGAGAAAATTTGATTTCCGTTTTCGTCTAATTTATTCTATTATTTTGTGGGTGAGCATCGTCCGTAATAATTTATTAATAACTGTTGTGGAGATGTCAAGAATCTTAGTCTCTTCCGTTGACATATTTGTGTGCAATGTAATCGAATGGAATTTGAAATGTCAGACACAAAAAAAATCAAAAAATTAACATTAAATTACTGTAATATAACATTTAATTAGAATCATTGATACACATTTCCTAACAAATATGTCTTCAAAAAGTGGCGTCGACAAGTGACGTTAAGTCAAACCAAAGAATAAAATACAAACATCGAAAGTTCTAATTATCTAAACACAAATCGGAACCTACGCACACATAAAATACTTTTTTGAACGAAACAACTTTAATTTGAACGAACGAGCGTTTTAATTTTGTCATCCGAAAAGCAATAGACAAAAGAGATTTGAAAAAGCGCATAATTTCGAATTTTGCGCATCTTTTTGAGGACACTTTTGAGATGTTAATTGTGTATCTTGAGCTTTTGTATATCAATGATTAGCATAATATCATGATTAAAGTAGAAATAATATTAGTATGTAATCTATGTTTATATGTTATCGCAGCGGTCGCTGCCGGCGCTGGCGCGCGTGCGGCAGTCGCGCGTGCCCAACGCGTACGACAAGACCGCGCTCAAGCTGCAGGAGGGCGACATACTCAAGGTGATATACACGATGGTTGCCTTCCAATCTTTTAATTGAATTCTATTGAGATTGTTAATATTCAATTGAAATTGAATTGAATTAAAAGTTATTAATATTCAGGCTTTAAATCGTGACGGTAGAGTACAGATTACTTTGCCAATGTCACGTAGAATGGAGATGACGGAGATTTGTCTGTATTCGAATCTTTTATATTACTTTTTAACTGTCATAAAGGGAAAAATAATAATTTTGTAAACCAACCTTGTTTTGATATTTATAACATATATTTATGGCTCCCTGTCACTGCCCCGGAGTGGGGCAGGACTGCTTTAAAAATAAATATTTAAGGAAAATTTTAAAAAACTTTTAGTCATTTAAATTAACAAAGCTATGATGAACTTATGACTTAGAAATGCAGCCAGGACAAATGTTGTAAAATCCTTGAAAATTATTATATACTAGCCCGCGGCTCTACCCGCGTTCAGATGACCAAAAACCACATTATATATATATGGTGACCCGGATAACCAGCTATCACCATACTAAATTTCATCAAAATCCCTCCAGTAGTTTTTCTGTGATACGGTAACAGACAGACAAAAATTCTAAAAACTATAAATTCGGCGTCTCTGTATCGATAGTAATGTTTATTTCAATAAGATTTTCCAAAAAATATTTAATGTACAGATTCGGCTTATTACAATTTTATTATATGTATAGATATTAAAACTAATGGCTTATCATCGCTACGCTCGGGTTCTCTTGATCTTCATTATAAAATAACATTTTTTATGTTCTATAAATATGAATGTTTTAAGTATGTTTATGTATGTATATTATGTATTTACATAAATTGTTCCACCGAAGCGCATAATCTAATTAACCGATTTTGATGATTGAGGCGTGAGGTTAAAATATCATAATATCCTTTTGTAATTAAAACATAATGTGAGCGCAATGCAATATCAAATGTGTGTATTATTAACTATATTGTATTTGTGGTGTTTGATGAGAAATAATAGTTATTGTTAAAATCCTATATTCAATTAGTGTAATTTTATATTAGCATTATTAATTGCTTGATAAGCTTGATTAATATTTTTATATAATTTCAGGTGACAAAAATGAACATAAACGGTCAATGGGAGGGCGAACTCAACGGCAAAGTGGGGCACTTTCCCTTCACATACGTGGAATTTCTCGACGACCTGCCCAGCTAAATATACCGAATATCTACATCAGTCCGCTTAGACAAATCGACTTTCTACACTCGATATCGCTAGTAGCAAACTAAATATATGGAAATGACATTTTTGACAAATGACATACCGCATAGATATATCATTTCCGTACATTTTTTTAGTTGTCTATTAAGACAGTGATTATAGAATGTCGTCTTGTCTAAGCTAAGCTTAGAGTGCAAATAGTAATATTGTTTATTACTGAAAACTCAACTGACATCAATTTTTTTACAATTTACTTTTTGCAGTGTAAGCATTGGCTTACTCACATATTGATGTGACAAGTGTAATTTATGAAATAAATTATATATTTTAAAGTGACGAGAGTGACGTGATATTGTTGTCTGCACAAAAATGAACGTCTTCATCTTCATTTGTTTTATTAAGTTTGTGTCACACTTATTTAATTGATAGTAGAATATTGGAATTGAAAATATTTATAGGTAATGTAAAATGTTACTAAATTTTCATTTAATTATTTTCTTATTTACATATTTATATATACCTATGTAACATAATAATGCACATTTTAAGATTCTACCAATACCGTGCCGTCTTGGACAATGGAGAAGTTTCCAATTTTTTAATGTATTAATTATAAAAATGTAAGTAAAATATAACAAAAATATGAAAAAAATATTAAAATATCTTGACTAATGAAAAAGTTATGACACTTTAAAGTTGCGCTTGTAAGAATAATTTCGTGACGTCACACGACCTGAACGGCCTGAATTTATACTAATTACTCAGTCATTTATTGATATATGTATATCAAAAAAAATCACTGATTTATTAGTTTTAATCTATATTATAATTCCATTGCGTTAAATATGATATTGACAATATCATGAAACTCCTCCACTAAAAGAAATTGAGCTTAACACAAAAGCTTTTAAATTTTATTAACATTATTTCCGTAATAGTGGCTCTTAGTTAATTACTGTAATTGGCTAATAAATAATAACCCATAAAATTAAGAGAAATTGACGTTGCGTGATGAAAATTCTTTAAGTACGAATTTCTGTCTACCACTATTTTTATTAAAATATCACGTCGCTATGTGGACAAACATACTAACGCATTTATAACATTAGCAAGGCATTATTGAAGTGAAACTTCTTTGCGCGCATATGAAAAAATCTTAAGGTCGCGTCACGAACAACCGTCGCGGTCGCCATAGTAACCGTTTTCATTAGGTTGCCATAGTAACCGTTGTCATTGTCTGAAACATGATATACAGGATTGTTTTTTCAAATATGCCTGCATATTTATAACTAGCTTCGCTCGAGTTCGCTACTCAGATTATATGCGATAGATGTAAGAATCCAGCTAGATAGAGATAAAATATTATTCTCTTCTCTTTGTTTGATATTCGTTGGAATCATATTTTTGTCTGAGTGTTACATTAAAAGTTTTTATTAATTCATCAATCTTGGAGATTTGAAATGTAAATTACCAATGAAGTTTCACTTCTAACACGTTTCCATAGACACTTGTTTTTTTTTGTATATAAACAACACTTAAATGCTAAATAGAATAAGAAATGAAGGAATTAATATTAATATATATATTTTTATATAAGTGTGATACAACTTATCGATTTGAGCCCACCGATACGGGCTATGGTATAATACTATTAAAAATATCAGCTTGTCTATAACTACGCTATTTCATACAAAATTACGCACAAACCATAAACAAATCTGCTTTTAAATACTTTGCACTAACTATGACTATACTAAAGACCAATTTTCAATTTCTATATTTTTTATCTATGCTTTTTTAATATTTTCATAGACTAAGAACTACACTTTTTCTATCTTTCTAGCTATAAACTCGCTCATACTTGAAGTTATATGAAGGGATATCTATATCATAAAGGTCAGATGATTCACCTTAGTTAGAAGTAAGATGTATAATTGCATTTATAAGACAACATAAATGAAAATGGGCATATTTATTAATTTCATACAATAATATAGCGATCAAATATTCAGTGTGCAAAAGGCTTTTTCTCATTATTTCGTTACTTACCACTCGAAATAAAAACATTATATAATATAAAATCCGAAAAATATTTAATAAGCTTTTTGGTTTATAGTTCATGATTTAATAATAAATAAAGGAACTATAAGTTTCAGCTAAATGTATGTATGTATTTTATCTTAAAAATATATGCAGTAAACTTATAAAAAGGAATGAGGGCGCATACAAACACTTAAAGCTATAAAATGTCCCACCTGGTACTGTTGTTCCATAATAAGGAATTGACAAAGTTACATCGAAGTAGTTATAACTGCTATATACAAGTTTACATTTTTCGCTGTTATACCTATAATTGTTGTAGAATACTCTGATAATGATAGTTGTTAATTGAGATTAAGGATTGCATTAAATAAAGTTAAAACGTGAGAAAACAAAAAACTATTAGAATTATTAGAGTAACTTAAACTATGACCTGGAGATGTCACCACAAATCTTTGCTTTTCACATAAATTATTGTTTAAAATAATACCATTTTTGAATTTAATGAAACACGCTCACATTTTCCATATGCAAAGGGTCTCATAGCATAAGATTAATTGCAAATGCAATATTCTATTTGTTGATATAAATATTTTAAGATTTATAGACTTAGCTTTTATAAACTCTAATTTTTGGAGGTTATTTATAAAATTACGTTCGCGCCATAATCATTATATTATGTCATAACCATTAGTGTACTTGCATTTTTAATATACTAATTTTTAACTGGCAAAAGTTTAACACTATACAGCTTAATCTTTCTGATCTAAAAGCACAAATATTATTTTTCTTCTAAATTAAATAATGTTCTAATTTAGTGTTAATCTAATAATGTATTTAAAATACATTCACAGCACAATATCGCTGTTGCGTTTCATTACGCCATAAGACTTCGAAGAACACTGAATTCTTCTGACATAAGATAGTCAATATTTTTATAATATAATTGCTGGTGCAAGAAAGTATTTAGATTAGTATTAACCAATGACTGGACAAGTTCAATGACATTTATTTTTAGACATCAAATTTAATTATAAAAAATACATATATAATTACAGTAGTGACTTGTTTTTGTTATTAATACCAAATAATAAGCATTTTTTTTATAAAACAAAATGTCTTTTTACTTGGCCAGTAAAAAGTATTGATATAAAATTGCTCTTCATAAAATATGTACCTAATATTACCTGTCTGACCGAAAAGAAATACCAAATGTTATTCATTGTATAAAATCGCTAAGTAAATATATTTTGAGATTACGAATCGTTTAATGTATGTATTGTAAACTTTTAAGGCGCGTAAATCAAAATTTGTCTAATTTTTTTATAATGTTATGTGTAACATTTTAGTAATAATAAAATTTAGGAAAGAGTATTTCAAATTTGTTTTTTCCTTTTCCCTTTTTTCTTATGTATCTACGTATATGTTCTGCTCATCACTAAAATGAGAGAGGTTAATGTATTTTCAATGATAATAACTTGAAAGCCAAAAGTCAAAATATGTAGCTGTTGCAGTCTCCGGAAAACACAACTTTGACATGAAGATTTTAATAACGTGTCCAGGGGTTATTGATTTTATCGAGACAAAGTGCATATAATTACTGGCAACCGTAGTGCAGTTTTTTGTTTGTTTAGCAATGTCTGTCAAACTGTACTCTTAATAGACTCATGGTTTGGTTGATGATTTTTTTTATTATATAGTTGTTTGGTTAAGGCGCGGCATCCATGTTAATATATATTTCTATTTAGCCCGCAAGTGAAATGAATAAAGCGAAGAAATGCAGATTTGAGATTAGTATATATTTATTATTTAATAGGTACCTGTCCATGGCGCAAAAGCATGAATTTAGACTAGACATGCGTAGGTCCGGATTGAAATAGTTCCCGGAACTATGTCCTAGGCCGGAACGATATCGTTCCAATCCGCGATGACAATTGAAACAGGTTCACAGTAAGCATGGAAATGATTGCTACTTTTAAATCATTATCACGTGATGAAATTACAACAATTTTTCACGTGATTTCACCTGCTACTTTTCACGCATAGATTTTTGATTTCGACGGTCTGGTGTCACACTTTATATTATTTGCTATTAAAATGAAGTATGAAATGTCACCAATGGCGCTACTGATGTGATATGGAGCAGAGATATAGATCTGACGTAGTTGCATACGTACATGGTGCTTTGAATGAACCTATTTTCAAACAATGAACTTTCCCTCATACTTCTACAGGCTTGGGACTGACAATGTAAAATTAAATGAATTTTAAATATATCAGAGTAATCACACGGTAAAATTGTATTAAGCTAAGTTCCATAATTACATTGGCATATTTAAAAGTTCATTGTTTTTATTTGCAATAAGAATTTTTCTGTGGAATAATGCACGATCAGCAAACCATTTCAATTGGAGAGTTACAGGATATCTAGAACCCAGAAATTATAATTATTTATAAATCTTTATAATTTTTAAAAACTTTACTAACAATATTTTTTTATGAATAAATTTTGAAATTAAATAATAAATAAAAAATAGGTAATTTAAAAATGAAAAGTAACGCCATCTTTCACGTTAGTGTGACGTCGTAATGCATATATTATATTTTAAAATCAATTGCGCGAATGATTTATTAAATCATAATCTGTACGTATTACACATAATCATTCAGTAAAAATTATAAGTATTTGTTGGATAAAAAACTAAAAATGTGCTCTAAATTTAATTGTTGTTTCTAATTTAAAATTATTTCTAAACAATATTTCTAAGAATCCGAAATCATGCAACTCGAAATAAATAAACTCCCCAATTTACTGATCAACGGTATTAACTGAAAATTGTATTTTGTTGAATAAAAAATCAATAAAAACATCAGTACGAAAATGTATACGGAAAATGCGAGTAACGAAATGCATTCGTGAGTAACGTTTCGGTACTCGGTATTAGATGGCGTACCCGTTACTCAGTAACGAATACATACGGTTTGCTACAGCTCTAGATTTCACCAAGTTGTGATTTGTAGCAGCCACTATGAATTTAAGTAGCAGGTGTGACGTATGATTACGCATTTCACGTGATTTTTCACTTGCTACTCGTGAAATGTTCCATCCCTAGTTCACAGTTCCATTTATAGTTCCACATGTGCAGGAGTGAGATGGAGCGAGTAAACGAATATATTGGACCGATCACCGGAGCGACTGACTGAACTGAACGTAACCGACGCCTGCCGAACCTACCCGAGCTATAGCTGTATATTAAATTTTAAGGTGATTCCTCACAATGCTGGGCGCTTGCCACATGTAGCAATATACTCTATGACAAGCACCGAGAATCTTAAACATGTGCCAAACACCGAACACAAACTAAATACATTAAATAATTAAATTAAAATAAAAAAGCCTTTCATTTCTTGCGCTTACTGTAAATGCTATTAAAACAATTTAAGAAAGTAGGTATTTATAAATATTAATAAAATCCTTTCATATTCAGTTATATTATAATAATAGTATTAGATCTAATGTTATATTAATTATTATGTATATAAAGAATGTTTATTAATTTAAACTTTTTTCTTAATTTTTACAACACCTAATATGAATTAGAATTTATAATTAATAAAACTAATTACAATAAATAATTAAAAATTAAGATCAATATATATAATAAAATAATTCATAAGTTAAACAATCATTTACAATATTTTTATTTATTTGAAGTAGTTTTTTTTAAGTTTTTATTTTTCATTTTTAGTGTAGATATAGTAGATACCTAGTACCAAAGTAAGAAGAGGTCAAACAATAAAAAAATATATTTATACGTGTCAAATTGAGAACCTTCTCCTTTTTTTCGTGGATTTAAAATGATTTCATGTTAAAAAATGTTAGGTATGTGATGTTGTCTGCTGCACTGCTGTGGGGAAGCGCCATTATATCGCGTAGGTACTGTGTGTAAACTACTGTAGTGACTAGTGCGTGTGCGTGTATTCGCAATAATTATAATGTCATCTCTTACTATGCTATTACAATTAATAATGTGCCAACTTCACTGTGCGTTAAAGTCGATAATTCATTGATTAAATCTGATTTTCGTTTTGAACTTTTAAAACATTAATAATATATTTTAAAATTTTTAATATTCTTTCACTTTTGACACAATATTTTTGTACTTTGTTGCGTTCGTCTAGATTCACATGGCGCGCGAAAGCACCGTAGTTTTTTGAAGTTGGTTTAATTTTTTTTAAAACCTTTTTTATTTCGTAATTTTTAGTTTTAAGTAAAAACTGAAATAGTTTTTGTAAAAAGTAGTAATTACAAAAAATACACTTTTTTATCCATATCTTCAAAACCACTGAACCGATTTTGATGAAATTCTTACTATCCCTAAGTTAAAATAAATGTAAGCAAATAAAAAGGCATCATCACGTCGTTCGGAATAGTAGTTTCGGCGAAATGCGTGGACAAACATACATACACACAAACAAACATACATACATACATCTATACACCTATAAAATTTTGTATATTTGCTTCGAAGCCCTAATATATCATATTATGTTAATATCTTGCAGTTCTAATAATATTATATGCATACGTGTCGAATTGATAACCCCCTTTTTTTTGAAGTCGGTCAATTAAAACTATATCTCCCGCTATGCTGTCCTCGGGAACCGATAACAGTGATAACCTGTTAAAATCGGAACGATCGGATCGGATGAACTATCGGAACTAGATAGTTCCGCGAACATGTTTCGTGAACATAGTTCCTTTATGGAAAGGAACTATTCCATGTTCAATCCACTCCAGGACCTAGTTTGCGCATCTCTGATTTAGACAGTCTCGTAAATGACGAGATCAATTATGACACAGGAGTCGAGTACCCTTTTTGCTCCTTCCCATACTCTTAACCATAAATTAATAATAAAGAACTCTCACCTTGATGGGAAGGCATGTCACATGATGATGACACGAGCAGAAAAGTAGTAGTACTAAAGGTAGAATGTAAAGGTCGTAATTTCCTGATTCCATATTGAAAATATAAATATACGAACGTTTGTAGCTCAATCAGGAACCTAAATGCTGAACTTAATAAAATTAAGCCATAATAAATTAACAAGCCAAATTCATAAGGAAGTCATTTCGTTCAAGTCCCGCTGGGGGCATTTTTTTGTATACTGAGCACGATTCACGAATTTTTATACTCCAGTCATGGATATTAATATTTATAACTAGCATTGCCCGCGGCTTCACCCGCATTCAGATGACCAAAAACCAAATTCTTAGGTTTTACAGATTAATATACTCTTACATTGCAGTTTTTGCATTTTTTCTCAGAAATGAGATATTTTCCCGCGGTAAAAAGTATACTTTAGGTTGACCCGAATAGGTAAGTATCACCATACCAAATTTCATCAAAATCCCTCCAGTGGTTTTTCAGTGATGCTGTAACAGAAAGACAGACAACAGACAGACAAAAGTTCTAAAAACTATAGATTCGGCCTCTGTATCTATAATAATGATTATTTCAATAAGTTTTTCCAAAAAATATTTAATGTACAGATTCGGCTTAGTTACAATTTTATGATATGTATAGATATGTATGTATTTAAAGTTATATACGTGTAGTGTATCAACTATCTGGTATCCATAACACAAGCCTGTAGCTTATCATGGAACTAGATGGTGCTGTGTGTTAATGTCCCAACATCCATACTAATATTATAATTGTGAAAGTGTTTGTTTGTCTTTTTTTCACGTCGAAACGAAGAGACGGATTGGTGTGATTTTTTGTGTGCAGATAGATGGAGGACTGGAGAGTGACATAGGCTACTTTACCGCGGGAGATTAACTAATTCCCACGGGAAAACACGTTATAAGACAATCCAAAATGAATTTTTTTATGACGAATTACTTGAAACTTGGTATTATTTCTCTTCAATAAAATGAAATAAATACATGTTTTAGCATTTTTCGAAATTCATCCATATGAGAGTAAAATAGGGAATAGAAGTTTGTATGAAACCTACCTTTTTAGAGTTTATTTTAAGATTTAGCGCGAGCGAAGCCGCGGGTTCTTCTAGTAAATAATAATATTTTTTCGAGGTTAATCATTAATCTACAATCATACATCCACAGTATAGCGAGAATAAAAAAAAGATCCTTTAAAACTTATATAGCAAGTTAAAATACATACATTTTTGTAACAAACATTAATTTAAAAAAATATATTAAACATTTTTTATTATATTTATATTTTTTAAAAAAAAAGGTAGTCACTAATTTAAAAACAATATTGCATGCTTGCAACACAGAGATTCGGTAGTTTTGACATTTTGCATCAGATTTAGGATTATCGGCTAATTTGTAGATTCTCGTAATAATTATCTTGTCCTTCATTAATATAGTTGTCTCTATTATTACTAAGAAGACATGATAATAAAATTTATTACTATTATTAATATCTGTTCTGTGGCAGCATATATCATAAATGTTTTATAGTAATGCGGTGGAAGCCATACATACATCGTCACCTACAGTTATAATTCGTCAGTGAACGGTTTACGGTACTTGTTGATAATCTCGTTTACGTATACAAGTTATGAATAAAGAAATACAATTATTTTTTAACAAAACAAATTTATTTTAAAAGCGTTGGCATACGGAATGTAGTTACCTACAGTTTTTTTTTACTATTTCCATCGATTTCTATTCTTTTATCCTTATGAAAGACAAACAGCTTCTATCAAGTGAGCTTGTGGATTTATACATGACTTGTTAATGCAGTAAACATTATTGTGATGATTATTTAAAGTGTTTCTTCATCTGTCTTTAAAAATATAAGTATGGAGGCTTTAGTTCAAGTAAAAATTGAGCCAGAGGATTCAGGGTTTGAGGTGGAAGTGAACTTTAAAGTGGAATCAGATGAAGAACCCCATAATAATGATGAGGATGCTTCATATAATTTTGTGGGAGTAAAGCAGGAGTTACCAGACCACATAGATGTCAAAATAGAACCTGAAGATGATTATGAAAATCCCTATGAGCATAATGAACATCATGAACATATATTACCAGATATATCTATGGAAATTGGCCAGCCTACATATTATGACCATTCTAAAGGTAATTTTAATCCTTATTTTATTTTTTTACATATAAAAATACTTAAAATACAGCATTAGTGTCTATCATAAATAAGGTCTTTTCTGTAGTATTTAGAGGTATAACATTTAGTTTTTTGTTACTCATATATGCAACTAAGTTGTTTGTGTACATTAGTTTTTTTTGTTTCTTATAAAACATTTAATATAATAAAACAGTGATTATTTAAGATGGTGTGACCTTACCTTTACTTACCCCAAGACCTAGAAATAGAGAGAGAAATAAAGATGATGACTCTGACGATGAATATCTACCTTCAAAGACTAAAAAGAAGGTAAGTTGTACATTTTTTATATACAAACTTCTTTAAGGTAAAAGAAAAAATGTGTGTACATTTTTAAATCATTATGCACATATTAAAGATATAACCTTATATTAAGTAGACAATTAAATAAGATTATTAAAACATATACACTTAAAGATAATTGATATCTTTTGTTGTATATCCTACTGATATTATAAACATGAAAGCTTGTGGAGATGTATAGATGTATGGATGTTTGTTACTCTTTCACACAAAAACTACTGCATGGATCTTAATGAAACTACTATAATATAGCTCATATATCAGTAAAACACATAGGCTACTTATCCTGGGAATGTGTACAGTTCCCATAGGATAGGTTATTTTTTGTCTTTTAATAAAGATGGACTATCATAAAGTAGAAATGAAGAAAATGTAGAGGAAGAATAAAATTTCATGATTCAAAAATTGATACTATAATGCAACTGCTTGTGCTAACCGTATGTTATGAAAGCATCGAAAACCTAAATAAGATATTTGAAGTAATTTAATTAAATGTTGTCATAATGTAGTTTTTAACAAAACTTTACTGTACATGAGTTATATTTTTATTATATTTCAACTCACTATATATACCTATAATAAACTCGCACATTGATTTTAGGAAATTTCTTGCATCAAATGTTTCCTTCTTTTGTGTATTTTTTTTTCATATGAATATTTTTTTGTCTTACTTTGACCATTCAAGGAATGCAAATTTATTTGAGAGGGAGAGGGTTTTGGTATAGTACTGATATGTAGGTATTCCAGTTTAGCTACAGATTTTGTGTTTACTATATTGAAAAATTTGTTTTTGGCCAAAATTATTGTGTAGGAATAATAGCAGGGTATGAAATTATCAACATAAATATGTCTTTTGATAATTATCGCGATAATTATCAAGATAATTATCAGATAATTATCAAACAGGTATAAACTTAGCAATCCTTGTATAGGTATTGGTGTTTTACTACTTGCCTATCATAATTTAGTTAGAATAAATTATACACTTTTTACAATCAAGGTAATCTTTTATTATAATTTTTTTCATAATTTTGAAATAGATACAAACTTGGAAATAAAAACAGAATAAATTTAACCAACTATATAGACACTATTTAAATTGAAGGTGTCTGCCCACTACACCGTCTCATACCATGACCGTGCTAGGACCGTGTCAGGCAAAAAAATATTCTTTGTAATAAAAAGTATGAGATTATGCCCACTAGATGCCTGTGGCACGCGACGTTGCCGAACTGGTGCGCGCAGGCGGCGAAACGGTGAGCATACGGGTTTTAATTGCGTATGATGACCATTCTAAGCCGTTTTAAATATGTTACCGCTTGTCTTCTAGTGGTAATATTTTCTTTTTAATTATATTTTTTTATAACCTAGTAACGTCGTGATTGACTGAGGTTATTCTTACAGGTGGTATGACTCTGTCAAGCCTGAGGAGTCCGATTGGATGGGTACCACCCCCTTATCTATTTCTCCCGCCAAGCAACAATGATTACATTGGCGTGTTCCGATTTGAAGGATAAGGTTTCTTAGTCCTCACAGTGACAACGCACCTGCGGTTCTGCATTTTTGTTACATTAAACCTAAGTGCATAAACCGTAGGTGTTATAGACGACAGGTACCGCTTTCCATCAGGTGGGCTGTCTGCTCATTTGTCACTGAATACTATTAAAAAAAACTTTCTCTTCTTCCTCGTCTAATTGTTAATTCTCTACCGGACAATTTTCTTATACCGATCATATAGGTATAGGAAATAATTTTCGTAACAAAAATATTCACTCGCTCTTCCTGACGCAGCTGCCTCACGCATAAACTTAGGTGAACTACTGCGACTGAGAAAACGGGAACCATACATATGACACGCGGATGATACGCGGTTTATAACTTTATACGCGAATGATACGTTCTAGTGGGCGTAGTAGTCCGTGTCGCTTGTTCTGTGTCTGTAACGTTCATAGCACGGTCATAGCATGAGACGGTGTAATAGGCAGACTCCTTAATGATTGGAATATCATCCTCATCCTCCTCAACTGCATTAGTCAGTTTGCTGATTGAGTTTTTAGAGCATCAGCTCTGAGAGAGTTCGGTTTGCTGATCAACAATTTGAAGAGTTGCGAATTAAATATTTTGAATTATATTTATCAAAGATAATTATCAACCCATATTTATCCTGATAATTATCATGATAATTATCAAAGATAATTATCAATGATATGATATCAATGATATGATTATCAAAGATAATTATCAACGATAATTATCGAACCCTGAATAATATTAAATTTACTAAACTGAACAATAATTCTAAAAAATATTACTTCAACATAGGTATATTAGAATTAAAAATAAATCATTTGTTAAAAATTATTATAAATTTAAAAAATATGTTTTTTTGACATTTTTTTCTATGTCACATCACAAAATCATTTCTTCACTACATGCAGATTGTTAAACAAATACAAGCTTCATTTGTATTTGTTTAACAATCTGTACTTTTTTACTCTGCACTTTATTACTCGTACTTTTAGTAATTTACAACTACCTTGTCAAAGTAGAAAATTAACTTTGAAAAAGGCTAAATTTATAATTTTATATAAAAAACAGAGGTTTGATATGTTATTTACCTTTTTTTTCAGAAAAAAGAGCCTAACGTGAAACCTATATTCAAGGGAAAACCTAAATGTGGACGTAAGTAGTAATAGATATTTATAGTAGTGTTATAAAATAAGTTATCCTTACTGATATCAGAAATAATAAAATAAATATAAATATGTTGGGACATTAACACGTCACAGCACCATCTAGTTTTATGGTAAGCTACGAAGCTTGTGTTATGGATACCAGATAGTCGATACACTACACATATAATATAACTCTAAATAGATACATAATATAAATATAAACACCCATGACTGGAGTACAAATATTCGTGCTATTCACACAAATAAAAGCCCCCAGCGGGACTGAGTGAGTGAATCCGCAACCACTGGCACAGCAAGTAGGGTCACTACAAACTGAGCTAAACTTGTCGTCAAATAAGAATTATTTGTATGGTTATTATAGAGCACTATTTTCATACAACATGATAGTTAAGTGAATTACGTTTACGAATTGGGTATACTACTTTATATCGATTTCTTCAAATTGTTTCAATTGAAAATGACAATGTTGTATCAAAATGTGTGTGTTTTTATATCACATCTCATTAAAGGAATTATAACAGCAACCCCATTTTTATATTATAAAGTTTATATTGTTTTTTATGTACATTAATAATTGTAGACGTACGATGTGTTAGGGATATAGAAGGTAATCTCTTTAAGTAATGATCTATTTTCAGTATCTTTTTTTTTTACTGATAGGCAGGCAACTCTACAGTATCTCATTGCTATAGCCTATGAATTTTATATGTATTTTAGCTCTATTATGTATATTATCTAGCATGTCAGACCAGTGTTCTTTGCTTATGCTATCTAAATAGTTGTTTATAAGTGAGAACAATGTATGGCAAATATGGAGCCAAAAAAAAATCTGCAATACTATTTTAGCAGATATATCCGCTTTATGTAGTTATGTAATTTAGCTATCATTGTTATTTAGTTGTTTTGTTTATGGATTATATTTACAAAGTAATATTTAGATTATTATTTGAAATATAAAACGTTATTACTTATAAATATGAATTATTTCATCATCATGTAAGAGAGATAAAACTTGTCTTTTACAATATTTCATTTTATTTTATAGTTTAGGATATACACCTATAAAATTACTAATAGACGAAATATTGCTGAAACACTCTTTGTTTAGTGGACATTTTGACAAGAAAATATAAACCACTATTTTTTTTAAATCTATATATCTATACATATAATAAAATTTTAATTGAGTCAAACCTGTACATAAAATATTTTTTGGAAAATCTTATTGAAATAGTCATTATTATCGATATAGAGGCCTAATCTATAGTTTTTCGAATTTTTATCTGTAGTCTGTCTGGGAACGCATGACGAGAAAACCACTAGACGGATCATTTTGATGACATTTGGTATGATAATAGTTGGTTATACAAGTCAACATATAGGATACTTTTTACTGCGGGAAAATATCTCATTTCTGAGAAATCTATATTAAACTAATATGTTGTAGAAATATAATATGTGATTGGACCTTTGTCCTTTGTCTTATACCATGGTACAAGGCTATTTATAAAAGATTAAGAGATAACTTGAGGCAACATTAGTGGAAAAATTCAAATTAATATTTATTTTCAGCCGACGATCAAAAATATTCAGACGAGATAACGAAACACATAGAGATAGTGACTATAGACGAACCGGCGCGTTTGTTGGAACACCACGCGCTGTTCAGCAGTAGGCGGCACATGAACTACACGTGCGAGCCCTGCGCCTTGGGGTTTGTGGTGGAGGAGGCCTACCACATGCACATGAGGATTCACTCGCCTGTATGTTTCGAGATAAATCTTTTAATTTTATTTCTTTATTATTTTTAATAGTTTTACCAAATACAGGAAGATTTATCATCAGTTTCATCTTAGGATTGAGGTTTTTTTGGTTGATTCGAAATAGGACTTAATGGAATCGGGTCTAGTGGTTAGCTTGTGTGGCAAATCCGCAGGTCCTGGGCTCGACTCCACGGTCAGGATAAATATAGTTATTTGTTTTTTTTGTCAATAAAGATTTATTGACAAAAATATCGGTAAGAATACCGAGATCAGTAACAGTTCAATTTTGGGTGCTTTACTCCAGTGCCTATGAGCGTACGTTCTGACAATACAATAATTTGATTATAATCAAATTAATGTTGAATTTTTTTTTTCAAAAATTTAGCTCTGCAGTATAATATCTCCTGCGCTGGCGAGTCTCCAATAAAATAAAATTGACTGCCATGGCTGAAATTAGTCGGTGGGACATGATCACAAAATGCTTTTGGTCTTTCAGGAGAATGGCGACCACCAATGCGACATATGCCAGGCTCGCGTGAAGACGGCCGATGTACTGTACCGCCACAAGTTACGCCATTACCGCCGGTATATATTTTTTTTAATTTAAAGCATATAAAGTGAAACAGTTTTTTTTATTATTAGTCCGGCTGAATTTCTTTCGCCAGTTCTTCTCAGGTCTGAGGCTTCTTCTTTCCGAACTGGTGGTAGACTCATGACGGTCGGTAATAAATTAATGCTGAATAAAATATTTTGAATTTTTAATTCAATTTCATATACATCAAGTAAGAATAATCTTATAATGTTAAATAAGCAGTTTTTGTATTAAATTTTATCTTTTTTATTTTATATATTTCGGAAATGGCTTATTATAACAGGTATCGCTGCGCCATCTGTCTGCTGCAGCTGCGGGACAAGGACACGGTGGCGGCGCACGTCATGCGCGAGCATCTCGGCGCTGCCTTTATCTGCACGCACTGTGGACGGGATTTTAAGTGAGTCTTGTTTTATTTGTTGATTTTCATGATTTTAAAAATACCTATGAAAATTAAAAAACCCATGAAATTGTGAACAAAATCCGCCCACATAGGGACGTGCCGGAGCAAAGCGAGGATAAGTCGCTAGTATATATAAAGTCAGTTTTTGAGTAAATGGCTATGATATAGGGACAAACGAACATGACAAAATTAAAAGGTTATTGAAATTTTATTATTTACTAGGCGGCTCATACTAGCTTCGCTCGGGTTCGTCCCTAGGTTAATTCCCCATGCACACTTTCATCCTCATTTTCACTCCCTTAATTGATAATTTCAGAAATAAAAAATATCTTATGTACTTCCCAGGGTCTCAAACTATCTTTATAGCAAATTTCATCTAAATCAGTCCCGTCATTTTTGAGTTTATTCATTACAAACGTACAAAAATACAAATCTTTCTTCTTTATAATCGTAGTGTAGATGTAGATTATTATTATTATATAAGAGTAACTAAGAAATCATTAATTCACTAAACAAAATGTATTATTTCCAGGCGTCCCCAGTATCTGAAAAGGCACGTGGAGCAAATGCACACCCGCCCCCTGCACCTGGAGTGTCCGGTGTGCGGCCGCGTGTTCTACGAGAGGGGCTGGTTTCGGTGTCATGTTAGGCGAGTAGTGGTTTTAGATTTCTAAACATCGATCAAAAAAGTACTAGATACACAATCAGCGACAAAAAATGTCCTCGAATGAATGAGCGCTTATTTGAACATTTGAGCGCGCTTTTATTTTATTTTTTTGTAAAATCAACTTTAAGCATTGCATTTAAGGTTCAATTTATATTGTTGTATATTTATTTGAACTAGAATAATTATCTTAACAAAATTGGTGACAGTTTTAAGAGAACTTTTGTATGGGATTGTGTGTCTAGTACTTTGTTGATCGATGGTCTTAAATACGGTTTTTATTGTATTGCTGTTATAACCTATTTTATTAGGGATACATTGAACGATTGTTGTAAAAATTTTTGTGAACATTTTTAATATTAAGTTAGTTATAAAAAGGACAAATAACTAATTAGTACTTTTTATCTCGGAAATCATCCCTTAAGGGGGTGAAAATGAGGATGAAAGTTTGTATGGGAATCAACTAAGGGACGAACCAGAGCGAAACGAGGGTGAATCGCTAGTTATAAATATAAACACCCATGACGAGTACAAACATTCGTGCTCATCACACAAATGAATACCCCCAGCGGGAGTCGAATCCGCGACCGCTGGCACAGCAAGTAGGATACCTACAAACTGAGCCAAACGTGTCGTCATAATAGATGGGTAACATTCCAGAACGCACAACGAGGAGGTGCGCAAGAACATCGACCGCAAGGCGATATGCTCGGAGTGCGGGCGCGAGTTCCGCAACAAGGCGTACCTGGTGCGGCACCTGCACACGCACGAGGACCGGCGCCGCGCCGCCTGCCCGCACTGCCGGCGCGCGTTCAAGAACGCGGAGGTGCTGCGCGTGCACCTGCGCCAGCACCACGCACGGGACCGCCTGTGAGTCACACACATACACATGCACACACACGCTGGGAGAGAGAGAGATGCACACGTACGCACACATACACGCGCGCGTGCACACACAACTAAGGTGGAGCGATTTTTTTTTTCTTTACATGGAGGGCAGAATTTGTAGCTTATAAAAAAAACTTGAAAATATTTTTATTTTTTCAACATTTTGAGGTGGTCCACAATTTTTTTTTAGAGTGATAATCTTTGAAAACATTCAAGAATTGACGAATATAGTCATTTTCTCTATATTACAAAAAACAGTAACATTATTGTTTCAACGTTTTTAAAATTGCAACGTTATAGTGAAAGTTAGGTAGAAAATTACTATATTTGTCAATTCTTGAATGTTTTCAAAGATGTTCACGAAAAAAAATCAAACCAAACATTTAAATTGATTATTTATTTTAAAAATCGATGGGCCACCTGAAAATGTTAAGAAAAAAAAAACTTTTTTTTATAAGCTTCCAAGCCGCTTCCGCCTTCCGCTCTGAATATAGTCATTCATAAGAAAACACGCTGGTTTTATTTTTAAGTTATAATATGTAACTTCCTAACTCCTCCGATAAATATATTTGACTTAATATGGTACTCGAACCCAGGACATCTACATCTGCATCTGAATATGTTAGATGGTATGGAAAATTTTAATACATTTTTTTTTCAGGAATGAAGACGGCACCATCGTACCGAATCTCACAGGGCGCAGCTACGCCGGTCCATTGAGAGAGAGGGGGTATGTTCAAATGTTCTATTTGTTACCGCGGGAGATTATCTCACTCCCACGGGAAAACACGTTATAATACAACCCACAACAACTCGTCATTCCTATGTATACATATCTATACATATAATAAAATTCTGAGTCGAACCTCTACATTAAATAGGTTCCAAAAAATCTTATTGAAATAGTCATTATTATCGATACAGAGGCCGAATCTAGTTTTTAAAATTTTTGTCTCCCTGTCTGTCTGTCAGTGACCACATCACGGAAAAACCACTGGACAGATTTTGATGAAATTTAGTATGATGATAGTTGATTATCCGGGTCAACAACATACAGGATACTTTTTAATGCGTGAAAATATCTCATCTCTGAGAAATCTATACTAATGTATAATATAACTGTCCGTCAGTGCGCAGTGCAACACGACATGCCTGCAGTGCGGGCGCGTGCTGACCACGCGCGCCATGCTCATGCGCCACACGCAGCGCATGCACACCGACCACACGCGCAAGTGAGTACTGCACACCGTGTATGCTGTTTGTTTTGGAGATTTATGGGAAAAATAGAATAATGGGGAAACTTCCCAAATGTGCAGAAAATATTGTAGTGCGCAGTTATGTGTGCAGAGTGCAGACATAAGTGCGCTTTCTATACTACGTTTCTAACTTTAAAACTCTAGTGGAATGACAATTCGAAACTTGCGGTAGAATATCAAACGTGCAACACAGTCACCTCCTCAATTTCGGGCTATTATTGAGGTTTTTTTGGTAGAAAAATTCAATAATTTTCACTAGACAATCAAAGCAAAACAACCCTAACCCTTAACTTATAAGATCCTCAAGTTCATTTTACTTGAAGAGTCATTGAAATATAAAAACTTTTTTTTTATAATTAACAAATGCAGCGTAATCTTTGCAAAAATAGGTCTTTAAAAATGACATTTTTTTATTTAACCTAATAATACTTAGTGATTGTAAAGTCGCTATACCTACGATCTACAGTTTGCTTGAAAAATATTTATAATATGTGTGTGTGTGTGTGTGTATGCAGATTCCAATGCGACTACTGCAAGAAATGGTACTTCACGAAGGCGGAGGTGCGGTCGCACATCGAGTGGACGCACCTGCAGCAGCGGCGCCACGCCTGCGCGTGCGGCCGCGTGTTCCGCACGCCCGCCCGCCTGCGCGCGCACGCCTGCGCCGCGCACCTGCGCATCCCGCCGCCGCGCGATAAGAGCTGCCCCATCTGCGGGAAGTGCTTCGCGGTGGGTACTCGGTGCTCTGCTATGTGTTACTCTGTGGCACAATACACAGCACACTACACTACTCTGTGACACACTACACTACTCTGTGGCACACTACACTACTCTGTGGCACACTACACTACTCTGTGACACACTACACTACCCTGTGGCACACTACACTACTCTGTGGCACACTACACAACTCTGTGGCACACTACACTACTGCGTGTTACAATACACTACTCTGTATTATTGACGATCCAAAAGTGCTTGTAATAAAGTATAATTTGATTTGTGTTACAATACGTGACGCTCTCTACACTACTCTGTAAGACAATACATTTCTCTGTGTGTCACGCTACCTACCCTGTGGCTCATTACACTATAACGTGCCACATTAAGCTGTGCATACTACTGTCAATTTTATCTCCTTTATTTTGCGGTTTGCACTAACGAAAGAAGATAAATAAATAATAATTTAAAGTAATATAAACTTATTTCATGAAAAGAAAATGATAATATTACCTTCTATATTAAGTAGGAATAAAATACATAATAAAAAAATGGAATCCAAACAATTTTTTTACACAATACAATATTTGTAAGTAATTTTATACATAGTACATACACAGAACTTCTTCCAATATTTAATTGTTTTTAATATCATATTACAGAATCGTCAAGTCCTCACCCGTCACATCCGAGGCCACTCCGGAGAGACGTACCCTTGTATGGAATGCGGACAGAAATTCAAAACTCAATCCTATGTAAAGGTCCATTACAAACTAAAACACCTCAACATGACCCGTGCTGAGATAAAAGCCCAGACAAAAAGAAAATTATTAATGGTGAATAATGTCGACGAAATAATGAATGCGAAAGTTAAAAACGCAGTAAACAATAGCACCGGTGAAGACCCCTTGAATATAGGGAATGAGGGTTTAATAGAAGTAAAGAAGGAGCCAGATTTGGAAGTGCCCTCCTTCGAAACGTTTCTAGGGATACCGCGCGAGTATTGATTTAGCTAATTGTTTGTGTGAATGTGTAGTTTGTTTGGTTGTTGTGGGAAGATCTCTGGTAGTGAGTTTGAATTTAATTTACTTTTTTTTAATTTATTATAGATAAATCAAGGTTTAGAGAATTTCCTAGACAGATAAAAATTGTAAAACCTATATTAGGCCTTTGTATCGATAATAATTATTATTTCAATAATATTAATGATTTTCCAAAACATATTTAATGTACAGATTCATCTCAGTTAGAATTTTGTTATACGTACAGATTATGTAGCTCATAAATCCTTACTATATTTTAATGTAAATTAGGTTTACAAATACTTTTTTTTATATATTATAATTTTTCAATTTTCAACATCAGAGTCTTCCTACGATGGTCAAATTAAATAAGAATAATCGCTAAAGGGTATTGTTTTATTTATAAATAAATATAGTTATGTGCTTGACGGGTAAATGAATGGCTGCTATGGAAAACTTAATCACAGGTCAGAGCTAAAATGGCCCAACTCTCACAATTACTATTAATATATATTACTAGCAGAACCCGCGGCTTCGTCCGCGTTCAATCTACAAAAAAACTCTTGCTTTATGTTATACAGGGACTCGCCCTTGCCTCGCTCACGTTCGTCCCTATGCATATTTATATGATATTAAATTATTTGGATAGTGCTCATATAAAAATACAAAAATCGCCATTAAAAAAGCCGTGTGATGGCAGGAGGGTGAAAAATACTTTCCGACCTATATCATTAAAATTAATCTTATTTAGAAACAGGCTTATTTAGAAAGTTTATTCGTTTTTGGACGATACGTTTGGCTCAGTTTGTAGTGACCCTACTTGCTATGCCAGCAATCGCAGGTTCGAGGCCCGCTGAGGGTATTCATTTGTGTGATGAGCACGAATGTTTGTACTCCAGTCATGGGTGTTTATATTTAAACTTACAGTGGAACTAGATAGTGCTGTGTGTCAATGTCCCAAAATATTTATTTATTCAATAAAAAGAACATCGATTGATATTACAAAATGTTAATATATTCTCTAAAGTAATTAATAATTTTACAAGGTCTAGATATTATGGTGCTCGTACTTCATACAAATATATACACATCATACCTCCACATATTATGTAGATTTAAAAAACCGTCGACATATCTATTTGTTTTGGTCGTTATTTCTTTATTCAATTAATCTAATCTTTAAGTTAGGCCATTTTCGCTCTGACCTACTCATATTGCCTTCAAACATTGCCACTGCCAGATAAACGTTTTAAATATATGTAGACATATGCAATAACATGAAGTGATTTAATTAAAATAAAAATAATTTTAATTATATTTGGACGGAGTTATGCAAAATAGATTCATCCACAAAAACTTAAGTTTTGAGAAAATAGGAGGAGTAAATTTGGTATATCAAAATAACAAGTCTGTAGTTTTTTTTTGAAATTTCTCTTAAATATTTCATATTTTATCTACTTTCTGAATATTAGTTGATATATAGGTGTCATTTATGGCAGTAACTCAAAAAACGGTTTTGGTGGGTTGGATCCATTTTGCATAACTATGTTCAAGTAGGCTGTCAAATGTGTAATTAAATATGTCGATTAGATGTATAGTGAAGTTACGAATAAACTCTTATTTTTGTTAGTATAATATAATATATAAGTAGTTCGACATTATTTCACCTGTTGTAGAGCTAATATTAAAATTTAAAACCGGTTAAGTGCGAGACGGTCTCGCACACAAAGGGTTCCGTACCATCGTGGAAGATATAACGCTACGTATTATTTTTATCTTAATTTTGCATGGCCGCCATTTTGAAATTCGCCTATGCAGCGATAGAAATATACACTGAAAATTACAACTCCTATTACGGTTCATGAGATACAGTCCGCTGACAGACAGATAGACGGCCGGTAAGGCTTAGTAATAGAGTCCCGTTGGCACCTTTCGGGTACGGAACCCTAAAAATTGTGTCGCGAGAATCGAACTGGCTACCTCTAACCCAATACTTAAACAGGCATTGATATGATTTATTAATTATTTATTGTAAACGTTGTGATAAACTTTAGATTCTAGGTACAAAGTTATTTAAACTTATGGCAAGTAAAAATAACCCTTATTACTGTCTCATTACAATGTTGCCATCATATGGACTATACTTCTTATTGTATTTCATACTAATTTTATATTTGTAAAAAAAAACACCTATTAGTCTACTACAGTCCCCAACGGATTCCTGTATTAGTATAAGAAAACTCGTTAAATTGAATTTACATATATTCGGTGACAATATCGCATTAAAAATATAGTCGAATTAACAACCTCCATTTTAGAAGTCGGTTTAAAATAATTTCTGACTTTAAATACTCTGCTAGTGCCAGATGGGAATAGAAAATATCAAGGAATAACATTGTAGCTCATTATATTAGTAATAAAGGGGATCGAACAGTTTTCTATGAAATTTGATAGCAATCCGCATTTTTTTAAAGTACGAGTAGAACTGTACGATGAATCTAGTACGAATGAAGAGACCATATTTAAATAAGTAAATAATATCATTAATACCGTGCACGAAATATACTTTTTTTCGAGATATATAAATAATTAGAGTTCATTTTTAATGAATTTCAATATTTACACATGTCGTCTTATATAGTTATTTTTCAAATCTCGCAAACGTGAAACTCTAGGCATTATATTGTCAATACTTATACATTTATTTATGTGCCTTCTATTCGTATCTACTTCATTGTGCGCCGTAAGTTTAGAAAAAAAATTGCGGAATGTTGGCAATGCCATTTTTTTTTAATTATCACAACACAGCTACAAAGTTATTCTCTGCATGTGTCGAAGAATTACATCAAATCACAAATGCTATATATTTTTATTGTAATACGTAGTTTATTAGTCAATTCAATTCTTAAAAAGTAAGCATATATCTAATACAAGTATTGTTTTAGTACAGATAAAAATTTCGTATTTACGATAATTTGTCCTTCTCACTCGAAAGTGTTGCGAATTCAGTAGGTAGAACAAAGATAGAGATATTAGCTATCGCACTCTACTACTCTCAAGCTATGTTTAGACTACGACACAAATTGCGACATAAATGTCGGATATTCATTACTGTACTGTTCACACTTACAAAATGTTAGTGTATATATAAATGGACGGAAATGGTTGATGTTTGTCCGAGCCGCCTTTCATACGTCCTTAGTCCTTACTTCACGTGAAACTCATTTTTAAGTGCTATTTTCTATGCGGTGCGGTGTATTAAACATGTTGCATTTACGCACGACGTGTGGGACTCACCGGCGTAATAAAGCCAGTACTACCCACTAAAACAACAAAACCTTCCCACGTCTTAATGGGGCGTCGCAGGATCGCTTACGCATTCAACTACGACGCCCCGACGGCAGGTCTGCCGAAGCAGACCACAACAACCACGGGGTTGCTCCACAGTCCACTCTGCTATCAGAGAAGTACCAGAAGCAACCCGCATGGTACACTGCCCTCCGAAGAGGGCCACCTCCCACCGCCCACCGAAGTGGGCCACCTCCCTGTGCGTTTCTTGGCTTCGCGCCCGGTTGGGTTGCCGGGCACTACTGAGCCCCCCCACCACGACAAGGTGAACGCACGTTGGGGGGAGGGGAAACATGTCGAACCTGTTCGAAAAATTTTCAACCACACGAGACACTTGACACAGCCGCTGATACAATATTAATTATTGTGTTACCATAAATTTCGCAATTAGAGATACTAGCGTGGACACTGAGACACTATGTGTACACTGAGTGTGCCGTGTACAGTGTCTCAGTCTAAACTAGGATTTAGAGCGCAACAATATGGAGTATGTATTAGATATATGCAAATAAGAGTAAATTAATTTATTTGTACTTTACATTACAATAGGTTATGTTAATGATCTCTAAGATAAAGTAAGGTTTTTGTTATTTGTTTCAATTACCAGAATATGTATTATAAGGGTCAATTTTTACATAATAATATAATTAAATATTAATTATACTGTACATAGTGTATGTTATTTATTGCCATAACAAAGAGGGATTGTCGAGTGAACTGTGAAAGGATACTTATGTAGATAGGTACACTAAATTATTCATAAGGACGTAGTTATGCAAAATAGATCCGACCACGAAAACCGTTTTTTGAGTTACTGTCATAAATGGCACCTACATATCAACTTATATACAGAAAGTAGATAAAATACCGATATTTAAGGAGAATTTAAAAAAAACTACAATCTTGTTATTTTGTTATACCAATTTTACTAAAACTCCTATTTTCTCAAAAGTAAGTTTGTGTGATTTAATCAATTTTGCATAACTACATTCAATTAATCGTAGGAGATTCCGGTGTGTGGCAGATCCCTCACTATTTATATCGAAATATATTTTTAAACAAAAAAAAAACATTACCAAATACGACCGAAAAAAATCTCCATACTAAACGTTTTCAAAACAAAATAGCCGAGACATATTTTTTGCGACAAGACTGGGTCGTGTTTTATGGTTTAAAAAATATAGGTATTTCGCTAGGAAAAGAATCCCTTATTCTCATTTATTCCACTATACATATATCGGGTCTTACGGCCGATTTCACCAACGTCACCTAAGTTTAAGGGATCCCCTAAGCATGGTTAGGGGGCTGTTAGGGTACAGTTTCTGTTTCACCGACAGTTCGTCGTCACCTAAATATAGGTAGTAGAAATACGGTCTCTGAAGATGGTAAAACGAAATTTAATTTAGGGGAACATTTAAGCTAAGGGATCCCATACGTAGCTTATGTAATGTTGGTGAAATCGGGCATAAGTAAAACAGACGACCGAAGCGAGGGTATAGTCGTTAGTACTTCGATTGTCGATTCTCTTCTACAAAAACATCTTTATTCTTTAACTAAGATATATCAGCTTTTGATGGGTTCTTATAAAAAAAAAACAGGAAATATAAAAAAAATAGAAAGTATAAAAAAATATTTATTTAAAAAATGAATAGAACATTCTTAAAAACAAAGTTACACTTTTGGGTGTTGAACACAATTTAACTTTTGAGTTTAATAATTATTTAATAGTTATTTTGTAAAAGAGAATCAAGAGAAACAATTTTAAAACTAAAAAAAAAAACTCTTAGATTATACAATTTTTAAAATTCAAAATCAGTAACAAATAAACAGTTTTCTTAAAATAAAACTATTCAAATACTCATATGGTATACCTCTGCATAAATCACTCTTCTCTTAGTTGAAAACTGCCTTATAGCAGATTTATTCATTATTTTACTTTTTACTAAGTATATGAGAAAACCTTTGCAGTCTTGGCAGGTTTTGAAGCCAGGGGGTGGGGGAGGGTGCAAATGGATACACTTACACCCTCCTGCCATGAAGGAAAATACCTAATAAAATTATATTAGTAAAATCCCTGTTTAAATTTTGACATTTTCAATAACACAAGTGATCAATAAGATATGAATACAAATTATAAAGTTAATCGTTTAAAAGATTAATTAGTAGTTTAATATGAAGAAGCAGATGCACCCCGCTGGAAATAATTCTGCTGCTGCTCGTGTATGAAGTTAACATATTTCTAAACTCTCACCCCATACATTTTGAATGACAGGTATAATGGGCATAAATTCATCAATACATTGAAGAGCATCTCTCAAAGAAGGAAAAGAATTATTTGAAACATGATGATCAGTCACATTTTTATCTATTGGGGCTATTACCCAATCACTCACACCAGCTCTATTTATTGCTCCGGTGGGTTCATTACTGAAGCCTGTATCAGTAACAAATCTGATGCTAACTGAACCTATCGAAAAGGCTATTTGTCGTCTACGAATCATTATTTTAGGTACATCATCCTTAGGTATGTTAAGAGTTAGAAATATACCAGAGGGTTTTTCTATTGTAGTTCGTTCATAGCTGCACAGATTCCACAATGTCATATCACACCAACGATTTTGTGCAATAAGAACCCGTTGTAACAAATCTATCTCTCCATTAAAATCAGGCAAAAATAAAGCCACTTTCACTTTTCCTGGTATATCTTGCTGATCTATCACAGTGAGATTGCATTCTTCTGTGGGCAAATGTAATTTTGATATTACATCTTTCAACCAAGTTAGAGTTTTTTCATCTAGACACCACAGCTTTAATACTCCTTCACTATAACATGGATTTTTGTTGAATGCAGGATATATTATATTAGCACTTGTTGGTTGAGTGCAAGTGGCAATAATAATTTTGTGTAGTTCATCTTTTATAAAATTTGCCTCTTCTTCTGTAAGGTCTCTTTTGGATTTAGTAGATATAGCTATATTTAAATATGCCCGAGTACTAGCACAGTTACTTAGGTTTGTTGTACATATAGAGTTTGTGCATAGCTTTTTGGGGCCCTCTTGAATATTAGTGCTATCATGTATGGCACGCTTCCTTGTATTGGCTTTAATGTTTGTTGTTTCCTTTAATATTATGGCATTCACTCTATTTTGGTTACTTATCATAGATTGTAAATTATGTTGCACGGCCATCCCTTGGTGCATTTCAAAGTCAGTGACACTTGATAAATTATCAACAAAAAATTGACTATTGTCCTCACTACAAATGCTAGTTTGGCAACTTAAGCGATAGGGGTCTAAACTCACACTGATTCCAAAGTCACAAGATATTTTTATACCTGAAATGGAATGATAATGATAAGTTTTTTTGTTAAAATCTGTAGATTTAATATTAAAAAAATAGAAGGATATATGAGCATTCAGAAAAATTAAGATCAAAGTAAACACCATATCTTTCACTGCATGTTTGAAATAGTTTGGTTAGTATTAATAATATGTGAAAAAAAAATATATAAATTTTCTTTACATATTAACTCTAGTGCCTGATTATTATTAGAAATCCATAATATAAAAACAAATTTAGATTAAAAGCTGACCTTTCTTGTTGAGAGTATTTTTATGTAAATTTAACATAGCAATAAAGCCGGCTCTAGAAACTGCATATGGAGAGCCTCCCCACACTGCCTCATAAGAACTCTGTTTAGTTGCTTTTATGTACTGATACATGAACAACTTGATGTGGTGAACAGTTAACTTTATATTTTCAAACCGATACTTTAATACATTTGGAATAATATGGCCATAGTTGTATTTTAAAGTACAGTAAATCACAGTGCTGGTACCGTTTCGCAATATTGGAAAAAGTTCGTCACATATCGTCATAACAGCCAAGCAATTAAAATACGATACTGTTTTCGCTTTAACATGCAAACAGACATTCGGATTAAAATCACAATTATATGTAGCAGTATTTATTAAGACATCTATACCTCCATAATCGCGTTTTAAATCATTTCGCATAATACAGATCTTTTTAGTTAAACTACCTAGCTTTTTGAAGTTCACATTAAGGTGGTTTATAATATGACCTCTTTCCTTAAGTGCAGCGAGGTTTTTTACTTCTAATCGGCCTTGTGATATTATGTAGACAGTCCCTTTACAATGATTTGCAACCGGGGCGAAACCATCACCAACTTGGCCAATTATTACGGTAACTAAGGAACTCATTTTTTAAAGTTTTTTCATAGGTTTATTAATCTTTGTTTCATTAGTTGCAAGATCACAGTCACTTATAACTACCTAACTAAACTAAAATAAAACAGAATTTACAAGGTGAAATAAACTGCTTCTAACAATCCACCTACCTCCTATTTTCCGAACTTCAATTCAAATTTCAAAAACGCGCGATATTTCATGTAAACGACATTACCATAGATTAAGTAGGTAACCTTTTTGAGACATTCTAAGAAGTTAAAAGCACAGTTTAAGGAAAGAAGACTACAATTTATGTAGAGTGCCCACTAAAAAAGTATTCAGATAAAAATATTAGATTTTATATTTTTCAGAATTTGCTACATCTACAATATAGGTATTTACTCAACATAAAGGTATTATAGGCAAATAAAAAGTAATAAAAAAAACGTGTGTGTACTTACTTAAACTGATATATAGGATACTTTTTACAGCGTTAAAATATCTCATTTCTGAGAAAAAATAGAAAAACTGCAATGTAAGAATATACTAATTTGTAAAACCTAAGAATTTGGTTTTTGATCATCTGATCGCGGGCGGAGCCACGGGCAATGATAGTGTACGTATAAGAAGTTACCTATACTTCTTTGGCGTAGCAAAACAAAAATAGCTAAAGATTTCATCCCGTATTTCACAACTTTCTGTTTGTAAAAGGAATGCAGCTAACTTCATCATGTCGCTTTTTGGCTGTCGGTGTGCGCGCGAATCTTAAAAATTTTACTCTTATATTTTTTTTCAAATGTCTCAAAGGCAAAAAGAAGTAAATTTTCAAAAAAAACATATTAGTCCACAGTCCCCAATGGGTATATTATGATTAACTAGCGGCTCACCCTAGCTTCGCTCGGGTTCTCTTCTAGAACAGCACAAATAGATCTATCCCACCGTTCATTTTTCGGGATAAAAAGTAACCTGTTGTTTGACCAGCATTATAAGGTATTAGGATGCCATTTTACTAAATTAGGTGCATAAGTTGTTGTGTACTAAGCTGTTTAAGTTCTATAGTTTTAATTATCTCACGGGAACTCCTTAATTTTCCGGGATGAAAAGTATCTAAGATGTTGACCGGGGATATAAGGTACCACCATGCAAAATTTCATTGAAACCCGTCCAATAGATTCGGAGATTAGCCCGTACAAACAGACAGAGAAACAAATAATTTGAAAAAAATCTGGATTTGTTCTATTTCTCTTCTTACTCCGAACCGAGTCAGGGGGTGACTCGGTTTTTACCATATTTTTTCTACGTAGGTACAGACATTATACCTCTACAGTTTTATTATATGTATAGATTTCATTATTAATTGGGACAACAGAAATAGTTTTACATTAATACTTAGTATTTTATTGAAAAATGATATTACCTATATATTTATAAGCGCTAAGTGCATTATCATATTTTATTAAATGACTAGCATTGCCCGAGGGTCCGCCCGCGTTCAGATGACCAAAAACCAAATTCTTACGGTTTTACATATTAGTATAATAGCGGCTATTATACAGAGGCAGAATCTAGTTTTTTTTTAGAATATTTGTCCGTCTCTCTTTTACCGCATCACAGAATAACCACTGGAGGGATTTTGATGAAATTTGGTATGGTGATAGCTGGTTATCCGGGTCAACATATAGGATACTTTTTACCGCGGGAAAATAACTCATTTCTGAGAAAAAAATACAAAAACTGCATTGTAAGAGTGTGCTGATATGTAAAACCTAAGAATTTGCTTTTTGGTCATCTGCACGTGGGTGGAGCCGCGGGCAATGCTAGTATGATATATAGCCTATAGCCTTCTTCAATAAACGGGCTATCAAATGCAAAAAGAATTTACAATCAAACTGCCTCTTTATAATATTAGTATAGATTAAATATAATTATTAATTGATTAAGCTGAAATGCAAAATATATATATTTTCAGGTGTCTGTTATAATGCATAAGACTGATAAGAACATGCTACTTAAATACTAAGAAAATCCTTCAAAAACCTTAAGCCTCATATCACATGTTATTTAGAAAACATATCTATCACAAATTTCTCAATGCAGGTATTAATTAAAAATAAAGATTATAGATATTTTAATATTTTTCTTCAGGTTTCTCTCCATTCCAGTTAAAAATTCTCTTGTCGAACCACACATATTCTCCTCTGACAGTGTCAGGAGCATCCAAGGCTAAGTACAGTGGTGCTTGAGCCCCCTCATCTATAGATAGCACACCCTTGTGTGAGGACATGTCAGTATTCACATAGCCAGGGTGAACTGCATTCACTTTTATATCTGAAACAATTTATTGATACAATTAAAACTTTTAAATGTATAGTTATTTTGTAACTTTAAACTGGTGGAACACTATTTTTATATTTAATGTTCATAATTGAAAATCTGCCACAGTACAATAAAACATTTAAAATATTATTACAGAGATAAAACATTATCCATCCATCCATTATATGTTAATCCATCTCTCATTAGCTATGTTTACTATACACATACCTCTATCATTGAGCAATCTTTGCTGTATCTTAGTCAAGGCTGTTAAGCCAACTTTAGAAACAACATATGATGAGTTTCCCCATTCCGCTGCATGAGTGCCTTCTTTAGCTGCTTCAACATACTTATTCATCAATTCTGAGAGTTCTTGAGTGGTCAAGTTAGGGTCTTGGAAGCGTTTTCTTAGTGTCTCGCTGGGAATAAGGCTTAAGTGACCAGCAGAACTAGAAATATTAACCACACGACCGCCATTGCGCATAATAGGGAATAAAATATCACATGTCGAAAGCACTGAGAAGTAATTAACGAATAGCGTTTGTTCTGCTTGAACTGCAACTGGTTCCGGAGCTTTGGTTTTGAAAGCGATAGCGGCGTTGTTAATTAGAATATCTATAAATCCATATTTTTCTTTCAAATAGTCTCGAAATGTTGTAATGCTCTGCTTATCTGTTATGTCTAGTTGATGATAGTTAGGATGTAAACCTTCTTGGTTCAGGGCGGCGACTGCAGCAGCTCCTCGCTTTTCATCCCGCGATGTGAGGTACACTATTCCTTCAAATCGTTTACAAAGGCCTCGAACTATAGCAAAACCAACACCTTTATTAGAACCAGTCACGACAGCTATTTTAGTCATTTTGTAAATAATTAACAATTTTTTTAACAGTTATTCAGTAGTATGTTATGCTGTAGTACAAATTTTATCTACACTGAACTTATCTGATAACTCCTAAAGTAAATTATGTAGATAGTAAAATAAAGATAACAGAAACAACAACTTGTTATTGATAATTGTGTTTTGTAGTAAGTACTAAGTACCTACTAGTACTCAGTCACCAGTCAGGCCAGCACTCAGTATAAAAGCACTTTCAATCTGTAATCTGGCTGTATGTATACACTATACAGTACTAGCAGAAGTCAGAACCCGCAGCTTCACTCGCGGCTCGCGCTAAAACTACAAAAAATCTAAAATGGTAGGTTTCATACAAACTTTCGTCTGCTATTTTACCTCCTTATGGTATGAATTTCGACAAATGCTAAACTACGTATTTAATTAATTGTATTGAAGAACATTTATACCAAGTTTCAATAATTCTGATCATAAATATTTTTTGGATTGTATTTTAACGTGTTTCCCGTGGGAAAGAGAAGCTCACCAGCTGGTCAATTTAGCAAGTAAAAAGTGGCTTCACATCGTCGAAGACGATAATTTCTTTATTATTACGTCTCTCTCTAACTTATTCATCTCTTACTAAGATAAAGCAGTAAAAGTTACAAGTTTATTGTTTTAGTTTAATACCAGTCCTCCATGCTTGTTATTGCTGAAAGTTGAAAACAGTTATGCGGGTTATATGAATTTTCGAATATTGCCGTTAATATAGCGTTATGTTTGTTCATTTTTTAAGATTTTGTTTTATTTTTACCTGTCTTGTGATTTTTGAAAAGTTACTTAAATATAACTAAAAATTGTTTTTTACATACATGTTACATGAACTGATCAAAAGTTATGTAAAATGTAAAAAATGTAACCTTCTGGCAACACTGTAACGCGGCCGCGAATCACTATGTCAAAATTCAAAAACTTCGCAATTCGCATCAGGGTTGCTAATTTAATGTTTAGAGTATCGTACCATTAGCCATACACTAGGAAGAAAAGTATTTTGCTAAAAAGTCCAGAAAAAAATTGTACGCATTGTAATTTCAGTAAAACAATTGTAAATGATATAAATATGTAATATTATTATAACTTCAAATCAACATTTAACATTTAGGGTAAAACATTTAACATATTATGGTATTTAGATACGAATAATGAGTGATTTTCTGAATCTTGGTTACCAGAATTTGGACATTAATTTACTAACTAAAATCAACTAAACAAGTTCATATTTGCCATAAAGGCGTAACAGACAAGGGGACAGCTGTGAGGCGTGCTTACTAAGCAGTGTGCCACGTATTTGTGGAGCGTGCTTCACTATGTGTAACTCAGCTCAGAGCCGGTTCAAATATTCAGTTCACAGTAGCTAGAGCCGTTGAGCTGCGGCTCAGTTGCTAGATAATCGGTTCACAGCTCAATATTACTTAATATGGCTCCGTGCATCACTTCAGCGCCACCTAACGTCAGCTATTTCGATGGACCCGAGCCGACGGACCTGTACTATAGTCTATAATCTATATTATTATACTCTTTGCGACGGACGGTATGACATTTCATCGCGACGTAAAGATATAATTGCATGAAATTAGCATTCCCCTATAATTGTGTAAAAACGAAAAAATATGACTATAATAACTTTTTTCGAAATGCTGCTTTATTACATACAAATATAATTTAGGTACATCATACATGTCATTTGTTTGAACAGAGTCATAAATTAGCTGTAAATCTATAGTTATAAGTACCCATACAACATCAATTGAGCTGAACTGTGAGCCGGTTCACAGCTCCGGTTCAAGCATATGACTCATGAGCTGACCTGCAGCTCATAAAAATTCATTGAGTTACCCATGTCTAAGCGTGCTTAATGCTTGTTAAGCACGCTCCACCTTTCACAAAGTGTACTTAAAGAAATAAGGATAGCATGAGACCAAAGACAATAAGTATAAAATACACCAATATTGAAATATAATCTATACAAAGTCCCTTCTGAGTTCCGTTGAAACGCTCGATCCGTGGGCCGTGCCTATTCTTCTCGCGTTCTATTGTTTTTTTGTGTAGGCTCTGACGTATTTTTAACCGTTGTATGGCATGAACTATATCTTTACTGCTCTAACTTGCACTAAGAGTAGGGAATAAAACAAGGATGGCATACTGCCATATGTTAAGTCTCTAAAACACACCAATAACAGCTACTAAATAAACTAAACTTTTCAAAGGTCGTTAGTTGTTAAGCGTTACTTGCTGCTCGCCGCTCGCCAATCGCCACGCGTTAGTCTCCTCTCCAGTCCCACTCAGCTCAGTCTTGAGCATAGAGTATATTGCTACATATATAAGTTGAGTCTTGTTTTAAGTTTTTGCGCGCGCATTGACTAGTTCAGACTTCAGTGGTTAATTTGCTTGTTTTGTGGAGTGAAACAAATAGAAATTGGCCAAAAATGACAAAACGGCATTCCACCATGGATGGGTAAGTAATGAACAGTTATTAATTCATAGATTGTGTATTTGAGAAAATTTTGGACAGAAATAGCTATTTTAACCATGGATGACTAATAAAATAACATTTCAACAAACATAGTTTATTTGTTAGCCATTATTTGTTAATTGTTAGCCATTTTGTGAAAAATGAAAGTGGCCGTAGCCGTGCTCTTCCGCTTGTTACTAATAATAAAAATACTAATGATAGCAAAGTAACTTATTATTATTACTAAGCTTAATTAAAAAATCAATGCACGAGATTTGCGTAACAGTGTAATTACTAAAAATAGGCAATACAAACGGACCGCCTTTAGAAGATCGATTAACAGACAGGTTATTAGTCATTTTAGGTCAATAAATCCACTCGACCGCCATTACGCTATTTTTGTATTTTTTCAGTAATCTTATTTATTTTTCCGTAATCTAAATCATTTTAAGTATTACATTGAATCGTTTTGAATTTTAGACTTGTGATCCGCGACATTCACGAGTTGCTGGAAGGCCGGGGTCCTGAGACCGGCATGCATCCAAAAAGGATGCGCATGTGGCATACGTAAGTAGTTCTTCTTCAGTATCTGCAGTCTACACTCCCTAGATTTAGGTAGTTAACTATAGGTAAACAAACAGTGCATAGGGGCTTAGCCTTTTATTACAAAAATATTATACATTGTCAATAAAATAACTGATTTTTTTATATATTATTTTTATTGAATTCATCTACATCTACAATCAAAACATCACCAAAATTGGTTTAGACATATCTATATATTTTTATTTTTAAATTTTAATTCATTTTATAATATATTTCAATTTAAATACATATATCCATATGGTATTTCATATGGAAAAATGTGAATTACTTTGTATTATATGCTGTTGCTGGTATTTGCTTTTTTTCTGGAGTGTTAGTGTGTGTTATCCATTAACAATCTCTCCGGCTTCAACAAATCAATTAATGAAACAGACACATAGTTTTAAATTATTTATTGATCAGCTATCTCAGTACAATATTTTGTTAAATTAAATTACTTTCCTTTTGCTTAAAAAAGTTACTTTATCATAGATTATTTATGCATACACTAAATCTAATCTATCTATATTAGGTATATGAGCATTTTGGGGGCTAGTTCAAGACTTCTATCTGTAATAAAAAAGCATTAGTGTTTTCCTATTGCAAGAACATCTTCTTATATTATTGATTTAATTATTATCTACTTCAAATTAAATGAATTAGTGAATGTTTATTTATGTAAAGAGATATATTATTATTTCCTTATGTGGTCGTAATAATACATTTTCTTTTACATTATCGGGTTTGTCTATACCAAAGCACACCATTCTGTTTTAGAGTATGTATTTAAATATCAATCTTTGTCTCCTTTATATTAAATCCCTCTTTAAGTTCAGCAAGCTGTCATCATTATTCAAATTTTCCATAGCTTCATCTATAGTTGGCATTTAATTTTTGTAATATATATATATAAATATATGCATTCTTCTCCTGATTGTAGCCAAGTCTATATCATTCAAGCAGTCAATAGGGAATACCTATGCATGAGTTTTTTATGAATCTATGCTAATATTATGAAGAGGAAAAGTTTGTGAGGTTGTAAGGGCAATCTCTGGATCTACTGAACTGATTTAGATGTAATTTGGTGAATTTATCCTGGAAATCATCCCTTAAGGGGGTGAAAATGGGGATGAAAGTTTGTCAAATCAACTTAGGGATGAACCCGAGCAAAACGAGGGTAAGATGCTAGTTTTTTATGCAATAGCTAACATCTTAAATAAAAACTATCTTTTCAAAAAAAAAACATTTAATCAAATCATTTTAATCATGGTCACGGGAATTTTTTTTAAATTGTAATAATTATAATATTAACATATTCAATTATAAAACTAATTAAAATTATTATAAAAATGTTTAAAGTTAAAAAATGTTGTAAGATACTTTGGTGCCATTTTTCAATTTTTTGAATTCATTTTGTTATTTGTGGGGAGGCTGTCTGTAACAAGTAACAACTATATAATATCTTCGAGACAACACCTCAGTCTCTCCCGTGACCATGATTGCTGTAAAGCATTCGAAACGTCGGGAACCAAAAATCAATATAAATTCGCGAAAAAATCCGAAAAGATAGTTTTTTTAAATGTCAAATATTCACGTAAATCTAAAAAAGTATTACGTAACAGTATTTATGGCCAGACTATGTATTTAACTAATACCCAAGGAAAGACATCTAAAAGAACCTGTTTTACGATTTGTTTACCTTTAGTTAACTACCTAAACCTATGCAGTATAACTATTAGCAAGTTTTAATTTATGTTATAAAATGTCCATTGCGATCAATTCCAGACCATCTCCATCGGTTGCAACACCACCATCAGCATCGGTTGCAACACCACCATCAGCATCGGTTGCAACACCACCATCAGCATCGGTTGCAACACCACCATCAGCATCGGTTGCAACACCACCATCAGCATGGGTTGCGATACCACCATCAGCATGGGTTGCAATACCACCATCAGCATGGGTTGCAATACCACCATCAGCTTCGGTTGCAACACCACTATCAGCATCTTTTGCAACACCAACATCAGCATCGGTTGAAACACCACCATCAGCATGGGTTGCAATACCACCATCAGTATGGGATGCAATATCACCATCAGCTTCGGTTGCAACACCACCATCAGCTTCAGTTGCAACACCACCATCAGCATCGATTGCAACACCACCAACAGTATTGATTGCAACACCACCATCAGCATTGATTGCAATACCACCATCAGCATTGGTTGCAACACCACCATCAGCATCGGTTGCAACACCACCATCAGCATCGGTTGCAACACCACCAACAGTATTGATTGCAACACCACTATCAGCATCGTTTGCAACACCAACATCAGCATCGGTTACAACACCACCATCAGCATCGGTTGCAACACCACCAACAGTATTGATTGCAACACCACCATCAGCATTGATTGCAATACCACCATCAGCATTGGTTGCAACACCATCATCAGCATCGGTTGCAACACCACCATCAGCATCGGTTGCAACACCACCAACAGTATTGATTGCAACACCACTATCAGCATCATCAGCATCGGTTGTAATACCACTATCAGCATCAGTTGCAACATCACCATTAGCATCGGTTCCAACACCATCATCAGCATCGGTTGCAACACCACCATCAGCATCGGTTGCAACACCACCATCAGCATCGGTTGCAACACCACCATCAGCATCGGTTGCAACACCACCATCAGCATTGGTTGCATCACCACCATCAGTATTGGTTGCAACACCACCATCAGCATCGGTTGCAACACTAACTTCAGCATCAGTTGCAACACCAACTTCAGCATCGGTTGCAACACCATCATCTTCATCATGTTCGGTGCCTTCAACTTCAAAGTAAGTTGCTTATGGACTTTTCTATTTATCTCTAAATCATCGTTTCTCAAGCGGAGCTCGCGACCTTTGGGGGGGGGATTCGTTTATAGTAATTGTAATTTTGAAGGCTTCTTGCTTTTCGCAGATAGGACTTGAAAACAAACAACACATTGTGGCTTGTCATCCAATGCAATATATCCATATTTCAAATATGTGTCGTTGTATAACCTGTTCTTTTTCTTCACTGCTTCATCAGACGTAGAAGGATCATTTCGTTTTGTCACATATTTGTCCATTTTAATTTAACATTTTAACCCACTTTTTACTTACTATTTATAAAAATTAAACACTGGAGGGGTGAGATAAGATAGTTGTGGTATGTACTTGCTTCCCTATACTACTTCCCTTTAAATGTAAATAGCAATGAAGCTCGGCCTCGCGTCCTTTTGTTTTTATAACTAAGGCAATTAACATGTACGAACCTGTCCTAGCGTATGTGCCACGGGATGCGCAAGCGGCTTATTTGACAAGTTCGTGCAAGTACACCGCAGGTTAAAACCAATGAAGGCTATTATAACGTATAGGTGATTAAAATAACGCGCTATGTAATTTTATAGTGAAGTCGTATAATTTTATAGTGACGGGGTCGCGAGACTTTTTACTTGACTTTTTGGCTTTTTCGTGGGTCTCGACATAAAAATGGTTGTGAAACGATGCTCTAAATATATGGATAATTATAACACTGCTTCTGTTCTAGGTTTGTGTTTCGCCCTCGGCACTTGCGAGATGAGGATGTCACCTACCTCAACAATTATGGTAAGTATCTGCTAATTTTCCATAGGAAAAACTTCTGGTTTTCATCAGTTTTGAAACCAATCTTTCATTTGTTACAGGAAGTGAAAAAGACTCTGACGAGAGTGATGAAGATGACGCCATAGTGTTTACTGGTATTCCAAGGGTTTTTCGGACTACCATGGAGACGCCCATGGACCAGGACGACTATGGTACCGGAGACCCCGCGCTGGCCGCAGACCCAGTGCCTCCCAGTGATTCTGCGGACGATGACATCTCTTCAACGGCGACGGACCAGCCTTGGAGTTGCTATGAGTTTAATTGGAGAGACTTTCCGGATTCTCTGATTCCATCTGAATTGAGACGGGAAAAGTTTTCCGAAAATAATGTTGGTCCGACAACTCCACGTGACGACCCATATGACATTTTTGTTGACATATGGGATCGGCAAATTATGGAGCACATTGTCTCGGAGACAAATAAGTATGCTCAGAAGGTGGCAGCCCAAATGCTCGAAAACCACAATCTCCATCCCAGAAGCCGCATCAGCCAGTGGTATGACACGACGGTCGATGAGCTTTACGTTTATTTCGGCATAATTTTGGCGATGGGGATTGTGGTTAAGTCCCGAATGGAAGAATACTGGGCTTCCACTTCTGACATATTTTATACTCCCGGTTTTAGCGCACACATGTCTATCGATCGTTTTTTGTTACTCAATAAATGTCTTCATTTCAACGATAATGACGACATGTGTGCGCTAAAACTGGATGACTCCGAGGCCAAACTTTTTAAAATACAGCCAATACTGTCACATTTGAACAAAAAATTTCAGGTACTGTATACTCCGGCGCGAAACATAGCTGTAGACGAGAGTCTTTTGATGTGGAAAGGCTGGCTTGATATAAGTCAGCTTATTCCAAATAAAGCTGCGCATAGAGGCATCAAGACCTATGAGATTTGTGAACCTCAAACCGGCTACCTATGGCGGTTTGAGGTCCACGCTCATAAGAAAACCCTACCGCAGCAGATAGAAGATTCGCTTGAGGCATCTACGCTGTCAATTGTGTTGCGGCTGGTCAAAGGTCTAGAAAACAAAGGATACACGTTGTGGATGGACAGTTTCTACAATTCGCCATGTCTCGCTCGACGCCTCAAGTCATTGGGCGTTGACTGTGTAGGAACCCTGCGGACAGATCGTAAGTTCGTTCCGGAGGCCCTACACAATCTCGCCAAGCGTGACTTGCCCCCAGGTCATATGGCTGGTCTCACCTCAGGGGATGTCGATGTCATGGTATGGAGAGATATTAATAGGGTGGCTATGATCTCTACATACCATGGCATCGAGCAGCACACAGTCCGAGGCTCCACCAAACCCATCCTGATATTGGATTACAATATCATGATGGGTAGGGTGGATAAAAAAGACAAGCTCCTGGCTAAGTACCCAGTCGAGCGGAAACGAACTAACGTATGGTACAAGAAATTTTTCGGGAGACTTCTCAATGTCTCCGTATTAAACTCTTACGTCATTCATCGTCACTCTTCTCCTCTTACTCATCGCAAGTTTCGTATCAATCTTGTAAACTCACTTCTTTCTAAGCATTCTTCTCCCTCAATGGTTTTGCCTGCACCGAAACTGAAAAAACTCGTGGATGTCAGTCACCGCGTGTCTTATTTTCCGAAGGCTACGAGACAACGCAGGCGACGGATGTGCAGAGCGTGCAAAAAACTGGCGACAACGTTCTGTGTTGGTTGCGGCAAAACTGTATGTATAGAACCCTGTTTCGTCACTATCCACTCATAATTATATGGTTTATGTATAATATATTTATAAATATATATTTCTTTGTATGTATTTATATATTTGTATGTATATATTAATATTTTTTGTACCACACGTTTGTTCGTTTCATCCACTATACTATCCTTTATTTTCTAGATTATATAGGTTTAGTGTTTATTCTTCCGAAATGTAACCATACCGCCGATAACAGACCATCTAGAGCTTCTTGGTGTGACTGTGTCTTCACTAAATAATCATAAAAAAAGGTCTAAAGACATCACACATGCTCTCAAATTTCATTGTTTATTTGTATTTTTTGTTGTAGGTTTAAAGATTACCTTTTTTATTGATGATTACATGTTTTTTTACAAATTTAAAGTAAATATTGATGGGTGTGGCGTGATATCTAGTCGTTCTACTTCTGACGCGGTGGTGGTTTCGTCTGATGCCTCATTTGCAGCTTTATTTTTTTTCCAAAAGATTCTCATCTGCTGCAATGTTCCATTTTCATTTTGCCATTTTTAACTTATTTAATTATAGGTTCATTTTAAGTTCAGATGTGACAGTATTGGTTGTACCCTTTTTTTTATTTTTATTTATTTTTTTACTGCTATGCTCGATTTTCATTTTGCCATTTTTAAATTATTTTAATTTTATGTTCATGTTATGTAGATATGACAATATTGGTCGTATCCATACTATGTTAGCCATGTACTTCGATTTAGTAACGAAATTGTTCGTTTTGTGGTGGATTTTAGAAATATTTTACTAAAGATAGCATGTCTTTTTATTGTGCTTATAGATTTGTTACTATCATCAAATTGTAGAATGTTTAAAATAAATTACATGTGTGCAATTGCAACAGAATTTATCCTGTGATCCAAAGTTTCGAGTGCTTGGCAAGTAAGCATGGAAATGATTGCTACTTTTAAATCATTATCATATGATAAAATTACGTATATTTTTCACAGGCAATGATTTTTCATTTCGACGGTCTGGTGTCACACTTTATATTATTTGCTATTAAAATGAAGTATGAAATGTCACCAATGTTATTTATACCTAATTATAACGAAAACAGAAAACTTAACTAAATTGTTATATTTACACTAACTAGTAACTACTATATATATATTTATTTAAATATAATTACAACGAAAACACAAAACTCAGCAAGCAATATAGCAATCATTTCCATGCTTAGTGTGGACCAAACTATAGTATATGTTAATAACCTAAGCCACTTGACCTACGATGTTTTTGGAATTGATGCATAAATAGACCCTATTTTTGTCCGGGCGCGGCGCTTGGGTCGCCTAAACAACTTGTGTATTGAAAAAAACGTATGGCATGGTGTTCTTTTTATTGATTGAAGTAAATAAATAAAAAAGACAACGAGCAAGCCTCACAGACACCAGTAGTCGCATACGATGTGTCACGTCTGACATCTCACCTTATTATGTATATTTTACTCTAATAATAGACTGATTAACTTAAATTTGCAATTGGATTTCCTATTGTAATGCAATAAGACTGACTAAAGTAAGATTGAAAAGAATTTTGTATGTTGTTGGAATTTTTGTATGAATTTTTATTGTTGAATACGTAAGTTGAAAATGAGAATTTTTGTTTGTGGAGATATTTTTTAGATTTCAAAAGATAGGGTTTAGGTCTAGAACTAATATTAATAATATAGAATAACTAATATTAATAATAGAAACTTTTTAGTCATTGTAGTTATATAAAATATTGTTGTTTTATATAAGAAAGGAAAACGTAAGTGAATACCTGTGATAAAAATAATAAGGTTTCTTTCAACCCCACATACAGTCCACCATAGAAATTATGCGTGTAATTAATTAATTTGTTTCTCTTTTATAATCAAAATTTATAAATATGAATCGAGTAGCGACACAAAGTAACCTTCAAATAAAAAAAAAATACCTCATTCTATATGTGATGTAACGTTAAGTCTAGTAAATACGTAGAGTAAGGTTCTCAGCTGTATTTGTGTAATATTATACAGTATGTGCGGCAATCTTTTGTTATGACAGTTTGTAATTATAATATAAAATAATTTTACACATTTGTTTATTTGTTTAATTTTATCTTTATGGTTTTGATTTATTAAGTCCAGTCAAATATGGTCTGAAATCAAAATTTTGGCACTAAACTTTGCATTTTTTTGTATGTAGGTAGTTTTAATGATTTAAAAACAATGTGTGAAGGTTTTCGTGTCTGCAACCCCCGGCAAGGGTTGAAAAAAATTGTCAAGTATTCTTTCGCAATTACTCGAAAACGGTAAAAATTAGACAAAAAAGATTTGGTAAAAGTGTGTAGAGCTTAAAATTTTACATAAAAAGCCACATTTCGTGACTTTCCTCCGGTCAAAATTAAGTGTTCTAAGTTTACATTTTTGACCCCCTGTAACTTAGTTGTGGATAAAGCTAGAAGCCTCAATTTTCAGTGACTTAGAGGACATAATATAACTAAGTATATTCCCAAATTACATTCAATTTGAACATGTAGATAAAGAACTATTGCAGGTCAAAGTTTTTTAATTTTGTCACTGACTCGCCCATCAACAAAATTCTCTAAAGCCAAGTCATACTAATTACTGAAGAAATAAAGATATATAATATTGACACGGACACTATAAAATGTTATTAATTGGGTAACGATTTATGACAAAGTTGTTGGATAGATGCTTCCATAGGAATAGGTACGGAATAAATTAACCGACCTGATTTTACATTAGATCCCGCAACTTTTTAACACAGCTTAAAAATAAAAGTCGGAGATATATTTTTTTATCCTGAAAAACAAAAACGGTAATAGTAAATTAGCACGGAGTTTTCGTATAAAAGGGCTAATACAATATAGTTAAGAAAACCAAAAGAAAATTTATAATAATATTTATTATTAAGGCACTTAAAACTATCATTAAAATATCATCAATAAAATAGTATTACTTACATATATGGATGAAATATAATTATTTAAAAACATCAAACTGTATAATTATTTCACAGAAGACCTAACTAATGGACGGGTGGTATATAATTGTCACATTGTAACCTATAATATTTAAGTTTTAACTCTCAACTCTTATTAAACTACTCATTTAACATATATTTCAAAAGGTATGCGGGAAAGGAGGATAGGGAAGACTAAGATATGAACTTTAGAGGATCTGGAGAAAGAGGATAAAAGGATAAGGCTATGGAAGGAGAAGGGATATGGATAGGAAGTTAAAGGTGTAAGGTGGATAAAAATATTTCTTTTTGTTAAAATTAAAGCTAGTGCTACACTCACTCATTTTTCAGTCATCGTCAATCGCTAATAAAATTATACATATTTTAACTTAAAGAAGACATGTTCTAATTGGCAATTACATAACTATATATTTCCTAAACCATATAGATTATATTTAAAATATTTATTATTAAAATAATATTTTTGACATTCAAAGTTGAAATCGTTATTTAACACCTCCAGGTAAATTTCTAAGAAATCTATTGTTAACTGTAACGCCGTCGTGTCCGCGGTCGTTGAGGGATTAAAAATGACATAATATGAATATAATTATATGCTCATGTGTTATATGAACAATTAAAAACTCACTCTTTATGGGAAATATTAAAATCTATAATCTATATTAAGTAAATCGACGTATCAAACATTGTCACATATTTTGAAACTGCCTATCATGTAACTTAAGTACAAATAATTTAATTCCGCACAAAATGTACAATACACATTGGTATTATTATGAGACCACAACTCACCATCCCATTACAATCAGTCATCCATATCATTCAAAAATTCGAAGATCATATATAAATTTACGGAATTCATTCCGAAATTAATTTGAGCTGGACTCTTCTAAATGGCGGCTAAAAACATGCACGCAGCACTTACATATATAGGCGGAGAGAATAAAGACTGACATGTTATTATCGACATTACCTTGCCCGTCCCAATGCGTAAATATAAACATAGACCCTCCTCTATTTTGGAAGTCGGTCAAAACAAAACAACACCGCAGTCTAGTAATCCATACAGTTGTTTAAAGAAGTAGAGACGCGGGCGAAGCGCACCCGACTGTGATACGTATTTTTATACGAAAATCGGGAATGAGCTTTAGGGTTGACATCCGTCCAAAATAACAAAAGCTTGCCACTACAATGCTTTAATTTCACAACCACAAAAATTAATATTATTTGACAACCCTTACATTTAGCGGAGAATTTCTTTTAAATCAAAGACCACTCATGAAACTTTATACTGTGGCAATACCAATCATGAAAATCCGATCCCGTGGGATTAAAATAGCACCAAGGATAAATTAATTACATTAAAATACATAGTATCTAGCGTTCAGCGTTGAGGAGGTATGGGAGAACATCGTCAATGCTGACGTCACCGACGAAGCCCACAAAAAAGACGTCCTCTATGAAGGGTGCGGGGAAGCCCCGGAGTGGCGCCAGCTGCAGGAGTAGGGCTGCGGCACGCTCCCCGCCAGGCGCTGCGAGGGACCGAAGCACCCTGGATTGGTATTCTTGCAACTTGCGTGTTAGGAACTCCGGTGCACCGTCTGTGGAGTGAAAGGACATTTGTTATATCAGTGTTGTATTTACATTATTTTGAATAACTTGAATTTTAGAAAATTTAAAAGATGTATTTATTGCATGAAAAGATAATCTTTTTTTTATAATTTATTACATAATTTTGAGACAAAATGCAATAATATTTTTGAATTAAACTGTTTATTTGTAGTGTACAAATAATGGTGATAAAATCAATTATCAATCAATCAAAACAAATCGTTTTTTTTTCGAAGTGATTATTTAATCGATTTGTCTGGTCTGACCGTGGATCGATTAGGTCAAGCTTTCAGATCCACGGGAAAATTTCCCGTACTTCTTACAATTCTTTCATTTATTTAAGTTCTTAAAAACAAATTGCGTGATATTTAATACTTTCTTAGATTAACGCGAATATTTGACAATTAAAAAAAAACTATGTTTTCGGTTTATTTCGTGGATTTATTTTGATTTTTGGTTCCCAACATTTCGAATGCTTTACAGCAATAATGGTCACGGGAGAGACTAAGGTTATAGACGTCTCAAAGGCGTGTAAATAGTGCCTTACCAAAATTTTACAAAAATGATTTCAAAAATTACACATTACAATATTTGTTGATTTTAATTCTAAACTTTTTAATTTTATATATATATATATATATATATATATATATATATAAACTATTAATATGTGATATATATTTTATATATATAAATGTTCACTCAACAATGCCCCACAACGTACCAGGCGAGAACAGACAGAGGGCCCGCAGATGCGCGTGCTCGCGCTCCGTGATGTGCAGCTGGTCCATGGTGGCCAGCAGCTGGTGCAGGCGCCGCAGCGTGGCCGACACCTCCGCCACACGCTCGTCCGAGTAGTCCGATATTGTTATCTGTTTGTCAACACATATTGTAAACAGCCTTTTTTAACAGTTTTAACTATTTGAGAATCAACAACATATATTATATATTCAAGCAAACATAAATAGCCCGAATTAGCGCTGTCCAATTTCTTTGTATGGGATGAGGCATCTGTACTAGTATAGTGTTATGTGATAAAAGTTAGCTATAATAAGGGCACTGTAGGTATGCTAATTCTATATGAGTTTTCATTAATTATAAGTAGTAAAATATGCAAGTTTGTATAACGCAGGTGAAATAAATGTCGAAAATTGAAATATCATCGGATGGCAGCATGAATAAAGAAATTATATATACTTATAACATAGTCTATTAATCCATACATCAATACTAATATTATAAAGAGGTAGTTTGTGACGTTGTAGAGGGTAATCTCTCATTCTACTGAATCGATTTAGATGAAATTTGGTAAAAAGATAGTTTAAGACCCTGGGAAGGACATAGGAGGATTTTTATCCCCGAAATCATAACTGAACGGGGTGAAAATGGGGATCAAAGTTTGTATTGGGAAGCAACTTCTTCTAATAAAGGCATAGTGATCAGACAATCGTCCGAGGCATCCGGAGACGCAAGTGAGGCGTACCAGATTGCCATATATGTATATGTCTTTAAAAGGCATATTGGGAAACATCTGTATGGTTGACAGGCAATGTCAAGTTATTAATTTGTTAAACTTCATATTTGTTCAACTAAAATTACTTTGTTATTTATAATAAAATATATTTTTTTCATTTTTAAAATATTCTGGATGATTTTTATACTATATTATATTAACTAAGCCAATTTATTTAATCATTAAAATAAAAAATCAACTTTGTAACTAAAATAATTGCTCACCTCGGGATGTGTGATATCAGGAGTAGGCTCGGGCTGATGCCTTGTTTCTGCTCGTTCCCTCAGTTCAGACTGCAGGTGGTTGTACAGCATCGGCAGCAGGGTGGAAAGTTCTAGGGCTTGAGACCAGCGGGAGAGCCCCAATACAAAGAGCTCAGGCCAGCATTTGCGGAGAAGAGTCACTTGGATTTCGAATCTGTTGAATAATAATGCATTAAATTTAGTAACAGTTAATATTTTTTATAACTCTCAATTCGTTAATGTTCATGGCGTGGCATTATATATCTCTCTCACTCAGGCGCGGATCCAGAGTTAAATTTTGGGGTGGGTGAGATTTAAAGACACCCCCCCCCCCCTCATTACACAAAAAATAGTTGAAAAATAGTTTTTTTTAATTTCTGGCTTGTGACATGTTATCGAAAAATATTCTTTATATAAATTTCATCAAAATCTGTCCAGTGGTTTTCTCGTGATGCGGTAACAGACAGACAGATAAAAATTCTAAAAACTATAGATTCGGACTCTGTATCGATAATAATGTCTATTTGTCTAAATGTTTAATGTACAGATTCGACTTAGTTACAATTTTATTATATGTATATAGATTTCTGCAAAAACTTTTTGATATTCATGAAACTAGGGGAATATAATCTTCAAAATACATATAATAACCATTTTTTTTAAATCGAAATGTTTATCCTATGTTTATATTTATGTTTATAAATGTTTATCGAAATATTTATTTATGAAATGAAAAATATAAAATTGTAGTTATTCCTTCCTTTCTTAGACATAAAACTTCTCTAAAAAGTATATTTGGCTTTGGGGGGGGGGGGTTATGACCCCCATGACCCCTCCCCTGCTTGCTCTCACTCACGCACTTCACACGCCATTATATCTTTTCCATTCACATTTACATCTCGCGTGGCGACAAAGTGGCGCGACAAGCCGTAGGTACATATAAGCATAACTTATATTTCTAATTAATAAATTAAATAATTAATTAATAGTAACAAACCGATCACAGAACGATATATAAGTTTTATTTTGTTTTTCACATATGTATGTGCGTTTATTTTCTTTTTTTTCTTTTGTTCAGAAATAATAAATTCATTTTAAATAAAGACTGATAATATTATTTCTTTAAAAATCTCATGTTCACTCCTTTGTCCCTATAAATCTATATGTAATCTGAGTTAATATCGAGGGCGAAGCAGAAATATAATTGATGATGAAACAAACTTATTTGTAAGTGAATCTTCAAAAAGAGTTCTATCATAATTATACGAAGGCTTCGTCTGAACATATTAGCACCCCTCCTTCCCAATACTATTACCCTATTAAGTCTTGAAATATTTGGCTCTTTTCAAACTCTAAATTAAATGAGGAAGATTAACAGAGAACATAGGTGTTCATTTCTTTTTTAAATTAAAAAAAAAGTAAATGCTCAAATATAGTGCCAGTTCGACTGCACCATCATTTAATTTAATTTCCGTACGGTACTAAATTTCTAGACAGGGCCTTCTGTTGGCCGTCACGTCCGGTGACGCTGTCAAGGCCAGTAGGGCCAAAAGTATTGGACATACATGCAGAAAAAACAGGTGCAAGGTTACACACCTTCACGCGCGGTTGAAGTAAAACTTCTCTGGTAAACATCGCAATTAAATTAAAACTAATCAATAATTAAATAAGGCATGTTACTTACAATCATGTATTTATAAAATATCATATATATGGAAAGAATATAAATACTGTATATTTGTCAGACAATAACAACGGTTACCATGGCAATGTATTCTATTTCATTCTCTCGCCGGCTTAATCCTATATATTTTATGTGTTTGTCTCTTTCTCGTATCGCATTTCCGTTTCATCGAATTTCAAATCACAATGATTCTAAAGAAGTTTTACTTAAAAAAAAGGAAAGCACAAGAAACGTGACTCACGTGTGCTTGGCGACGACGGGCAGCGAGAGCGTCCAGCGCGCTAGCGCGGCCAGCAGGCGCGCGGCGGCCTCGCACGCGGCGTGCAGGCGCAGCGGCGGCGGCGCGCAGCCCGCCGGCAGCGACAGCGGCAGCTGCAGGCTCTCCGCCGTCAGGATGCATGCCTCCTCCGCTGGTATATACAAATTATTAATATATATATATATGGGTTTTGATGACATAACGCACATGTTTATTTCTTTTTAATAACTTTTTAATTTAATATTTATTTCTAGCGTTACAATTCTTACAAACACGACTGATGACCAGCGTTGCTTACTTAAACTTAAGCATAGAGAAAATAACTAACATAAATAATCTGTAATATCTATACATATAATAAAATTCTGCATCGAATGTGTACATTAAATATTTTTAGAAAATTATATTGAAACAGTTATTATTATTTATTATATATCGATACAGAGGCCGAATTTATAGTTTTTAGAATTTTTGTTAATTGCTCATTTAATATTATAAGATAACTTGTATGTATATACTTCTATGTGTATATCAAAGCTTGGCATCGTTTTAAGAAAACAATTAATTTTGGTAATGTAATAGTTGATTTTTAAATAAGAAAGTATTATATTAAATCTAAGAAAGTATCATCATTTCTCCATTAACTGTTTAATAATTTAGATCAAATTTTGAATTTAGATAAGGTTTTACTTTTTAATTTTATTCATATAGGTGTCTCTACTTAAAAAAACGCATTTTTTTCACAAAATATGGCATTTTTTTATAACTAATTATAATTAGAGCCCTTTTCTATCAACTGTCATACTGAAAATATCTTAAAGCGCCATCTTGTAAACGTTACTAATGGGTAACCTCTCAGTAATTGTTGTCTTTAATTTAAAATTTTCAACTAACTTCCAAAAAGGAGAAGGTTTTCAATTCGGTTTAATTTCTTAAAAATTCTGCTGTTATAAATTTTGACTGGAATTATATTTACATACAAATCACCCATCTCATAAATTAACTTTTCAATTTTCAACCAAATTATTAAACAGATTTTAACTAGTTATGTAGATACCATCATTTTGTGGTGTCTCCGCAGCGTGCAAAGCTCCCAATGGCACTTCTGGTGGCGTTGCACCATAAGCTGACTGTAGGTACTCATTTATTGCACCTATAAAGACACAGATAGACTAATAAAAATAATTCTAATATTTGTTAATTCTTTAGAATGAAGAACTCATGATAAAACCAGATATTTAAATATGAATGTATTAGCAATATTTATTTTGTTAGAGGGCAGTTGAGGGCTATGTATAGTGTACAAGACGATTTTTTAACGCAGTCCAACAGCATTCTTACGCGTTTTTTAATATTCATAACATGAACAGATGATGATGCACGTTTCAATCATCAAGTTCATTGAAAACACATACAGTATTATACATGAAACGAAAATATTCATTCCCCGTAAAACCATACATACATCCAGCATAGATATTAGTAATATATTTGGTAATTTGCAGGTAATATAATATTAGCTGCATATAGCTATTTAATATATAGACATATTTATTACCCTCACTTCACTTCGGGTTCGTTTCTAGTGAAAAACGAAAACAAATCTTTCCTACAGAAACCTTACATTTTCTGGTATAAAAAGTAGCCTATGTGTTATTTCAGCCTATAATCTATCTCTGTGCCAAATTTCCTCCAGATCCGTTCAGCCGTTCTTGGGTGAAAGAGCATAACTATCATCCATTCCATCCTCACGAACTTTTATATTTATAATATTATGTAGTATGGACTAGCATTACATACCAAATTGTCCCATTTTGAACAAATTTTTAGCGAGTTGTGTTTGCAGCATGAGCTGTTGTCGCCTCGCACCCTCCACATCGCCAGGAGTCCCTGCACCCAGGTATGGAGATACTGTGGAACGTACATATATTTGATTAATTACATATATACACAAAAAGAAGCTCTTTATCACTAATCTCTATTTAAAAATGTTTAAGGAACAGAATGAAATATATGTATATGATGTACTCTTAGCCGATTCCGGCTACGGCGGCCAATCTCATTGAGATTAGCCAACTGCGCAGGAAATATTATAGTGCTCAAGTGTACGCGCAGACACAAGTGCACTCTCTATTCCTATCACTCTCATACTCCGGTGGGACGACCACTCGACACGACCGTTGAGAGTTAAAATATGTATATAAATTAATACTAAAGACAGAAAGAGTAATTAATAAGTTAAGATATTTAAATTTAAGATTTTTAAAATAACCTTAATATTGCATATGCATTATGCTTAGAGCATAGAAGTATGGAGTTACTTATATGGGAGACAAGTTGAAAAAGTGTCCATGTACAATGTATGCTGAAAATAGATGGCGTTGGCGTAAGAAAAACTACGATATAAATTTAGCTGTTGTAGACGGAGTGAAGTGTGTAGAGTTCAAAAACTAAAAAAAATCATAACTAAAAGAGTTAATGAAATACCAGTATACAAAAAATCAATTATTTATGAAGTCTAAAATAAAGTAAATATAACAATCTTTGTTTATTTCACTATCTTACGCTAGTTACATATGGCGCTTCCTTTAAAATTTTGTCCTACGCTACCGCAGTGCCACCCATATTGTACGCGTTTTGACAGACACTATTTCTTACACAGTGACTCCTCCTTACTTCTATGCTCCATGTATGCAATGTACATTCACAGATAATAATCATGCTAATACTTTTCTTTATTATTGCTAATATTATAATATTATTTATTAAAGAAAATAATCGTGTGTGTGTACTTATGTACGCACGTAAGAAGTTATACTTCTTTCCTGTAACAGAACAAAAATGGCTAAAGATTTCATCCCAATGTCACAACTCTCATGTCGCTTTTTTGGCTGTCGGTGTGCGCGCTCATCGTCGAAAATTTATTGTAAGTTTTTTTTCCAAACGTGCCAAAGGAAGTATAACTTCAAAAATGACAAAGTAGTATTTAAATCAATTCAAATATAAACCTGGATTTCCTTTATTGAACGCAACAGCAGCGGCTAAAGCAAAGTTGAGAGCGGGAGCAGCTGGAGATACTGCACCAAATGCATCATTTGGCTCTTCTTTTGGATTTATCTGTATATATAATATGATATTGAAATGAAAAAAATGTTCTATTTTTTTTACTTTAGATCCTTTAATAAAAAAATACATTTTTGTTTTAGTCAGAAAAGTAAACACAAAAATTAATATTGAATTTTACAGTTTCCAGTAGAATAATATTATCTCACAAATACTATAAATAAGAAAGTTTGGATGGATGTTTGTTACTCAATCACGCAAGGACGGTTACAGCTGTTCGGATCTGGATGAAATTTCGCACAGAGATAAATTATAGTCTGGAATAGGACATAGGTTACTTTTATCCCGGAAAAAAGTACGGTTCCCGTGGGTTATCCATACTAACCGTTAAAACGTACCTAGGGACGGGTAACAAAGGTAAAGGTGAGTCGGTAGTATATGATAATTTAGGAGTAAAATTTAATTCTTAATGAGTCTCCTTATACTTATTTAATTTAGAATTTCTTAAAATACAAAACCAAATGCAAACCCAAAAAAATAATTAATATCTATATTCTATACTAATAATCTATACATTTAATAAAATTGTAATTAAGCCAAATCTGTACATTAAATATTTTTTGGAAAATCTTATTGAATTAGACATTATTATCGATCCAGAGGCCGAATCTATAGTTTTTAGAATTTGTGTCTGTCTGTCTGTTACCGCATCACGGAAAAACGACTGGAGGGATTTTGATGAAATTTGGTATGATGATAACTGGTTATCCGGGTCAACATATAGGATACTTTTTACCGCGGGGAAATGACTCATTTCTGAGAAAAAATACAAAAACTGCAATGTAAGAGTATATTAATATGTAAAACCTAAGAATTTAGTTTTTGGTCATCTGAACGCGGGCGGAGCCGCGGGCAACGCTAGTTAAATAAATATAAAAAGAGGAAAAATTTGTATTTTTATGTTTGTAATTAATAAACTCAAAAACACTGGACCGTATTAAACAGGTAAGAAGATAGTTTGAGATCCTGGGAAGGACATAGGATATTTTTTCATCCCGGAAATTAACCCTTATTAATTTTATTAATGAAAATGGGGATGGGTTTGTACGAACCCGAGCGAGGCGAGGGTGAGTTGCTATAGTAAATAAAACAACAACATATTAATCAAAAACCTGTCAATTTTCATACCTGTGCATTCTGCGCTTGTCCTGCGAGTCCCAATAGTTTTGAGTATGCAGCTTGTCGCTCGTGCACGTCACGCGCTTCACCCTTCACTTTATCCACTATTGGCTTCCTTTCGTGTTGAACCGCTGTCCATACAGAGCAAGAATTACTGCTCGTCGAGAGCTTTTATTTAAACTAATAAACAATCCAGCAATAGGGAATATGCGTGATTTTTTTTTTATACAATTATATCCGTTACTTCACAAATGATTGATTCCCCATACAAACTTCCAAGCCCCTTAATCAATGATTTCTGGGATAAAAATTCCTATGTCCTTCCTAGTCACTCAAACTGTCTCCATACTAAATTTCATCTTATGTTTAGCGGATTAAGCATGAAAAGGTAACAGACAGACAGAGTTACATTTGTATTCATTATATTAGTATGGACAAACTTTTGATTTGTAGCATGCAGTCTTTTGCTTTAGACTTATTGTTTGAAATATCAAGTACTACACAAGATTAGCATGAAAAAGCAGGTACATTACAATAAACCTATACTAATCTGTATTATTAATATGAAATTTGATGATGGACAGATCTGGATGAAATTTAACACAGAGAAAGATTATAGTCTGGAATAACACATAGGCTACTTTTTATCCTGGAAAAATGTAGTTCCCGTGGGATAGGTTTGTTTTTGTTATCCTAAAAGCAAACCCGAGCGTAGCGAGGGTGAGTCACTAGTACAGTATATTTTCCCCATACAAAATTATCAGGAACTAAACTTATTCATAGTACATAATGCATTTTTTCTAATTTATCTTTATTTAATAGACTTTAAAATTGGAGGTTGAATAAATTACTTAATAATACAATTACTTCTTGCTTATTGTTTAGTTTTTCAAACCTAGCTGATACTCACAGTCGCTTCTCATCCCGCACGCCAGACACTTCTGTAATCTGCAGTACTGACATCTGTTACGGTGATGCTTTGTCACTTCACAGTTCATACTGCCTCTGCACTGATAGCCTAATTTCTTTCTTATTGACCGTTTAAAGAAACCTTTGCAGCCTGGAAAACAATTTTATTATTTATTTACTAGCAACATACCTTCGTTTCACTGGGATGCGTCCCTAAAGTGAAAGGTCCGTCAAAACCAGCCATTTCAGAGATAAGCCGGAACAAACAGACAAATGGCCAAAAATTTTAAAAATTTTCTTTTTCATATAAGTACCATAAATAATTTTATATGCATTTAGTAAAAAGTTGTTATATATAATGTTTATAGATTATGACAATCAAAAGAGTATATGAAAAGGTAAAACAACATAATATATCAGAATATTAAAAAAAAGTACCTAAAAATTTACAGCTTATTTTTTATGAATTTCATTAGAAGATAGCATCAAGTGCTTTAAGAATAAAGACACTTAATATAATTATGGTTGTAAAAAAATGTCATATGAAATCGAGTATTATTTAATTTATTTATTTATTCATTATTTAATTTAAATCATATTATATACTATATCATATTACTATACAATTGATTGTTTTGAACATGCAACATGTTTTGAACAGCTTTTTGCTTGCTACTACGCCATATCAAAATTAATGGATAATAAAATGACAGCTAATTCATTTATTAAGGAAATGGTAATAAGTATATAAAATAAATTATTTTTGTACAAATAATAAAAACAACAGTTACTATGTTACCATTGTTTTATAAATTATCAAGTTTTTTATAGTAAAAGGAGCACCTAAGCAAATAATCTACCTGAAATTAAGTGGCTATTGCCGCTCATAGACATGTGTAACATGAGAGTTACTAATGCGTTGCCGGCCTTTAAGGACATGACTCTTGAAGAGCCCCATGCCTCAATTAACAGGGTTTTGTTCATAAGAAATTATTATAAGTTATATTTACCTTCACAGCTAATAGCACCATAATGTCTACCAGAAGCCCTATCACCACATACAATGCACAGCTCTAAGCCACCAACTTCATTACCAGCACTGTACTTCATTTCCATTTGATCTTGCGCCTCCATATTGACTGAAAATAATGTGATAAAAGGTTATAATGTCTATTTATTAAATAGGGAATTAATAATAATTTTTTCATCTATTTCTACTAATAGGTTTGATATTTACCAAACCATGTATTATGTAAATAAAATGTATTTTTAAAAATATTAAATTTATATCATGGTTTGTTATGTTAAACTTGTAATGTAAGTTTAAGTATTCTGCATTATGATATAATCAAAACCTGTTAGATTCCTCAAGAATGCTATAACATCGCTGTTCATCTTTCTACTGTTGGTACATCTAAAACTGTTACAGCGCTCCACATGCACTTTTATATTTTTTATTTTTATATAATTTAATTATACAGCAGTACATTGCCACTACGGAAGATAACATACATATTGCCTTTCACTTTGATTATCTTAAAAGTGCTTGGCATTTAAAGCAGGTTGACAGTACGTAGGCGGAAGACTGAGTTCAATGAAAAAATGAGATCGTGATAATCACTGTTGTAGAAAAATTTGGCCTTAGCAGTTTGCACTTATAACAGTTATATATTCTTACCTTTTATCGTTCACAAAAAGAATGTTTTTTGTCAAATATACGACAATAATAAACGTAGGATTGAAGAAATCATACGAACGTACTCTAAAATATACTTTAAAAGGAAAGAAAATGAAAAATTAAATACATAAACACGTTACATGACAAATTGATACTGTAAAATTGAGAAGTGAGAACGGCGAATTGAGAACGCTGACAATGATAAACAAAGATGGCCGACAGATCAAAGAGTGTAGCCAATTAAAGAATTTTCTCCCATTTGATCTGCAAAAGTTTTCGGATTTTTGTCATACAATCATCATACAATCAGGTCGCTCTAACTTTTCCGGGTTAGAATCATTAAAATCTTTAGTCAGAGATATAAGTTAAAGGGTTGCTTTTAATGAATATATGAAGACGTGCAGCTGCTTAAATAGATTTAGTTTAATAGGAACTAAGAACTCATTGGTTGAAAAATTCAAAGCTTGTCATCTGAATATGTTATTAAATTATTTAGTATTCTTTTTCAATGATAGGAATATTTGATTTTTTTGTGTTGTTTTAATAGTAGTGACTGCAGTAGTTTATTTAGATCGTTAATATAAAATATATTTTTACGCAAATCAAACCGATAGATATAATATATCGAGTTGTTCTAATGTTGCAACATTGAAATGTCATAATCACACGTTTCTTAGATGTCAAAATTTACATTGTACGTCAAACATGTACAACCTCGTGTGTTTGTGATTATTAACATTAACCAAGATTTAAATTTTATTCGTATAAATGTTGTTTAAATAAGTTTAATATCAACTTAAATAATGGGTAGCGCTAACATGGAGAATATCATTGATAAATTCACTACATTAACTGAAAAACCAGTGAAATATTTGGAGGTGCAAAAGAATATAAAAAAGGATATTCAAAACTTGGTGAAATCTCTTTACGATTTTACGAAATCGCAAGAGCAAAGTGGTAAGTCCAAAACAAATCAGGCATTATCAGAAATAATTGTAAAAGATTTCGATGAAGAACAAATATGGCAGCAAATCGAGCTCCAAAATTCACAGTGCTGGGATCATCTTGTATGGGAAGTTGCTAACTGTATATCTACTAGAAATAATCTGAAATTCCCAGTTAAGATTGTTGAAGATGAGATGGAGGTTTTAAATAATGAGGAGGAGAAGGAAGAGGCTATTTCTGAAAATATATCAGCTATAGACAACTTTGAAGAGAAAAGTAAAACAAAGATTAAAAATCATGAAAATAAACCAAACTCTAAAATCAAAACATCTATAGTAGATGATAAATTTTTCAAATTACAAGATATGGAAAAGTTTTTAATAAATGAAGAGAAGATGGAGGAAAAAGGCAAAAAAGATACAGAAGATGATGAGGGATCAATAGACATGTTTGAAGATATAGATAGTGAAGGAACAGAAGATGAAGGTGGCAAAGAAATGATGTATTCAGATTTTTTTAATGATGATAATGGTGAAGAATATGATAAAAGTAATGAAAATGGTGATTTCAATGAAGATGATGAAGCTACAGTTAATGATAAAAAAGTTAGATTTGCAGAACCTGAGTCTGATGAAGGAAGTCAGTCAGACGATGAAGATACACACATTGATAAGAAAGGCAGATTTGCACAGCCTGATTCTGATGACACCGATTCTGATGATAGTACAGAAGAGATCTCCAATAAGCAAATAAATGAAGAAGACAAGGAAAAAGATGAAAAGAAGTCTGAATTTGAGTTGAGACAACAAAGATTAAAACAGCAGATATCCAAATTAGAGGAAAAAACACTCACTGAAGCTCCTTGGCAATTAAAAGGAGAAATTGATGCAAGTAAGAGACCTCAGAATTCATTACTTGAAGAAGTTTTAGACTTTGATCTCACAACGAGACCACCTCCTACAATTACTGAACAAACAACTGTCACTTTAGAAGGTTTGATAATACAGAGAATAAAAGATAAGGCCTGGGATGATGTTGTAAGAAAGGAGAAACCAGTAGATGATCAGCTACTGTTCAAGAAGCCCGAGGTACTTGACCATTCAAAGAGCAAGCTAAGTTTAGCCCAAGTTTATGAAACTGAATATTTAAAACAAAAACAAGCTCAATCAGGAGATGTTGAAGAGGAAAAAGAACCTGAAAGTCATACTGAAATTCGTAATGCCATGAGTAAGCTATTTGCACAACTAGATGCATTATGCCATTACCATTACACTCCTAAACCACCTCAAGCAGAAGTCAAAATTGTAAGTAATACTCCAGCTATATCCATGGAAGAAGTGGCACCGGTAGCTACAAGTGATGCTGCATTATTAGCTCCTGAAGAAGTTAAGAGAAAACACAAAGGAGAGTTGATGAGTAAAGAAGAAAGAACACAAACTGACAAAAATAGAGAAAGAAGGAAAAAGAAGATATTACAACGCAAAAAGGGACATCCTACTGATGTAACAAATCACAGAAATACAACAAAAGGCCCTGAAAGTAATGACAAAACCTTGAAAACTTCAAAGGCTTTCTTCCAACAGTTAAATGACGATTCAAATAGTTTAATTAAATCTAAGAAAAAGAATGTAAAAAATAAGTAATAAATTGTTTTTTTGTGTGTTTATTACAAAAGTTTTATTTATAAATGCATTTGATATATAATAATATATTTTGTTTGTTTTTTTGTTGAATTGTTTGCTTGAATGTGCTAATATCTGGAGAAACTAGTCAGATTTAACAAAAAAAAAAATTGTAGCCTATTTATTGGGGAAGGTCATTTATGTAACATTATATGTACTATAATCCTTAAAAGCAGATATTAATTCAAAATAAACTATGAGCAAAGTCTAGTGCAATTTTTGAATTCTAAAGGCAAATTAAATTATTAATCATAAAGTTGTGAAGACTTATATATAGATAATAATCTTTCATATTTCAATTTTAGGACTGAGTTAAATTTAATTATTATATCTTATATTCTAAAGTTTGAAATTTGAGATTTTGACTTAAATAATAAAGTATCTAATCTAAGGTAGAATATTAAGATAGATATTTATTATAATTAAGAACATCATTAATATCAATTTTAATACAGTTATTTAATGTTGAATATTCTTTTATGAGTTTGTGCTAAATTAATGAAATTAATATATAGTAAAACCATAGTAATATAAACTAGAGGCTCACCCTCGTTTCGCTCAGGTTCACCTCTAGACAAACAAAAGCAAATCTATCCCACATTACACACGCAAAATAGGCGCATAGTCGTCCAGTTGCGGAAAATAGCCCGAACATACCATACCAAACCAAAACCAAACCATACCAAATCTATCCCACAGGAACCGTACATTTTTCCGGGATAAAAAGTAGCCTATTTGTTATTCTGATGTATGAACTATATTATTGTAAAGTTTCATTAAAATCCAATCAGTAGTTCTTGTGTACTAAGCTGTATAAGTTACTATAATTTTTAAACTATCGCACGGGAACTCTTTAATTTTCCGGGATGAAAAGTATCTAAAATGTTGACCGGGGATATAAGGTACCACCATGCAAAATTTCATTTAAATCGGTCCAACAGTTTCGGAGATTAGCCCGTAGAAACAGATAAACAGACAGAGAAACAAAAAAATTGAAAAAATCTGGATTTGTTCTATTTCTCTTTTGACATCCCCCTAACTCAGTTTTTAGTATTTTTTTCTATGTACAGGCATTCGACCTCTTTGGAGGAAGTATGGATGTTTGTTACTCTTTCACGCCAGAACAGCTGAACGGATCTGGATGAAATTTGGCACAGAGATAGATTATATTCTGGAATAGCACGAAGATTACTTTTTATCCCGGAAAAATGAACAGTTCCCGTGGGATAGATTTGTTTTTGTCTAGGGACGAATCCGAAGCGAAGCGAGGGTGAATTATAGGAAGTAATACTTTAAAATTTAAATATGTGTATTTTTTTTAAATCTCGGCATCAATTTGCTCCATTAAGGCGTAGGTGGTTGTGGGTCTCTTGATATAAAACACATATACATAAATATATCATCCTCACCACGTTAATATACTGTTTTCGTATTTTTTCTGGCGACTTAAATTTTTTCTCATGGTTTAATTTTTAATTAGTTGCCATAATTATTTTATTTTACTTTCATTGCATGTGTTGTTAGCATAACGGCACAAATAACATTAATTAATTATTATAAAATGGCTAATTCTAATACTATTTCAGGCTTCAATTATTATTATTGTCAGCATGTCGGTTTCATCTTTTTATTATAGTTTGAGCATAGGCATTACCGGTGCATGAAATGAGCCCTTGGGGCCTTATGTAGAGCATTGTAAGAAGTTACTAAAGAAAGCTCAGGAATAGTTAGAAGCCGAAAAAAATGATTTCTTATCATAAACTAAGTAATAGGTAATAAGTAAATATTATAAAGTTTTGTACTGACACAATTTTTAAACTAAAAAGCAAAATTAAAAATTTTGAAAAAAACCCAGGGCGGTTAAAATGTAATTGAAAAAAGATAAAGTAATTTAAAAACCCCCCACCTTAAAAAATAAATGCCACGCAAGATAATAAACGTATTTTTTTTTAATAAGTAGAGTTGATCTCTCGCGGAGTCGGTCATATATGTAAACAATAGAGTATCAGTTTTCATAGCATTTCCCGTACCTACCTATTTGGTTCTCGATGATTGTAGATGTGGCAATAACATATTCAAATACCTATAAACTTAGTAAAAAACCCAAGAATATCCGTTTTCTGGGTTTTAACCGGTTAAAGAACGTGACCGAAACCTTAAATTGAAAACCTTTCGGTTTGGGATCAATAACCAAACCCGGATAAAAAATTAAACGGGTTTACTAGCCCTGGTTTTTATATTAAGCTTGTTTTAGCTGAAACAATTAAGTACCCTGTACGATTAACCCAAAGCTGTAACTACCAGAATTCTAAGCATGGTATTTTGTTAATAACAAAAGCGATTCTCTTTAGACGTTACGTCCGTCATTAAAATAGATAGTTGTGTGTAATCTTACAAAAGTGCGATTAGCCGTCGGGACTCGGGTCGCGCCACAAACGGCGTTGGCGTTGGTACGGCGTAATTAGCGAGGAAAAACTCGGCGATATGGCGCGAAACGAATCTGTATTTGAGGATTGGTAAATGTGGATGTGGTATTTTCTTATTCTCTTGTCTATTATTGAATGTGTCTTGAAAATTACAATTTAAAGTAGATTATTTTTTTCGTCGTTGCATTTGTGTTTTTTATCGTACGAGTGGAGTTTGAGGTGGAAAGTAGTTTCTACTAATATTTTAAAAAGTTCGGGTAATGCCTACTTTTATTCTGCTACACTAAGTTATCGTGGGCAGTTTACCTACTGCCTAGATTGGTCTAGATTTGCAAATACGATTTCAGATCCTAAGGTTGGGGGCTCGTCCTGGAAAATTGGCGATGTAGCCCCGATTATGCCTTGAAGATACTCTAGAAACGACGACAGTGAATGAAATTGAAAGTGCAAGTTTGTCGGTGCGTACGCGCACTGCACAATATCTTCTTCTGTAGTTGTAATCTCATTAATGATTGACATTGGTAGCCGTCACCGAAAGGTCTGGAGGATTTTAATTAATATTTCATTTTAAATATAGAATATAATTATTGTATATTTATACCTAGAATTTATAATTATAATTACGTGCATTTCTAATGTTGTCAATTGAATTAGAGTTTGTGAGTAGGACTACTTATAGGATTTAGAATCTTTTTTTGGTATATTACTTATACCTAACTTCCAAGTTGATCTTACAAAAGGACCGTCATCATATTAACTTTATTAAATTACGTAAAAAGTAATAGTAAAGAACTAAAGGGGTGCATCTAAATTTCGTAGCTCTGAGCTCGCGTCTATAGCAGTTAGTGCCCGCCTAGGAAGTTACATAACGACGCCGTTACTTTTTAGCTTCAGAGTCCAAATGCTAAATGCCTATGCACTTCTATATGACTGTACTGTGGTTTGTTAGCATACAATATATGTAAATGTATTTAAATTTTAATTTTATAATGGCTGTATTCATTTCATATGTGAGCTGTTACGGTTTACTCGAGGGTATAATAAAATATAAATAAAAAATACTTGTTCATTAATAAAAAAAAAACTATCCTTATGATATCCTATATGAGGTCCTATTGGACCGAATAATTAAAAATAGTTTTAAGGTATAAACATTTATATAGAGTTTTTGTATATCAATGGGTTTAAGTAAAAGTAACAGTAAGTGTACTAGCAACTCACCCTCGCTCCGCTCGGGTTCGTCCCTAGTTACGTTTTAACGGTTAGTATAGATTCCTCAGAGATGAGATATTTACCCGCATTAAAAAGTATCCTATATGTTGACCCGGATAACCAGGTATTATCAAACCAAATTTCAATTTGGTGATTTCAAAATCTGTCCAGTGGTTGTCTCTTGATGCGTTCCCAGACAGACAGACAAAAATTCTAAAAACTATAGATTCTGTCTCTGTATCGATAACAATGACTCATGAACGAATTAGCCTCAATTCGTTCATGCAATGATTATTTCAATAAGATTTTCCAAAAAATATTTAATGTATAGATTGTACTCAGAATTTTATTATACATTATATAGATTACATAGACTACAATTCTCAGAAGATAATATGACCGGAAACCCACAAATAAAAATATAGTTTATCTAGCATTGCCCGCGGCTCCGCCCGCGTTCAAATGACCAAAAACCAAATTCTTAGGTTTTACATAATAGTATACTCTTACATTGCAGTTTTTGTATTTTTTCTCAGGAATGAGACATTTTCCCGAGGTGAAAAGTATCCTATATGTTGACCCGGATAACTAGCTATCACCATATCAAATTTCATCAAAATCCCTCTAGTGGTTTTTCTGTGATGCGGTAACAGACAGACAGTCAGACAGACAGACAGACAAAAAATCTAAAAACTATAGATTCGGCCTCTGTATCGATAATAATGTCTATTTCAATAAGATTTTCCAAAAAATATTTAATGTACAGATTCGACTCAGTTACAATTTTATTATATGTATATAGATAGTATAGGTTTGCTACAGAAAGCACAGCAATGTTACCGCCCTCTGGATATTAGTGGAAAATATAGTTTTTATCAAATGTCTTCAGTTCATGAATATAAATCTTTGTAGTTAGCTTAGGTAAGGTACATAATAAAAAAAAGTCCTATATAAATATTCTTATATTATATATGTGTTGGTCTAATAAAAAAGGCACTTCAAATACAAAATTAAAATACTAATGATCTAGATCTCTTTCTTTCCTTAATAAAAAATAGCAATATGTTGCAAGTGCGCTGGAGAGCAAACATTAGGCGTCTATTCCGTCAATTATTGCATTTATTGACCGAGTCTTCGCAATTTCCCATTTTGCTGTACCCATTTTGTCCCCAATTAGATTTTTTGTTACTGTTTGCAATCATGCCGATATTTGACTTTGCTTTTTAGGGTTCCGTGTCTGAAGGGTAAGTCTGGACCTTACTAGAAAGCATATGTTCTGTCCGCGCTCTACCGATTAACGATACCGATACCGAATCGATC